AATAGCATTAGCCCAATGATGCTTGATCGCACTCTTTCAAGAAAGTAGCTTATGAAGGAGCGTGGCCCCTATAGTAGGTCTGCTCTGGCTAAGCGTACTAGCTCACATAACATATCAGCTGACCTACTAGCTATAGCATCCCCCACATTAACACCCTCCTACACTTTTTCTTCCTCTTGTAAACAACAAACTTCTCTATTGCCATCACCTGAGATGGCAGAGACAGAATACTTGATGTGAAATTTCCCAAGCCCCTGTAATTGCCTTATCTATGCTTTGCTTATTGCAGTCCCGTGCCTGGAGTGACAAGTATTGTGGGAAGGGGCTGCAGTCTGAATCTTGGATGGATACTCTTCATACAGCGAGGAACCCTTTAATGTGCCCCGAGAGCCCGTGTACCGTGTGAGTCAAAGCTGACCAGGTGAGTATGTCTCACCAGGCGACGGAGTTTTTCCACCCCCTTGATCAGTACGATGACTGCAGACGGTACGGCAAGACAATCAGAATAACATCCAGATTCTGGGTTTCTCTTCTAAGCGCGAGTCTGAACTTCCGCATGGTGGGCCTTGAGCCCCGCAAGTTTTCGCCGTCTACCTAAAGGCGCCGAAACCTCTTAAGGCCGACAGGCCGAATTTACGCTCAGACACGAGCAAGGGGCTCGCTGTCCTTGATCTTCCTCGTACCGTACTTCTCGATGCGGATAGATTGTATGGCGATGAAGCCCGATGTATCCTGGGGCGTTTAATTCATGTCTAGCGTGTCCATGCTGCTCTTATCGGCAGAGCAGAGACTGGAGGTCTCGCTAGAACGTCTAACGACGTACGCGTACCCTTTATAGGCGACGAGGCTTACCTTGCCCTCGACTTAACGTTGTGAGAACTTGATGGCATGCTCTATAAACTCGCGCTTAGGATTAAAGTATATGCCTAATTAAAGAGTTAGGATGTTTAATTTAACGATAAGACGTAAGCGTGGACGGAGATAAATAACCGTTGTAAATAGCGGCTAACTAGTCTTAAGAAAGACGGTCACGGATGGAGCGTACCTAGGAGGGTATAACCAGTCCTTTAAGAGCTAAATAAGCCTGTCGAAGAATCGTTAGGCCTGGAGTATTTGTGGACGCGATGTTAGAAATTATACGGTTATTGAACTAGATCTAGCTGTATACCGTAACAGCCCCTGCTTTTCAGGCCTAAGAGTCGCTAACGAATGATATAGCTAATAGTAATATATTCCTTAACGAGCGCGAACTTACGGATAAACCTGGATTCGACAATTTCTACGTCCGATTCCTAGTAATTAGTCAGTAGGGCCTTACCCGGCCGATCTCATTTGCTTCGTTAAAAATCTCTAGCGAGCCGGTAACGACCTTGTCGCTGACCTCAAGCTTAACAAAAACGCCTTATTCGAAATGGACCGTGAAGGGTATCGGCTCGTCGGGAGCCTTTATCGGATCTATAGATGGACGTTAGCGTCTATTCGACTTAGTTAGAATAATTAAAGGCGCATTATTAATAGTACGCTTCTACATATCCTTCCCGGGCTCCAGTTTTATTTGCTTAAGAATCTGATAGGGTTAGTACGATATAAAATAGAATTTATTAAGTAGGTATAAGGCGGCTTGCCCTAGCCTTATAGCTATATTATCGTCCATGGACTAGGGGGCCTTGGGCGTAGAACTGACGGGAATGTTTTGTTCGGCGGTGTAATGGGCTATGCCCATAGTAGGGCCCTGGCTAGTGCCAGGGCTTAGTACGTAACCAGTACCTACGGAGGATAAGGCCAGCTGTTATAGGTGCGGCCTATACGGCGCACCTTTTCTTCCTTTTTCTCCTCGTCTAGCTTTAGTTTATTAACATACGGCTTTTACCTAGCGAATAGCTCTTAAAACCGTAATAAAAAGCTAAACTAACCTTCTTTTATCGTTTTACGGAAGTAGTAGCATCTTAGCGAGCGGAATTAGCAATAGGAACGGCGATATAGTACCAAAGGAAGCGGTAGCTAATAAAGTCAGTAGTCGGAAAGGCGGTATTAGTTTTTGGATATACGCGCCGGTAATAGCCTACGGACGAGGACCGATATAAAATAACCCGAAAAGAAAACGACCGATAACCCCGAGAAAACGTAGATTTAGACGGTAATTTCGAGATAAGAACGACGAAAAATACGGCTAAAAACGGCGGAAAATTTTTTTCCGGAGAAAGATGGTAGAGCGCTAAAGTATAGCGCTCGTCGACGAGTTAAGAACGCCCGAGGCGTAATATAAGAAAGGAACGGCGTTAGAATAGCGACGAAACGATAAGTTAAGCTAGGATAATAATACTTCGATAAGGGTACTAGAGGTACTAGCGGTTTACGGAGAGACTACCGGTTTCTTAGTATCGATAAGGGCGCTAGCGGCGCTAGTAGTAAACGGAAGGGCGCGCCTCCGCGCGTCCTTAGGCGGAGCCCTTAGCTCCGCTAGCGGACGATAAACGATGGTCTTTAAACGAATCGGACGGCGTATCTTAATACGTCTTTTAGCGGAAGATAAACGATAGTTTTTAAACGAGTAGGAACGGCGTACCTTAGCACGCCTTCCGGCGGAGCCTCGCGGCTCCGCTAGTAATACGGATAAGCCCCTAGCCTTTAAACGGAAGGATAGGCCCCTGGCCTTTAAACGATAGCAGACGGGAGAGCGCGCCTTAGTACGCTTTTAGGCGGAGCCCTTAGCTCCGCTAGCGGAAGATAAACGAGGGTCTTTAAACGGCGGTAGACGGACCGACGATCCCGTAACTACGGGAGCTAGGCTGGACCTAGTAGGCGCCTATGCGCGACTTCGTACGCGGGGCTTTAGAGCTTTACGGTTTAATAGAAGGATCGGGACTAGCCCCGGGGAATAGCAATACCCCGGGGAACGAAGATAGTAGCCCGGGAAGCGGATAACGTAACCCGGGAAACGGCGAAGGAGGAGGGGCTCTTAGAAGGGAGTAGCTACCGGGAAAGCGTACCCGGTAAGCGAAGAAACCCCGGAGACCTACGAAAGAGATCCCGGGGAAGAATAGGACCCGGGGGAAGAGCGCCGGGAGGCTAGAGGCGCCCGGTATAGTACCCCGGGAAACGAAAGGCCCCGAGAAGGAAACGACGGAGGAGGAGGAGACCCCGGGGTATAGTATAACCGCCGGAAAGGAAAGGAAGGAAGCCTAAGGATATACTAATACCCTAGGAGGCGGAGGTAGTAACCCGGGAAGCGATTAGCGTACCCCGGGAAACGGAGGTAGCAACCCGGGGAGCGATTAACGTATCCCGGGGGACGGAGGTAGTACCTAAGGATACGATACGTATCCTAAGGCGCGCGGAAAAAAACGGGTTAGGTTATTAGGGCTAGACGCCGAAGAAAAGGACGGCAGGGCGTACTTTTTTTTTTTTTCCGGGAGGGGACCTTATATAATAGGCTATGCCTATAGTAAGGCCCTGGCTAGTGCCAGGGCTTAGTACGTAACCAGTACCTACGGAGGATAAGGCCAGCTATTACAGGTACGGCCTATACGGCGTACCTTTTCTTCCTTTTTCTCCTCGTCTAGCTTTAGTTCATCAACATACGGCTTTTACCTAGCGAATAGCTCTTAAAACCGTGACAGGCGGCGAACTTAAGTAGATCCGTACGTCCTCTATACGCTCGTTAGCTTAGCTGCGAGAAAGCGAGGATAAATGATTACAAACGCGAATCGGTTGTAGAACTCTGGCATACGCTACGGAGCCAGAACCTTCAGTATGGGGTCGCAGGCCTTCCATGCTAGCTCGAAGCGAACTTAACTAGGAGAAAGAAGTAAGTATTAAGCCAGAGGCTCCTTAGAGATATAAATATACTCGTTCTGGAAACGTTAGCATTAGGAACGTGAAAAGATAGGATTCGAAAACTTATACCCTTGCCGGTACCTGAACAGATAGGATACCTGCGTTAGTAAATTGTCGATACAATAAGCAGGCTGGGACCTAGCCTGGAGACCGCATATCCGTGGCTCAGGATCGTGCAGCTGTAATCCTTCGCGACTTTGACCATCGCCTTGGCGATCACTGGGCGGGCGAGGCTTGTCCCGAGCAGGTTATTTCGATGTTAGTTAGGATGTCGATAAGCGGTTAAGCTAAGTATCTTATATCGGTCCTTATAGATTGCGTTGCCTATGGATGTCAAGTGTTAGTAGGTTCGTAGAACTTACTCTAAGACGTAGAGCGGGCGGACGTACATTGGATGGCAGGCCAGACCAGCTCGTTAATAAGCTCCTGTTGGATATCCTGGACGATTATACGCTTAGCCCCGAGCTTAAGGGCGTTGGACTTCAGCCTCGAAGTCCTCCTCCTGACCGTAATTGGTAAGAAAAATCTCAGCCTTAAACCGGAAAATTGTACTTGTGCCAAGGCCTATTATGTCCATGAGTACATTTGTGATCTCCTTTGAAGCGTGTAACTTACCACCTGAGTAGGCACTGAATTAGGTCAGTCGTCGGTCAAGCTGTATTATCTCATACCAGCGTCAGAGACTCACAGATAAACACGTTCCGGCGCCATTATAATGGTTTCTTGAAGTCAAGAGGTGACCTGAAGAGGGAAGTGTGGGGGAAAGATGCAAGGGTTAGATGCAAGAGGTATACGGGAAGCAAAGCAACTTGGTGTCTGGCACAAAGTCGGCGAAGATGCTGTCAAGGTTTCTAAGATTTCCAGCTCCGAAGACGGCCAACCGTAAGTGGTGAGCAACTTGGCCGTTTTTGTGGGACTGCTGATAGAGGTTAGTCTAATCTAGGCGCGGCGAATTGATAAGGGCTAACCTACCAGGGCCTCTCTGCCTTAATTGTAAGGCATGCAAGACGTGTTGAAGGCTGAACCTGTTGTTGTTCAATTGAAGGAATTAGGCTAGCTGCTGGAGACAGCTTAAATATGGCATTTTAAGGTCAATTGACAATTATGCCTTTTTCGTCAATCTGACCAATCGCAGGCCTCCATTCTGGATGCCTGGATGCCTCAGGTACCACACCCCATGACTCACGGCACACACCAAGAGCCACTAAAATCACCAGGTAAGTCGAGAGAAACACGACTGCAACAGCGTCACAACATCTACCGCCTATGCTGCCACGCATCGAAGTCTAGCACTGCTACGAGCAATGTCTGCGTCACCTTACCGCAAGCGAAAGAGACCTCTAAATTAGGGTTCAAACCTCAGGGACTTTGCAGTCCGGGAGGGAAAGGCTCCCAAAATCCCAGTTGCACCGCGTCCGAGCCGCAAAGGAACAAATCATTCGCAAAAGCCCACGGTTGCTCAATGCTAAATGCAGTGCTTAATGATCTTGTCAAAGCCTTTGGTTAAGAAATCCTCGGCGTGGTGGTTGGCGAAGAGGGAATCGGTAGCGGGGTGGTCAGATTCAACCTCAGTCCCATAAACACAATCCTTGAAGACAGACACACGGTACCATCCCGCTCGGAGGGCCAGCAGGAGATCATGCGAAGGAGGTCTGGCTTGGCTGCTTGGGTCCGAGGCGCGGGCGCGCGGTTGCTCTGGACAATCCTATGGCATGCTTACCTATCTAATACTAGCTCAGCAGCTGCAAGGCGATACCATGACGGGGGTGGAATCTCATCAATCAACATCTCACCCGGCTATTCTTCGCCGTCATTGGCCGTGCTCCACCTTCCAGTCGGACGTCGTTGTATATTTTATTCGTTCCCTGCGGGCCACGTAGGTACCTAGTTAATAAATCTGCCTTGCCCACCACCCCGAGGCTCCGCGGTTTGTCTCGCCTCCAGCTACGCTTTCATCCTAGCCGCGATATTTATTCTTATCTGTTTCCTGCTCGCCGCCCCAATGTTCCCTGGAGATCTTGGCGCGAGCGCTATCATGGCTGTCGCTTGCTGACTCTCGGAAACACGCCTCCAGGAAAAACATCATGGGCCTCTCTACGATGGTGCTAACGCTGCCAGCGCTCGGCCAGGACGTGCAGCTCGGCATGCTGTACGACATACGCACCGCGCAGTTCTTCAGCGGCGTCTCGCTGTGGAGCAACAGCATCGTCAACGCGAGGCAGACGCTTGACGATCACGTGGTGCAAAACACCGAGTTTACCTACTCGAACTCCCTCGAGCAGGCGCGCAGCCATGTCGCCCTCGACGTCGAGGGCTCGCTGAGTCTCGATCTCGGCATCATCAAAGCCACCGGCTCGGCCAAGTACCTGAATGACAAGCAGTCGAGTAGCTTCGAGGCACGTATAGACGTCTCCTGCACCGTCGTCCGTCGCACGCGCCGTATCCCGCAGGAGATCCTGGGGTCCATGCAGTACGAGCGTAACCTCGATGACCCTCGCTTCACGCACTTCGTTGCAGAGGTGGTAGAAGGAGGAAGCGCCACGCTGAGTTTCGTCCAATCCTGTTCCTCATCCGAGGAGGCGAAGAAGGTGACGGGCAGGCTAGAGGCCAAAATTACGAAACTTCCGATCAGGGGCAAGGCCAAGGTAGAATTCTCGGAGGAGAGCAAGTCCGTCTTTGAGAGCCTCAAGATCTCCTATAGTGGCGCGATAGCCGAGAACGTCTCCAACGTCGAGGAGGCTTGTCGTGTCGCTCGCGAGATGCCGACGAAGCTAGGACAGCAGTTCAACACGCTCTCGTACAAGCTTTTGCCGCTCACGGTCCTCCGCAGCACCGTGAACCGAGAAATTCGTCATCTCGACGCCAACCTCGTCGTCAAGACAGCCGAGGCGCTGAAAGCCGGCACCGTAGCAGGACTCAAGCTGAAGGACGTCATGGAGCAAGACGGGTTAAATACCCCTGTAAATACGGTGTTATTTAAGGGATACTTTATTTTTATTAGCTAAAAGTTCGTATACGCCGTTTTAATTAGTTAAAAGCTCGTACGGCCTATTTGAAAGTAATATATCTAATAAAACCGCAGCGTACGCGTCTATTTATTTACCTACTAATGCGTTCAATTCTATTTTCTACTTAATCCTATTTCCTACCTATTTTAATCCTATTCATAAATCAATCCAGGTCAGTTTCTCCCTGTTCAATCAAGAGTCGATTGCTAATTAATCCCTTTTCGTAGTTGAATCAAGCGTCGATTCCTACTTACCTTTTTTTCCTTAGCCTTCGGAGAAATTCTAGGTTTTCGGTACAAAAATCTAAAGAAGCACAGAATGCTTTAACGTATTTTAAAGTTAAATAAAAAAACAGATATTATAGTAGTGCGGTAAGACATGCCCTCTTGATATATTACGTGATATACTACGATAGGCCTTATGCCTATATAGAGTAACTATAGCTCCCGTAAGTACGGGCTATACCTATTACGGTTTTAAGAGCTGTTCGCTAAGTAAAAGCCGTATGTTAATGAACTAAAGCTAGACGAGGAAAAAAAAGGAAGAAAGTATATCCTATAGGCCGTACTTACGATAGCTAGCCTTATCCGCCGTAGGTATTAATTACGTACTAAGCCCTAGTACTAGCTAGGGCCTTATAATAAGTATAGCTTATTATATAAGGTCCCCTCCCGGAAAAAAAAAGTACGCCCTACCGCCCTTTTTTTTCGGCGTTTAGCCTTAATAACCTAATCCGTTTTTTCCGCGCGCCTTAAGATACGTACCGTATCCTTAGGTACTACCTCCGTTCCCCGGGATACGCTACTCGTTCCCCGGGTTACTAACTCCGTTACCTAGGGTATTAGTATATTTCTAGGCTTTCTTTCGTTCGTACGTTTCCCGGGGTATTAATGCTTTCCGGATATAGCCTCCTTTTTCCTTTTCCTTCCCGGCGGTTATATTATATCCCGGGGTTTCCTCCTCTTCCGCCGTTTCCTTCCCGGGGCTTTTCGTTTCCCGGGGTACTATACCAGGTATCTCTAGCCCCCCGGCGCGCTTTCCCCGGGTCCTATTCTTCCCCGGGATCTCTTCCTTTTCCTCCTTTTAATCTCTCGGGTTTCTTTGCCTACCGGGTACGCCTTCCCGATAGCTACTCCTCCCGAAAGCTCCCTCTCCTTATCCTCCTCTTCTTAGGGTACTACCGGCGTTCCGGGTATTATCTAGCTCCCCGGTATACCATTTCCTTAGGGCCGTTATTTCCGTTTCCCGGGTTACGTTATCCGCTTCCCGGGTTATTAGTTCTGGTCCTTTTATTAAACCGTAAAGCTTTAAAGCCCCGCGTACGAAGTCGTATATAAACGTTTACTAGGTTTAGCCTAGCTTCCGTAGCTACGAGATCGTCGGTCCGTTTACCGTTATTTAAAGACCTTCGTTTATTTTCCGTTAACGGATTTCGTCGGATCCGCTAGAAGACGTATTAGAATACGCCGTTCGACTCGTTTAAAGACTATCGTTTATCGTCCGTTAGCGAAGTTTAAAGGGCTCCGCTTAAGGACGTATTAAGGCGCGCCTTCCCGTTTATTATTAAGAGGCCTAGGGCCTTTCCTACCGTTTAAAGGCTAGGGGCCTATCCTTCCGTTTAAAGGCTAGGGGCTTATCCGTATTATTAACGGAATCGCGAGGCTCCGCCGGAGGACGTACTAAGGTACGCCGTCCCTATTCGTTTAAAAAACTATCGTTTATCCGTATATTACTAGCGGAGTTTAAAGGGCTCAGTTTAAAGGTGCGCGGAGACGCGCCTTTCCATTTATTACTAAAAGGCCTAGGGCCTTTCCGTAAACCGCTAGCGTTTTTAGCGCCCTTATCGAAATATTATTATCCTAGCTTAACCTATCGTTTCGTCGTTATTTTAACGCCGTTCCTTTCTTATATTACGCCCCGGGCGTTCTTAACTCGCGCTTCGGGCGCGGCTTAGCTCCGTAAGCGCTATGCTTTAGCGCTTTACTATCTTTCTCCGGAAAAAAAATTTTCCACCGTTTTTAGCTGTACTTTTCGTCGTTCTTATCTCGAAATTACCGTCTAAATCTACGTTTTCTCGGGGACATCGGTCGTTTCTTCGGTTATTTTATATCGGTCTTCGTTCGTAATAGCTACCGGCGCGTATATCTAAGATTAATACCGCCTTTTTAACTACTAACTTAACCGACGTAAACGCTAATATCGCCTTTCCTATTACTAATCCCGCGTATTAAGATATTAGTTTACTACTATCGTCGGTTCTTTTCGTAAGGGCTACCGGCGCGTATATCTAAAAGCTAATACCGCCTTTCCGATTATTAACTTAGTACCGCTTCTCTAAGGGCTATATCGCCGTTCCTACTATTAATTCCGCTCGTTAAGATACTACTACTTCCGTAAAACGATAAAAGAAGATTAGTCTAGCTTTTTATTACGGTTTTAAGAGCTATTCGCTAGGTAAAAACCGTATATTAATAAACTAAAGCTAAACGAGGAGAAAAAAGGAAGAAAGTATACCCTATGGGCCGTACTTGCGATAGCTGGCCTTATCCGCCGTGGGTACTGATTACGTGCTAAGCCCTGGCACTAGCTAGGGCCCTATAATAGGCACAGCTCATTATAATACCATATTTATCATCGAGTTTACTACCTAATTAGATTGCTATCTTTATTATTTTTACCTAAATTAAAGATTCGTTTTTATTATTAGATTTATCGTTCTCCCATTAATATATCTATCTTAGTTATAGGCGCTTAAGTTACTTCGTCGTACCGCTATAGCCGAATAAGTAACTTTTACGTTTCGCCCCTTTTCTCCCTTTACCTCTTATACCTTCGGGCTAGCGACTACTACATCTCTACGACTAAGGGACATAGCTAAGATATAATAACTTGTTACGTAAAACGTAGACGCCTACATTCACGCTTTGCGGTATGTAGGCTTATATAGGCTGGTTCAACTGCTCCGTGACATAACTATATTAGATTCCTCGTCTCTCGATTAGTATAGTAATATTAGTTTCATTAATCTTGGACCATCGTACGTATTATAGTCTTCGATAGAGTATACTTTCGAGTGAACCTATCCGGGACTCCAGTATCGCGTACGCTCTGCTCCTCCTTAGTGGCGACTACCACGGGACTCGAACCCGCAATCTTTACCACAGTCTTAGGAGCGACCTTTTGGACGATCGTTTTTGCAGCCAATAGGTTCAGGATACGTCGATCAGGAGATTCCCTGATTTTCAGCTGATCAGGAGCTGTTTTCGTGGCTCCAGAGCCGTTTTCGTGGCTTTTGGCCTTAGCTTTTCAGGTCAGGCAACAGGATCAACGGGAGGGCAGACAACCATGGCGACCATCAACAACCCACGCCCTCCCATCAGCTTTTGATCAGCTTACCTAAAAGCTCGTTCGCCGATCAGCAGGAATCCCTGTTCTCGTTTCTCAGTTATCTCTTTTGAAGGAGCTATGCCCGTTTTTACCCGGTTTTACCTCCGTCGTTTTTTCACCAGTGCCTAGATGGCAGTTTTCAATCAGTTGATCTGACTCCGTCACCGCCACTACCCCTTTTTACAACCTCTCACGCGCTTGAAGGCATCCGTTCGTTATTAATCGGTTTATTTCAACCGCAAGAGGCTTGCCGACAGCTCTGATTGCCCTTGTTTTATCCCTACCAGCTAGTTACAGACGGCACCTAGGGAGGTTTCTCTCCAACCGATAGGTGCCACGATGCCCTCAATTACCACACGAAGATACCGACACACCTTATACCCACGAACCTAATCGGGAAACCTACCGATCAGCGCGAAGACCTACAGACGAAACCGATACGAAACGAATTAAACGGATATTAAATAAGACAGCCCAGAAACAGTCATAAGATAGGAACGAGTCACAGGATATTGCCCAGAGACCCCTCTTATCGCCCTTACCGATATGTAGTTGGTAGGAAGAGCCCAGAGAGTCCCTAGAACCACGTACACGGGAGGGATCGAGGGTCAAGGGAAGCCCGGTAGATGCTGCCGGACGAACAACAGCCAGAAACGAGTCAGGAAACAGTCGGGCATGAACAGGATATATCAGTCAGTTTACAGGATCAGGATCAGTTAAAAGGATCGGCAATAGCCATGGACGAGAAGGACGGGATCACGTTGCATCAGATTTTTCACGGGATTGTTTCTTTATTTCTCATGGGAGCTATGCTTGTTTTACCTGCCCCGTTGCAGTTCCTATTTCCTAACTATTGATCCCTGTTGTTTCTTAATGGCCCTAATGGACCTGGCTCGCTCCCAGTTGATCAGGGTTGATCAGGGACAGGTTAATTAGGTCAGTTTACAGGTTTACAGCTCCGCCAGCCCAGTTCTTGTTATCAGATTTTTCTTATTATTTCCCGTTAATCGTTAATTAAACTGGCTCAGCTCCCAGTTGGCAGCGATTAAACGGGTTCGGGATTGATCAGGCACAGCACGGTTACAGTCACCCACCCCACCACCCACTTATTACTATTGCAATCGTTCCCAGTTAACCTATTCCCTAACTTATCCTGTTAGCCTTTAATTGAACTAGCTAGCTTTCAGTTGATCAGGGTTAATCGGGATCAGGTTGATTAGGTTCAACAGGAACGAGAGCCACCGTACCTGTTGCTGTTAGGAGTTCAATTACTCCTTACGGATCAATTAAACTAGGGAGGCTGTAGTAGTGCGGTAGATCTAGGCCAGGTAGCCTTTTCGATGTCTATTTATATGGGTCGCGCACTCATATTTTCATTAGTTAGACTTAGACCTGTAGGCATTACGACCTGACAGCTATTTACTCGTTTCTTGCCATGCCTTTCTAGCTATCCTCGTTACCCTGCCATTCTAGTCTCTCCTTTCCCAGCTGCCGTTTTCAGCTGGCCGATCAACCGATTATAGCTGTTTACAGCTATAATCTAGGTCTGATCGGCACTGGGCCAGTTGTTGGCAGTTGGGTAGCCGTTTCATGCCTCCATCACAGCGTGCCCACGCTGCTCCTATTCAATATTAACGTTTAAAAATCAATAAGTTTTAAAAAGTAGAAAGTAAAAACTTACTCTCCTTGTCATATTACTTACTTTACTTCTACTTTCGACTAAGTACTATAGCTTTTCGTAGCTTCGTCCTCGTGCAATCTCAGCTAAGTACATGGGTACCTTACCTTCGTCATGAATAGGATAACTAATGGTAGGCATCTCGAGGAGTTACCTCCACTCAGTATATAGGCACCACCTCACACCCTCCACCGAGGCTTTTGAGCGCGAGGCGTGGCTCCCCTGACAGTATCTACCGACCTGCTAGCCTCATGCAGCTTTCCGGCAATCGGCTCTCGTTGCAGCCGCGCGCTTTTCTTCCCCGAAGCGGACGTTGAAGGCGATGTAGGTTTGGGCGTTGGCATGGGCGTCAGTCGGGGAATCCAGGATAGCTTATCACGCCGCGGAACAGGCACGGGCACCGGCATGGGCGAAGGTCCCTGCACTTGGGCGGTGGCGGTAGACTTAGGGGCAGCGGACGGTGTATTTGCTGCAAGGCCCAAAGACGCTGGCACGCGCAGTGGTAGCGCAGAGGATATCTAATCCGTCGATGCTCCCGAATAAGTTGCGGATGCAGCATCGCCCACGTCGCCTTCGTCGTCGTCATAGTGCAGGAACTCTGGCGACCCCGCTGCACCTGACATGGCCGCTAGTACCAGACACGCCCACTGCAGGTCGGCCATAGTCTTCATATTATATGCCTCTTCGAGAGGCATGCGCAGTGTTGCTGTTGCGCCCGTCAGAAGGAGGCGACTTGTAGGCGCGACAGCCGCGGTCACGTGACGGCCACCCGTGGTACCGCCGCTGTTGGCCGGTGCCACAACGCCGGAATACAGCTGCTCGGACCATTCGGTCCACCAGGCTTCACCCTCGCCGGTGTCCATGCGAATGGGCTGGCGCCACATATTCTTCTTTGCGCTCGCCTTTGCCTCCGTGCCCGCATGCGCTATCCGCTGCGGCAGCCAGTACAGCTGCAGCACCACGTCTCCATCGCTGTTGCCCTGGCCGTCGAGGACGGGCACGACGCCGGTGCACTTGAGAGCGAAGAGGCCCTGCCCCCACCACTTGTGCAGTTGGCGGTTGAGCGAGATCATGTTCCAGGCACGGTCGGTGCATCCAACCCCCTGGTACAGGAGATGTTGCTGTTGGCCGCCCACGACTGCCCTGACCACCCCAGCTGTGTCAAAGAGATCGTCTGCGTTGGCTGTGTTTGAGTTCGCGGCAAAGGGGAAAATATGACAACACTCTGGGTCAGCAGTTTGCATGAAGATGCAAGATTCGTTGTCGCGTTGAAGGCACTGAATCGATGGGGCAAAAGAGGTGAGAGGTAAATATGTTAGCCATGATCAAACAGAGGGAGACAAGAGCCACTCACAATTTGTTTCTCTCTGCTGCTTCTGTGCACCTTTTCGCCTGTCGCTGTGGCTTCGCCTGTCGCTGTGGCTTCGCCTGTCGCTGTGGCTTTGCGGGTTGCCGTGGGCCATCCCTTTAAGAGATCTGGATATTTAAATGTGAGATAAACCACGACAAAGGAAGGAAAAGAAGGGGGGGAGTAAGAAAAGATAGGGAAAAAATCACGCTCCATACGTACAGATGCGCACAAGCTTTTCAGCTACGAGGGAAAAAGCAATGAGATGGTCGTGTGGTGGGTGGCCGGTCACCTCACGTAAGGCTGGCAGCGGTAGAGTAAACAAAACGCTGAGCTGAAACGCGTTCAGGGACCGGTTGAACGGCAGCCACTGAGCCTCAACGGTCTTTGCCAGTGCAATTCGTTCTTCCACCTCCTCGACCGAGCAGAGCGGCGATGCTGGCATCTGCGGTGGCGCTATGGTCAAGTAGCGGAGCAGCTGCTGTGCGTCTTCTGGCTTTGTCAATTCGGTCACCAGGAAGGCATCCAGCGCCGTATGAAGCTCCTCATGGGGTACGTGGGCCATGGCGTCCAAGGATGAAGGGAGTGGGGGATGGTGAGTTGTGAAGGCGAGGAAAAGGGCTGAAAGTGAATCTTGTAATTGGTGAAGAGGAGCAGTGTATACATGCTGCAGGGCAGAAGTATTTGATGGTGAGAGATTAATGGTGCCGACGGGCGAGGCGAAGATGTGGTGAGTCGGCGAAGAAGAGGAAAGGAAGAGAAGGAGATGGAAGGAAGAGAAGGAGAGAAGGAGAGGAGGAGGAGAGATGGAGATCCTTATATAAGCTAAGCTACCCCTTCACGGACTACCCTTTCACGGACTACCGCGTTACTTTATTTAAATAACTTATAATTTCTCGATTAATTTTAATTCTTTAAATTTATTCATATTATTTATTTATTTATTTTTACTTTAATAATAGCTTCAGAACATATTAAAATCTATATAGAAAACGCTACTTAAAAGATTTTATATGTCACACGAGGATGGAACCCTGCGCCAATAGATCAGGCCATAAAGGTTAGGAGGACAATATCGGGCATCGAGGCCGTTACCTCGGCGACCTACTAAGGAAAGTCCTAGATAAGCTTCGGATAGCTTCGGCATTAAGGTATAAAGGTATAAAGGTACAAGGGTACTTCCGGGTTATATTAAGACGAGAAGGAAACGTAAAACTTAGAAGAAGATAAGGACCTAAGAAACCTCCTATAGAATTATTAATTAAATTAAACCTATTCTAAGTATATCCCCTTATTATAGATAATTTTATACTATTCTTACCTTTATAACTTTACTATAAGTTAGTAATAAGAAAAGCCTACGCCTAAGCCGGCGTTATACGCTAAAGCCGCTGCCCCGGTATTATTACTACCGGATTAACCTCGACCCTCTACTAAAGAACCAGAGTCGTAGACTTTCCTATTCCCGCGATTAGCCGCTTCGGGGGTAGTACCGATCTTTATAGCAAAGATAGCCTAGATAGTAACCACGATTAATAAACTAAAGGCCGTAATAACGGAATTAAAGGTAAAAAACGCTAAACGAACTACCCTAGTACCTTAGCCGGAGCTAACCCCCGAACTAATTAATAAATCCCTCGTTGTATATTAACCCTAGGAATATAAGGTAATTATAACGGATACTCCGGAAATCGCGAACTTAGGAATAATTATACGTAATCCCCCGTAATAAATCGTAGATTTATATAAGTAAATGAAATAAGCATATTAAAGCCTAATAATATTAACTAACTAGGTCGACGTAAAATACCGATAAAATACGATCCTAAAGAAATAATACGAATAATTACGATAGCTTTATTAAACCGCTACGGTAATATAAGCTACCGGTATCCGAATTACGAAGATATAAATCCACGAGTTCTAAAAATAAATCGTAGAATAAAGTACCTACTTCGCCTAAAACGTATAGGAAACCGTAGCTAAGTTTACCCGGCAGGATAAAATACGAACGGCCGTAATAAACTAACTTCGAAACGCCGCACTATAAAACTAACGAGCCTTAACTTAGCTACGCGAGGAATATAATAAATTAGTAACGGACGTTAGCTCCTAGGCTACGTAAAAGGATAAATAAATTAACGAAATCCTTAGTAAAGAATACCTTATCCCCGGGGCTATAGAGGAAAAAACCTAGTTAATTAAGAATAACCTTAAGGCTTACGCGGTTAATTTAATTAAGGAATATTAGTAACGACGATTAAGTAATAAACTAACGGATATTAAGTCTATTATCGTAAGAGCTAGCTAGAAGGTAAGAACGCTTACTCCCGCGCCGGGTACCCGTATTACGATAACGTTTACCGGGAAATATACTAATAACGAGGCTAGAATAAGGGAGATTATCTCCGACGGCGTATTCTAAGACGCCGCGGCTAAACGTACCGCCGCGCGCGTAAGAGCCCGATTTTAAAACGCCGCGGTAAGCGCTTTTATATTAAGAGGAGCCGGGTAAGGACTACCGTAACCCCTACGGATCCCGCGGAATATCCCGGAGGACCTAAGGGATTCCGACGACTCGGATAACTTAGAATCCGGGAACCCGTAAAGGCTACGACGCCCGCCCGGCGCCTCTAGAGAACCGTAAGAGCCTTACGACCCGGCCGAGGAACGTATGGTTAGGGCTTAAACTAGAGCTATAAATAATCGACGAAGTACTACGGTAACGACTAACCTAATATACCTTATTAAACCTACGGCCTATAACGGTAAAGACTTAGCTAAGTTCCGATTATAATAAATTAAGGTTAAATCCTACCTCGAAACTTATAAAGAAAACTTTACCCGGAACGTTTAAAAGATTAACTAAATAAGATCGATACTTACCGAAAAGGCCTAGCTCTAGTATTAATAACGGCTAGCCTAAGTAAAAAGGTTAATAATCGTCGATATTTAGGCGGGATATTCCTAAGTACTCTAAGAACGGTTTAAAAACCCCGCCGAACGATATCGTAACTTTAAGAAAATATAGGAACTAAAGTATTAAGGAGATATCTCCTAGTACCTTACCGAGCTTATAAACCTTAACGATATCGTTTAATAATCCGGAACTACCTTTTAAAATTATATCGCCCGTACCTTATCCGACGAAATAATTAAGCTAGTTTACTCGCGACTAAGTAGCATTCCCGAAAGCGATAAAGCCTTCCTTAGAGTAATTAAGGAAGCCGGCTAAATCTACGAAAATATAATAACTAACCTAGGGATTTCGGGAAAAGGAGGGTCCGCTTCGTAGAAGAAGTATACGAAAGCGGACTAGTAATAGCGGTAACCCGTAAAGGAAACTCGCTCCCGCTTAGGTTAACTAATAAACGAACGTAAGGAAAAGGATAATAAGAAATCCGTACCGGCTAAGGACTTACGATAGGTAAGTAATAAAAAGGCTTTAGCTAGGATTAACTAGGCCGCTATCGACTAACGAAAGAAGGATAAAAAAGCCTACTAAAGATACGGAAGGAATAATTACTAAACCTTAGCCTGCTTCGTAAAGAAGGACTTAAAAGAACGGGACTTACCGGTACTACCTAAGAAAGTTTCATCGGGAAAAAAAGGAAGGAAGAAGTCCGAGCTACTACCTAATAAAAGGACTAGGATCGATACTACCATACGATAGGAGGAAATTCTTTCCCGTATTATAAAGCTATCCGACTCCGATAAAGAACGGGATTTTTAAATGCCCCTTCGTAAGCGTTAACGGAAGACAGGGGCGATAAAAATAACGTAAAGATTACGGCTATTAAACGGCCCGGAACGCTAAAAGTAATAAAAGCGGTACTAATAATAAAGAAACTACGAGTCCCCTAGCGTAACCCCGACGAGCTAAGGTTAGGTAAACGGCCTATCTATATAATATAAATAAAATATTAGGGAAAGGAATACCTCTTATAAGTCCTCTTAGATACCGGTAGTAAGGTACCCTTAATTAACGCCGCTAAAGTCGAATAATTACGCCTTTCCATTAACTAACGCTCTAAGGCTAGAACCCTAGTAAGATTCGATAGCTCGGAAATCGCGTTAGAAGAATTCTAATATATAAATGAAATAAAGCTCCGTAACTACGACTATATCTACCGCATCGCTTAGGAAGTTAATAAATTAAACGAAGAGGTCGATACTATCTTACCTTAGTAATAAATAAAGAAATATCCCCCTTAGGGATTATTTATAAACGGACGGCTATACTTTAACTCGCTACGATACTAAAATTATCGCCTACGGCTAACTCGTATAGGAATAGCATAAGAAGTAAAGGCTCTAGTATAAGTATCGGAATAATTTCACGACTTCGTTCCTATTATAACTAAGAAAGCCGGGTAACGATTCCCTAATCGGTAACCGTAGGACTACGCTATTAAGCTCCGACCGGGAATTACTCCCCCGTAGGGACCTTTATATGCCATAAGCGGACGATAGCTAAACGCCTTAAAACCTTAGCTCGACGAAATAATAGCCATAGGGAAAATCCGAAAATCCAAGGCCCCCTACGGCGCATTTATAATATTTATAAATAAAAAGGACCTAAGTACCCTAAGACCGGTAGCGAACTACCGGAGGCTAAATAAAATTATAATACCCGTCCGATATCCGATCCCGCTAATTAACGAACTATAGAACCTATTCTAAACGGCGCGGTAGTTTACTAAGATTAATTTAAAATCTAGGTTCTATATAGTACGGATTAAGAAAGGTAATAAATGAAAAACCGCCTTTAAAACGCGATACGGGCTATACGAATATATAATCATACCTATGGGATTAATTAACGCCCCCGCTACCTTCTAGGCCATAATAAACCATATCTTCCGCGACTTCTTAAACGCCGGGATTATCGCTTACCTAAATAATATCCTAATCTATATTAATACGCTAAAGGAATATAATAAACTAGTTAAAGAAGTCTTAAAACGGCTTATAAAGAACTATTTAATAATAGCCCTAAAGAAATATACCTAGCGAACGTAGGAAGTTAAATTCTTAGGATATAATATAAGCCCTCGAGGTATTACTATATCTAAAGATAAAATAAAAGCCATTCTTAACTAGCGTACCCTAGCTATACTTAAAGACTTATAGAACTTTATTAGGTTTGCTAACTTTTACCGTAAATTCATACGTAATTTCTCGGATATAGCTAGGCTAATTACTAGCGTAAATAAAGGAAACCGTAAGCTATAAAAATGAGAAATCGAGATAAAGAAGGCCTTCTAAGAATTAAAAAAAACCTTTACGAAGGCCCCGGTACTTATATATTTCGACCCTAACCGAATCCTAATTATCGAAGCCGACGCCTTAGATTTCGCTATTTCCGCGGTCCTTTCCTAGAAGGATAATAAAGGGAGACTAAGACTAGTAGCCTTTTTCTTACGACGACTTACCCTAGCGGAAATAAATTATAAGATATATAATAAGGAACTACTAATAATCGTCGACGCATTCGAGAAGTAGCGATATTATCTCGAAGGTATTTAATATTAAATAAAAGTATATTCCGATTATTAAAACCTAACGTACTTTACTACGGTAAAGGTATTAAATCGACGCTAAGCCCGTTAGGCTTAATAGCTTTCCTCGTATTACTTTATAATATAATATCGCCTAGGAAAGTAAAATAAAAAGGCCGATATTCTATTTAAACTATTATAATATCGCCTTAAAAAAGGAAGAGCTAAGGATTAGCCGATAGCGACGGTCCTATAGGAAAAGCATTTTTTAAAAAATTTAGGCTTACCCGCGGTAATACTCTCTAGCGTACGATTAAGTAGTATCCTAATACCCGCTTGGATTATAGAATTCGTTAAATAGGTTAAAACGGTAGTTATATAGGACCTAGAATACCAGGCCTAACTAACTAAACCACTCGATAAAGAAATAAAGCTCTAAGAAGGCTTCTTCTATCGGCGAAACCGTTTCTAGATACCTAAGGACCTATAATAAAAAGTAATTAAATCGGAATACGATACTAAAGTAGCGGGGTATATAGGTATAAATAAAACCATAGAACTTATTACTCGTAACTTTTAATAACCTAACTTAGAAGTAATAGTTAAGGAATTCGTTAGAAGGTACCGCGAGTACTAATAAAATAAGGTACCCCGATATACCCCGTTCGGATTACTATAGCCTATGGAATTATATTATCGACTATAGTAAACGATTACGATAGACTTTATTACGGACTTACTAATATCTAACGGCTACGATTCTATCTAGGTTATTATAAATCCCTTTATTAAGATAGCGTACTTTATCCCGCTAAAGAAAGACGGTAAAAAGGCTAAAGACCTAATACCTATCTTTATACGTAGTTATTAGCGGCTATATAGGATCCCCTTAGACATTATCTCCGACCGAGACTCGCGATTTACCTCCTATATATAGAAGGGCGTCTTAAAGTTCCTCGGCGTTAAGCTTAGAATAAGTACCGCTTTTTACCCCTAAACGGATAGATAAACGGAAAGACTTAACTAAATCCTAGAAGCATACCTACGCGCTTTCGTAAACTACGAGATAAGTAACTAGGAAAGCTTACTACCTACTACCGAATTTACCTATAATAATACTACTTTAATAACTACCGGTATGTTATCTTTTTACGTTAACTATAGGTAATACCTAGCCGCATATAACCCTCCTTTAGGTACCCCTAAGAATCCAGGAAGTAACCTCTATATTTATTAAATAACTCGGGTATATAACGAGGCTAAGTAGCATTTAGAAAAAATACGGTAGCGGATAAAAGAATAAGTAAATAAATACCGAAAAGAAGAACCCCCTCTAAAAGTCGGATAGCTTATTATATTAAACGCCCGTAATATTAAAACCAAACGCCCTATAAAGAAAATGGATAAGAAGATACTCGGTTCCTTTAAGATCTAGAAGGTCGTTTCCCCTACCGCCGTAACTCTAATACTCCCGAAAGGCTGGCGTATTTACAGTACCTTCTACGTATCCCTTATCGAACCTTACCGCGCTAGTAATTAGGAATTACCTAACCTTAACTAGGTCCTACGGAAAGTAGCCCCGATCGAAGCAGAAGATTACGAAGTAAATAAGGTATTAGATTCCGTAAGGACCGGAGAAGTTATTAAATACCTAATAAAATAGTAAGAATAGCCGGCTAAGCGCTACTAAACTTAGGAACCGTAGGAATACTTTACTACCGAAGGAGCGAAGGAAGCCGTTAAGTTATTCTACCTATAAAACCCTAATAAACCTACTAACCATCGGGCCTAGGTATTACGCTTAAAGACGAGCTCCTCCGAAGAAAGGAGATAATATTACACGAGGATAAAACCCTACGCTAATAGATTAGGCCATAAAGGTTAGGAGGATAATATCGGGTATCGAGGCCGTTACCTCGGCGACCTACTAAGGAAAGTCCTAAATAAGCTTCGGATAACTTCGGCATTAAGGTATAAAGGTATAAAGGTACAAGGGTACTTCCGGGTTATATTAGGACGAAAAAGGAACGTAGAACTTGAAAGAAGATAAGGACCTAAGAGACCCCCTATAGAATTATTAGTTAAATTGAACCTATTCCAAGCATATCCCCTTGTTACATTATATAATATAAATATTTAATAAGTTACATTCAAATACGGTATTTATTTTTCTAGATAAGCTATACTACCACTCTATAAGCCACCCCTTTACGAGCTGGGTATTTTATAATCTAAGTCTAACTGATGAAAATATGAGTGCGCGACCTATATAAATACACATTGAAAAGGCTACATAGCCTAGATCCACCGCACCACTACAATAGTTTCAAAAAACCTTAAATTGTAAATAATTTCTTATATTAGTAAGAAGAAAATTCGAAAAATTATATATGTTAATTTAATTAAGTTAATTAATTACATAAGGAAATTCCTGATTTTTCTGACATTTTCCGGCTTTTTATAAGGATAAATCGTTTATATGTAAACCTATATAAAATACCTGGCTCGCGAAGGGGTGGTTCGCAGAGCGGTACCCTAACTTATCCAAATAGGAAAAAGTCCAACCTCTTCGATCATATTTCCACAGTCCTGCGGTAGGATCCGTCTACCACTGTTGACTTGATGATGTCAGTGGTTGTAGATCACGCCGTAGCATTCCTCGATGCCTCAAACAACGCCGGGCTCGACGAGAATATGTTAGATGCCTTCGAGCAAAGCATTGCTCACTTGGTAGGATGAACTACCGAAGTCGAGACATTAAAAGAAGAGTGCGACTAATAAATACATTCACGTTCCAGGCTCAAGGGGAGACAAAGTGCCATGACGAATTCCATAACGCTCAGAAGGCATTAGGTGATCGAAATGAAATGGAAGAAGATAAGATGTGGGAGACGGATAAGAAAAATCAGAGGATCTTTGGGAGAAGATGTGCGGGATCACGAAAGAAGTAGGGCATCTTCGCGAGATCAAGGATGTCAAAGACGAGCTGAGAGTGATTCGAAAGGTTCTTGAGGACAAAGAGGCGGTGATTAACCAGTATCGAGCCCATCAGAGAGGACCTCATCGCCCGAAAAGGATGTACTGGCCAGCCTGAAGGACAATCTCTATTTTCGAGTTTCGAAGATCAAGCTGCTTTTTCGGGATGCGTCCTTGGTGGAAAGCTGGGTAAGTTTTCTAGCCGCTACGTATTTGCCTAGGTACCGGGAAAGTGGCGGTCGGTCATATATCTCCAGATGCCCAGTGCCGCATACCTCTTTGCAGCTCAACTATATTTTGGACATTAAGCAGAAACAAGGAAACCTCGACGTGACGGAAACCAGGGCGCTCAAGGGGAAGTGGAATAACCAGATGCTTTTCATCTTCACGGTGATAACCGTGGTGTTCGTAGAGCTCCCCACGATGCCGCATAGGTTGCGACTCGAATATCTTGCTGACAAGGCCCCAGACACCTATCTATTTCACAGCTGGGTTTCTCGCTACCCCAGGTTCAGAATCCCCCTAAGAAAACGGGCATGGAGACGTCGCTTGGCGATGGTGGCAGATATTCATTGCAGCTCGTAAGTTGCAATATCGCTCATACCTAACGTCTTCCACGGTTGATTTGACCCTTCCTAGTGGTAACGGAAATAGCAACATTTCTGGCTGTCGTAGCGTGCTTGCTTGGACAAAAAACAGAACCAGTCTGGCTAAAGACGAAACCGGGTTGGAAACATGAGAGAAGTTCGGTTTGGAGGACCAAAAACAACGACAACTGCCAGTCTAAAACGTCACAGGAACGGACTGGAGTTGATGTTGCCCGTTGTACCCATGTATCAGACTGTCGGATGTCGGGTTAACTAAATCCGACGCAAGCTCGCCCAGCCATTGGCTTGGCCCCGTCCCGCGCCCTGACGCGAACCCGTACTACTAAAACACTCGAAAATTCTTTGCAGTAAATTTTTTCCCCCCCCTCTTCCCTTCTTCTTCCACACATCACGGATCTGTACCCAGCCAATCCTCTCGCCGCTGCTCTCTGCCCCCAGGTAGCGAGTACGTTGCTTGAAGTCGATAGCTGCGGTAGCTCGGCCCATTACAGAGCACATTCGACTGCACACGCAGGTGGTGTGTTTCTGGCCGACAGGTCCCAGAGCGACGTTACCTTTTCGCGCGTGCTCGCCCTCGCAAGGGGACTTGAGCGCGTCTGCGGATCTGTCTTCGAGATACCATATTCCACTCCTCTCACTCAGGCCCTGGCCCATGAAGTTGAGGCAAACCATGGCAACCTACAATTCTCTATACCTACTTGGTCCCGCGCTTCTCGTCGAAGCTTCCGTCCATCTAGAGCGCCCTGTCTTCGGTATAGGTAGGCCTAATGATCGTCCCAGGTTAGGAGTACAAGGTGGCTGGCGGAGCTTGCGCCAACATGGATTAGTAGTATTCCTAGAAGGATGTATGTTAGTGACGAAGCATGATAATGGTTACTGCACATAAGTGGCAAGGGCGCCAGGGGTTTGATTTTGTGATGGTGAGGCATAGTAAGCGTTTTGATGAGGCGAGAAGCACCGAAAAGAGCCAGGACTGAAAGTGATGAAGACGTGCGAAATATCCGGCGCCGGCCTCACCTAGTGTTCTCGTACTACAGGGCATACGACCTACTGATTTCCCGCGCAAAAGCAAGATGGGATCCACGCCGGGGATGACTCTGTGACTACCTGATTCCTCCTACCAGCCGACCCTCTGGTTGATTAGCGAGAGTAAAGGCGCCTGGGAAACCCGGCACTCTCCTTCTACTGTATCTGGTAGGTCTATTTCGGCAAGGACCAATTTTACAGAAATAAGATAGATATCAGCTGGTCGGGCCAGCAAAATTAGAACGCAAAAAATAGGTAGCTATCAAACGCGCTATAGATTATACGGGGAGAGTGCATTCGCATAAAAGAAGGCAGAAGACGTTTGACGCCAAATGGTTATGCATTTATGGCACTTATTTTCTTACCAAGGTACAACTTGCCCCTCCAAAACTTCCACCGCCCCCTGTTACCTCGTCAGCTGTGCGTCCCAAAGTAAACATACCATACCCTAACCTACTTGCATACGCTCCGAGACAACTTGACGGGTGAGCTGCCCTCTCTCACCGCAGACTCGGCGCCGTATTACTTGAAACCAGCCAATTGAGGGAATACCTATACCTACGTCGCATCCCCATCCACGCGACCTGCCTTCTTTTTATCTCGTCCTTGTCTGGCCCCGGCTCGCGCCGCCTCGCACCCGTGTTGACTGGGCGCTCTCTCCGCTTTCTCTCTCGAACCAGACTATCTATCTAGCCCCTACCTCTCTCTCTCTCCTCCCTGCCGCACGCCTTACCTGCCAACATCGCGCGCGGGCCCCTCCCCTCCTCCATCGACCCGCCGCTCCCGCTCCCGCTCCCCCCCCAAGGCTCCGACCACCCACGCCGTCGCTCGCTCGTCGACCCGACCCTACCGCCCTCACCCACTCCGCGCCAGCGCGGCCCGCTGCCCGCTTACCTGCCTGCCCACCGATTTACACCCACCGATCTACACCCGCCGGCGCCCCCCCCCCCCCCCCCCTAGCCCCGGCCATGGCCGCCGACGACGCCAGCGGCGCCCACCGCCCCATCGAGCTCCAGACGCCCGACGACCTCGCGTACCTCGTGGCCAACGTGCGGCGCGCCGCGGCGGCGCGGCTCGACGAGGCGTTCCCGCCGCTCGCGGGCGGCGGCGCCGCCGAGGGCACGGCGGGCGAGGACGAGCTGCGCACGCGCATCGAGGAGCTGGTTGACGAGGTGGGTTTGCGTCTCTTGTCCCCCCTCCCCCTCTCTCTTCTCTCTTCCCTCTTCTCTCTCCTTTCTTGGTCGTCGTTTTTTTTTTTTCGTCTACTCCGTCTCCCACTCCCTTTCCCTCCTTTTCGCGGCTTGACGGCCGCCTCCTGTACTTCCCGCGCGCGGCGAGCCGCGGTTCCCCTACATGCAATTATGCGAGGGGCGGGTAGGCGGATGGGCGCGCGCTGCTGCGCGTTGCTAGCTAGGGGTGGGGCCTGGCCTCGAAGACTTGGCGCCGTGTGGGGAGGGTGAAACGGGCCCAGGTTGGTATATAGTGGGCGTTAGCACAGCAAACTATCACATACGACCATAGGATCTGGAAAACTCGGGATCCCGTCCGCTCTCCCATAGATAAGCCAGATACCGCCGGATTAGTAGTTGGGTCGGTGACGACCAGCGAATCCCCGGTGTTGTATGTTTTGTCTTTTTTTTTTTGGCTTTTTTCCTTCATTTCTCTCTCTATTTTCTTGACCATCCTCTTTTTTCTTATTTACCACAGTCTGTATTGCTACTATCTGTATTCTCTTCCCTCATCATTTCATAATTACAACCCGCGCACCGCCCTCCCCTTTCCCCCCTCCCCTTTTCCTTCTCCCTCCCAGGCAGCCCCTATATCGCACCTCGCCCGACACGGCCTCTCGCTAACTAACGCCGCCTCGGCCCGATCGGGGAACAACAGTACATCGCGCGCACCTTCTCGCTCGCGGGCCCGAACCTGTCGATCAACGGGCTGCCAGTAGAGGACATATCACCGTTCCTATCGGGCGACGGCGGCGGCGGCGGCGGCGCCTGGTCGACGGACCCGCTGCGGCCGGACGAGGTGTACGAGCCGTTCGACGCGCGCAAGCGCGCCCGCGTCGAGGAGCTCGCGCGCGAGGAGGAGGACCTGCTGCGCGACATCGCGCACCTCAAGAAGAGCGTGCCGGCGGCGGCGGCGGCCGCGTGGGCCGACGCGGCGCGCCGCGGCGTCGCCGACGACGAGGCCGCCCTCGCCGCCGCCAACGCGCGCGCCGCCGGCGCGTACGCGGCACACCCCGCCCCCGCCGCGGAGGGAGAGCCGCGGCCGCAGGCGCCGGAGCCGGCCCCCGCGTCGCTCCTCGGCGTCGAGGCCCTCGCCCTCGACCCCGACCGCCGGGCCGACGCCGAGCGCGCCTACCGCGACGCGGTCCGCGGCCTCGGCCGCCTCAAGCGCGAGATGCCGTCGGTGGTGGCGCGCATGGAGCGCGCGCGCGGCGCCGGCGAGTACGTGATCACGGAACGGTGAGCGCAAGGCCGGGAACCGGGTTTGTCGCGCTGCTTCTGCTGCTGCCCTCGTCCGCGTCCTGGGACGAGGCTGTGGGAAGCCCCCCCCCCCCACCCCCCGGGCAGCTACCCGCCGGGGAAGAAAGGGGGGCGCGGGAGAGAGGGAGGGGCATCCCGGAGGTGGAGGGTACGCGTGTGTCGTAGGTGCGTGGTAGACGGAGAGGTCGAGGGGAGAGGAAGAAAAATATCATCGCTACAGCCGCTGTGCTAGAGAATCTCCCCTAGTATAGTATACTCTGGCTTGCTCGAACGGACGACGTAGCTGTAATTGGAAGGGCAGCCGAAGAGCTGCGACGGATCGATACACCGACGTCCCTTTCTTCAGGAGCTCCTTTTTGCGATATGTGATTTTTCCCCCCGTCGCCTCGTTGCGTTTTTTGTCACCACCACCCCCGCGGCAACTCCTGGGCCGTATTGCAGCCGTAGACTCTCACCCCTAGCTCCCACCTTTAGCTGGGAGCCTGAAAAACGGGTTTCGCTTCTCCTACGGGATCGATTTAGCTACTACGTACGAGACTACTAGCAACGCGTGGTGTACTACGTAGTATGTTGGTAGGAGGTAGTATGCATGTGATGTAAACATCGCCGCGTCCCCCCTGCACTTCCCCTTTAACCCCTTGGCTCGGGCTTACATAAATACTTACTTATACACACGCGTCTTACTAATCTATGGTGCTGCCTTTCGTACGTATGCAAGCAGCCACGACAGGTCACAGCCTCATGTCCAGGGGGGGAAGGGCGCGCGGGTGGAACAGGGAAAGGATAGTGATGCAATGTTCGATCGCAGACGCAGTCCTCGTTTCGTCTCGACAGCCGAGCCACTCAGTATCCCCTAGTTCGTCCTCCGCCTGCTGCCTCGGGGACTTCGGTCGTATTTATCCTTCCCATCCATTATAATTACCGCCATACCTACGATAGAAGCCTCGATTTCGACGACAGCGATGTATTCTCTATAGACACTGAATGGTTATTGCGTCTCGGCAGCTTGTTAGTGTCCGTCGCCGGCGTAAGGCGACTTACACACTGGGGTTTGCAGTGGAGGAAGAAAAAGAAGTGATGTGGAAGGCCAAGGTTGTATATATGTGCGTATATAAACGGGGACGCGCCCTGGCGTCGAACGGGGCGAAAAATCGCTGTCCGAAATTAAGAGCACGCGAGCGTGGTGATGTCTGTAGCCTCCCTCCCTCACCCTATCCGGGATGCTACAAAGCCGTTCTATCTGGAAAAAACTCACACTCCCGACTAAATACGCCCCGCTTCGTCTCTCCGGAATGAAGCCCCCTGCCCTTTTCCATTTTTACCCTAATTGTATCTAAGCAGCACCCGGACCAGATCCGATCTCCGTGGCCTCATTCTTGATCGCTTCCCCGCCCTCCTCCCACCAGGCAGGCCGGGCATACTGAGGATCGCACCAGGGGCCGGCGTTGCTAAGCCCGCAGCCGCCCTCGCACTCGCAGGTACCGCCAAACTCCTTCGGCAGGTTCTCGGCGGGGATCTGAGCGAGCAGTTCTTTTTGGTAGTTGGACCCGAGGACGTTGATCTTCTCGACGGTGACAGGGTCGAGCAGGGGGCGGACCATGCGCCAGACACCGGTGAAGAGCCAGTTGGTGTTGATGAGGTACATGCGGCCGAGGCGCTCAGGGTAGTAGTTCTGGCTCATGCCGGAGGCCTCCTGGATATAGCCAAAGACCTGACGGGCGTTGCCGAAGCCGACGCCGTTGAAATCCATGATGGTGCAGGACGTCTCGAGCAGGTGGCCAGCCTTGCGTGAGCAAGCAGGCAGCCGGGGGTCGGCCATCTTCTCGTACTCGACAGCGAGGTTGGTCAACATGTGCTCGTACTCGATACCCTCGTTCTTCATGGCGACGATGTCGATCTTGCCGAGCTGTTCGATGTAGACCGGTCGGCCATCCTGTCGCCGCGGCGGTGAGCATTACGTCTCCGCGGCGGACCGTGCCAAAAACACATACCTTGTCTGTCTTGTGGTAAAACTGGGGGTAGTACTTGGAGACCTTTCTCTTGAAAGACCCATCCTTGTCCCACTCGCCCACTTCTTCGTCGAGCACGACGATCTCGCCGTTGATCTTCAGGGGCTGGCCGGCGTAGAGGATAGTCTTTCGCCACTTTTCAGTGTCGACGAACCTTGTTGCTAGGTCAGCTTCTCTCTTCCTCGTCTCCCCCTGTCGACGCCAGGCCCTTGCTATCGCCGGGGGCGCTCACATTTTCTTGGCCAGGTTTACATCGAATTTTCGGGCTCGCAGAAACCGTAGCTAACATAACGCCAGGGAAATTGTCAGCAGGTGCCCACGCACGATGCGGCGTTTTTGGAGGAAGGGGGACTTGTGTAGAACGGTGCACGCACCAACGTTAGTGTATCCAGACGCTTGGTGTATCCTTCGCTCTCGAGCAGCATGCGCAGCTGGTGCACCTGGGCCTGCTGAGCCTCGGTCAAGTTGCCCGGATGGCCAGGCTTCGGATCAGGGGCGACGGTAGGGTAGTCATAGTGGTCGTACTTGGGATCCAACTCCATCGTAGCGGTAGGAAATGCAAGGAGGCCGGGTTGCCGAGCGAGCGGGATATACCAGACTACCTAACGAAGGTAGACGGCGAGGACGGATAGAGCAAAGGGGCACCGACGACGTCGCGTTCAGAACACGGTAGCAATGCCAACTCGGGGATAGGCGGACGGGCAGAGAGGGAGGGAGAGACGTAGTGTAACGGCGAGTAGAGGCGGAAGAGGCACCGAGAGAGGGAGGGGGAAAAAGAAAAAGAAAAGAGACAAAGGCGGACAGGTAGGCAAATAAGCCGGTGGTCCTTGGTGAGGTTGGTGTTATGTGATCGAGGAAGACCAAGGCGGTAAGCAATTTCTGGTGGAGGTAGGGTTCTGGGTAGGTTGTTGAGGTACAGATTACGATATGTGGACGAGTCGCTGTGGATGGATGGATTCGGTATGGAGTGTAGGCGGACGGCCCCCGTAAAAATAAAGGGTAATTGGGAGGATTGGCGCTGGAGGAGAAAAAAAAGGGTGGCGGTGGGCGGGCATGTCCAGGTGGACCGCTGCCATTGGTGCGCAGCGGTGAGGTCCGGAGGAGGGGGGGAGTGTGTGGAAAGGGAGAGGGGGGTAGGTCGAGGCTAGAACCTTAAAAAGCCCACAGCCTCCAGAGCTCTCTCCGCGTCAGGCAATTCAGGGGTCCATACCACAGGTACGCGGACTGCGCACGTATTTCGAGTGCAGAAGGGATGTACCTACGGTACGGATATCGCCCACAGGCAGACTACATATAGGTACAGACGGACATACCACAGGGAGGAGGCAGGTACCGACATTAGGTGCACCCCGGGCAGCAGCGCCGAATGCACCGCCCACTCCCATACGTAGGACTGACGTGCGTACCTGCCCCGGGCGCTACACGCTAGGTGCGCTGCGTCTTCGATTAGGGGGCAGGAGGCACCTAACTAATGTGTAGGGAGCTTTTGTGGGCGGGGCGGCCTCATTACGCGAAGCGGGAGGCACCTCGCTCTCCATGTTGGTGTACCTACCTCCTACCTCCCTTAGGTACCTACCCTATCTAACTGACCTGTGCTGTGCCAGAGCCAAGGTAGCCTCCCCGAACATCCCTGATCCGCGCCCAGACCGGCGATGCCAATATAGTTTCCCAGGCCCATGCCACCGCTCGAAGCCATACGAGATTTCATTTCTACCCCGGAGCTGCTATCGAAACGCGCGACAAGACCCAGGCGTGAAGCTGCGGGGCGAGCGGGAGGCCAAAAAGGAGCAAGACCCTACTACTTACTACCTTACCTACATGCGGATACGATGAATGCCCTCCCCTATGTTCATATCTGGCTAGATGCAAGGTGGCAGCAGGTATCTACTGCTGAAAAATACCACTCTTCGCCAAAACCCACCGGCGGCGCCCTGCTCAACGGATTGCGTCACGCTCCAGACGAACGGCCGCGCAACGGTTAGACAGCCTCGACGTGACGGAAAGCCGGCGTAGTTGGTGCATAAGACGTCCATCTCGTCCGCACCTGTAGGTAAGGTCTGCATCTCTCTCTCTCTCTCGTCACCCTCTCCCCGACCACGTTTTTCGAGACAGATTGTATGCCCGGCAAAGCAGAGAGTCAGTAATAAATGCCTAGGCAGGTCGCTCGAGCACTTAGGCTATTATTCGAGTACTCCGCACAACGAACATCCAACAGTCGTTGAGTCTAACGGTAACACCGCTTGGCTACAGGTAGCTCGCTACTACCTACCTTAAGTAACCTGCCGGGCAATCGTCTCTCCACACCCATGCACGACAACGCGAGCGCGACGGGATCCCCCTTTCACCCGTTCGGCTGCCCGTCCCCGTCCGCCTCTCCCTTCCCTTTACGCTCCTCGTCCGCCTTTTCTTTCCGCTTCTGCATCACGTCCCAGTTGTACACCCTCGCGATCGCCACCTCCATCGTCTATTCGGGACACCGGTCAGCTCGGCTTCCCGAGGCCGCGGGACAGTAGACTCACCGTGATCTGCTCCCGGAGGAAATCCAGGTCCTCCTCGCAGTTGGCGTGGCTCTGTCTCGCCGCCGACAGCTTGGTCGTGAGGAGCGTCTCGGCTTCGTCGATGGGGTACGCCAGCATCACGTTCGCCTGTGCACACATTCGTCAATCCACCGCCCATCATCTCTCAGCCGGCCGGCCCTGGGGTCCCGTAGATGACCTACCCCGAGCCATAGGTAGACCTCCTCGGTAGGTGGTATCGACGCCTTGGCGTACAGCGTGTCGCTAAGTTCGAATGTCGTCTCGATCGGCTCCGAGTCCGCCTGTACACGCGAATGCCCAGCGTCAGCCAACACTGCCCCGAAACCCACCGTGATCGGCGCCCGGTGGTGTGGGGAGGGCAAGGCATCCGCGTACCGTCCGCGTCTTCAGGAACTGCACCGTCTCTAGCGTCTTTTGTATGTCGGGCATCTTGTCCTTGAGCCCGGCGATCCTCCGCTGTAGGTTGAGCTCCATAAACTGGTATTTCCTAGGTTTGGGCTCGCGCTCCCCTCTGGGTTAGCGAGGCACGTTCCGACCGAGGGGCGATGATGGCGACGGCAAGATCGAAGAGAGGTACGGAATACGATGCCGAGTAGGAAGGCAAAATCATTATAGATAGGTTTCGTACGAGATCATCTCCTGGAAGCTGCGCAGGGTAGATTGGACGTCCTCCCTCGAGGTCACGTAGTCCTCGACCTTATCGACGAACGGGGCGGTGGGAATACCTCTCGGATTCGTAGGCGTACTCGCGGCGACATCCCCCCTAGATACACACACGCCATCGCGTCGGACCTCGTCAGCGAAATGCTCAGGAGCGGCGCGGGAGGAGGTTGGGTTGCGGGCCATACTGTGCGGCCCGGTCTTTGCCTTTGGCAGACATCTTGTGGTGTACGTGCGTGCCACTTCGAGTTGAGTATACCCTTTTAGCGCATAGCTGTGGACAGCCAGACGGGCAAATACTGGATCAGACCGGAATCAGGGTGTTCCGCAGTCCCAAGAAGTCGGCGTGGGAGGGTGGCTGTCGTCTGATCGAGACTGGCAGTAGAACAAGGTCATTTAGCAGGGAATAAAAAGAATTAGCACATACCTAAATAGCATGGGTTGGCCTGAAAGGCGGGGGAGAGCTCCGAGACTCACCGTGCCCTCACCTAGGTGAAAGAGGGGCAGGCCAGAGAACTCCTACATCAGCATAGAGTATCCTGTTACGGTCAAAGGGGGCCAGCCGCTACCGTATTCCGTATTGCTGCTCGGTATCTGTTGGTTCCTACCACACCGTAACGTAGCCGTATCGGTATTACTATTTGCGGTCTTCGGCAGCTTGCATCTTCCCCCCCTCTCCTCCCCCCTCCCGCCATGCCGGCCGCCTTGCTCTATTTTAACCCTTTGCTTCCGCATTACCTAGGTACCTTTGGTACCTCCAACGTCCCCTAGAGTCGGCCTGCACATGCATTGCTGCATGCATACATAGGATATATGCGTGTACTTCTACTACCTATAAACATTAAGTACCTCATATAAGACCTGCCTGGGGGGATGTCGTGGCTTGTCACACTGCAACAGAACACACCTACCTCTACCTACCTACTCATACCCGTGGCCCATCCGACAAGTCACCCTGCAGCACCGAATACCGCATCGTCGCATTTCTGCAGAGGGGAGGTCCCTGTATAATAGGAGGCGTCGGTGGCGCATCGCTACGTGGGCGGCGCCGTCGCTATAAATGTCGGCGGGCGCACGCGTCGCCGAGACTCCAAACCACCCCGGCAACGCCATCCTCCCCTCTCCCCTCCCTACCTGCAAGCGTCCGCTACAAGCACCGCCCTCGCCCTCGCCCTCGCCGCCGCCACCACCACTCCTCCCACCCCCCCCCCAAAACCCCCCCCGCCACCGCCGACCTGGACGACCCCATGGGCCAGGCGCCGTCGCAGGTCGACCTCGAGACGCGGGTCGAGGACCCGCCGGGCGGGGCGCGGCCGCGCGGGCTCGCGCTGGTCGCGCACGGCCGGCTCGGCGGCACCATGGACCAGCCCCCCGTGCGCCGCCTCGCCGAGTACCTGCGCGACGCGCGCCGCCTGCGCGTCGTCACCTGGAACGCGCGCGGCGTCGGCGCCAGCGCCGGCGGCAACGAGTGGTCCAGCCCCGCCGTCTGGACCGGCGGCCCCTCCGTCGACGACTACAACGTGCGTTGCCCCCCCCCCCCCCCGCCCCCAAGAGAGAGAGAGAGAGAAAGAGCGCTCTGGCTAACGCGAGACTTGCGTCCGCACGAGTAGAGGCTGCTCCGCGAGTCGATGGCAAAGTTCCTGCAGGACTTCCCCGACGCCAGCGGGGCCGACCTATTTATCTGCGTATGATTCCCCTCGTTCCTCTTACCCATCCCCGCGGCTCTGATCCTCTCGTTTCTGACCGGAGGGGGCCCGCGCGGCGCCCGGGGGTTTGCAGGGGTACTCGGCGGGCGCGGTGTTCGCGGGGAGCGCGCGGCCGGCGGCGGAGCTGGGGGCGCGGTTCGCGTGGCCGCGGTACGTGCTGGTGTCGTTCCCGGTGGACCTGCTGCCGGCGATGGCGCTGGGGCTGACGGGGCGGTACCTCCGGGCGGTCGAGGCGCTCGCGCAGGGCCACGGCTGGGAGGGGCTGCCGCCCGAGTTCGCCGGCTCCGAGCCCGGCGTCGCCGGCGTGCTCACCGTCTCCGCCGCCGCCCGCCGACGCCGCCTTCGGCTACCACGCCTGGGCCGCCGTCCTCGCCGCCAAGAACCGCCGCCGCGTCCTCCGCCAGGTCGTCGTCCCCGCCACCGACCACCCCTGGAACGGCACCGCCCACCGCATCGTCGAGGAGGTCGACAGCTGGCTCGCCGGCACCTAGCTTCCGCGGCCGGATCCCGCCCGTCGGCGCTGCTAGGGGGGATGTCGGGAAGGAATGGGAGAAGAGGAAAGGAAAGGAAAGGAGGAGGTAAAAAAAACGAGTAAAAACAGGACGGAAAAGAAAGGAAGAAAAGTGATATGATAAGACCGTAACGGCTATGCTTGTATCTAGCGACATGTTGACGCTGTAGATGAACCTTCGATGCGACGTCACCAGCTGCTGCCAAAATAGTTGCACTGTCGCGCCATGAAGGTGGATTTGCCTTGCACGGGGCGCAATCCGTTAAAATCTCGGATGGAGCTGTTCGTACTTGAACCGGACTCGTGCCCAGATGTGTGCACTCAAGGCGATTTGGGGGAAGTATTCGGATATCTTATCACGTTATTAAAACCAATCTTATGGCAGCCAGGGGAAGCTATAACAGAGTATCACAATGCATTCTCTATAATATCTAGTCCTGTGTATGTGCCCCTTTTGACAAACCCTTATGATTCTAGGTAACAATGCCTAATGATGCGACTAGGTATTATCTTCATCCCAACCCCAAATTTTCCGCCCTCGGGGCCCTAGCCCCCAAATGCCCGCTCCGATTTCATAACATGCTGCTAATCTGAGCCTATAAAACAAGAATTGCTTTCTTAGAAAGACACGGTCGAAGTGAAGAGTCGAGGCGTCGTAGGGGTTCAAGGTGATGGTAGTAGTGATAATAATGGTCAGGTTGGCGCCGTAAAAACTGCATGTATTATTTCTCTATATATATGCTTAGAAAGAGGGTGGGTGGGCGAAGAGCGGCTCGTTGGGCTCGCAGATGGTGCCCGGTTTCGGCAGCGTGCCCTCGAGGAAGTACCTCTGGATGTAGCCGTCGGTGCAGTTAGAGGGTTGGGTCATGGCGAGATGCTGCGCGTAGGGAAGGCATGTTAGCTCTTTACTCTGCCACCTTTCTATATGGGCAAAGGGGGGCACAGGGGGAGAAGAGAAGAAAGTTGGGGCGAAAGCGGGAACAGGTGACTTACACCATGCCCATTGTGCTGAAGCAGTACGCTGCCCTCGAAGCCGGAGCTCACATTCTTGGCAGAGACGAGAGGAGTGACAGGGTCCCAGGTATTACCGACGAAGAGCAACGGGTTCTTGGTGCGGACGTGGAAGTCGCCCTCGTAGCGCTCCTTGGCCTCAAACTTCCACTGGGCACATGGCAGAACCCAGTAGCCCCAGGCCCAGTCCCAGAACCACTGGCTGGTCTTGATGAAGCGGGATAGGACATCCGAGAGGTCTGAGAGGTGATCGCTACGCGGGCCCTTGTCGCCGCAGCGGATGCCGAGGATTGCCTGGTCTTCCTGGGGGATGCCGGGGCCTAGGGCGAACGCGACTAACGTGTCCCAGTTGTTTTCGTGCACGATCTGGTCGATTCCCGCCGAGAGCTGCGGCCACGAACTTGGCCGGTAGAGTGATGAGAAGATGAAGCCCTTGAATAATGTATAGTCGATCACGGCCTCGCCCCTATACGACACAGGTTGTTCGCGGACCGCCGCGAAGAGATCTGTCATAATCTGCTCGAGCTCCTGCGCCGTGTGGTTACGCGCCAGTGGGCAGTTCTCAGGTGCCTTGACGCAACCTGAGAGGAACTCGCGGAACGTGTCGTCTGCTGAGGCCAGGAACTCGGGCTCGCCACTCAAGATATTTTCTAGTCAGAATAGGCTGTGAAAGAGGGGGCAGGGACGAAGGAGAGAGAGAAATACGTACAAGGAGTGGTAATACTCGTGAACGTTCATCACACCATCAAGCAATACTTTGTCCACCCTGTCGGGGAACATGGCGCTGACAGTGGCGCCTAATGTAGTGCCGCCTGATATACCTGTAATAATGACGAAGCCTCGGTCAGCCTGGCTCTACTTGTAATAGCCTGGAGGAAAACGACCGCAGTATCGACAAAAATAAGAAACTCACCCCAATACCGTAGCATGCCGTCCTCGCCGAGGGCGTCGACAATGCTAATCATGTCGCGAGCCGTATAAGCCATGCCGACGTAGTTTCCGATATCTTTCAGGTTCTTGTAGCACTGTTCGGCTATGACACCCCCCTCAGCCCAGAGCTGGCCTACCGCCGTGTCTGCCGACCCGGCCAGCGTCGTGCCCATAGCCGCGTAGTAGCCCGACGGGTCGGTTGGAAAGCACGAGAAGCGTAGCGTGCTGCCAGTTCCTCTGCGGATTGGGCCGTGTAAGTCTTCAGGCAGGGTTCCTTGAGTCGAAGGACCTTTCTTACCTCGGATCCCAAGTAACCAGGTCGTGATAGCCGCCGAGGACACTGAGCGACGAAGACCCATTAGTAACAACTCTTCTATCTTCGTCTCCTTCTACTCCGCCCTCCTCGTCACATGAAATATTCATGTGACGGAAACAGGCTGCGACAGGCCGACTTACGGGCCCTGGATCGGTGCGTAGGCGGGCAGACTCTCTACGCCGGGCTGGCCGGGGCCACCGAAGTTCAGGAGGATGCTGCCGCGGCGGGGCTCCTTCGTAGCCGGGATGCGGGCGAGGTCGAGCTCGATGGTTCGTGTGTCGCTCTCGTTAAGGTAGTCAAGCGGGACGGTCAGCTTCGCGCACTGGATCGGCAGCGTCGTGTTCTGCCGGAGCTGGCACGGCCCCCATTTCAGCGTCGACCCATCCGTCGGGTAGTCGCGCCGGATCGCGCTCGCGTCCGCGCCGAGGCCGGATAAAGTGAGAGCGAGAGCCCCGAGGACCCTCAAAGATGATGGTAATACCATTATTTCTCGTCGCCGAGGAGCGAGTAGGTGGAGGGAAAAACACAGGAAACAGCAGCGTGTGGATCGGTAACAACGGAGGCAGATTAGATGGGTGGACAGACGGCTGCAGAAGTCTCGATGCTCGAGCTGGCTTGCCTTGGCTCTCCTTGACCGTAACTTGGATGTTATGACGGACGACGGATATCGGGTGGACGGCCGGGCGGCATATATATACCTACCTACGCAGTTATTCCTCCTCGGACGCGCTGACCCGGGGCTTAGTCCAGGTATTCACTTGGCCGAGACACACGTCCTCTTCAAATAAAACGACTCCCTTGTGGTGCCGTCATGGCAACGGACCGCCCTACTGCATGCCGAATGCAGTAAAGACAAGTAGGGAGCAGCACTGCAAAGTACAGCCTCATTTTGCAGCTAGCCGGGGGGCAGGCGACTAGCTTACGATCCCATACTCGTCGACCCTACTCGGCGACTGAGCTGATCCGCCTAGAGTCTATATCTCCGTGGGTCTCGAGCAGGACGGCCAATCAGACTGGAGTCTTCTTCTTTTTTGTCTTGGCTTCGTCAACCCCAGAAAAGACGGGGCAGACAGGAATACGGCGTATCTGCCGCATTGGGTCCGCTCGGCGCACATCCTGCCCGATATGGCTGCCCGACTCAGCCCTAAATGCGCTTGGCGGCAGACCCGAGAATGGCTCACTATTCCCAACCGTTTTTTTCTGTTCTTTCCTATTTCTACCGCCTTTCTCTGAAACTAGACTCGTATGTCGTCGTCTGTATCGCTCCGTCGCCCCCGGTTTCTTTGCCAGCCAGCGCAGACTTGGCAGACGGTAGATCTCTTGGTACGCGGTAGGTCCCGCAACTACAGGAAATCCAGGTTAGATGCTGACGTCATCGCCGTCGTCGATTCATACTCGATGCGTCCGGGCCACCACGCCAACAGCAAAGAGCGGTAAAGCTGAGGCGGAATCGGCACATTGGACGCCTATCTACGCATGGGATGCGCGCAGGTGAGAATGTTTAGGGGTTTGGCAGGAGAAGGGAGCGGAGGGGGAGAAGATGAGATGAGATGAGTTCATCTCCGGATCTTGACTTCCCGCGCCAAACCAGATGAGGGGACTATGATGATTCAACTGTAGAGGTACATGCCTACTCGTATGCCGTCGAACTGGTCCCCGCTCTGGAGATCCTTCGACACAGCCAACAGCCACCAGCCACACGCTCAAGGTACGTAGTTGAATACGGCGTATCGCGCCGGGGAGGTACCTACAGGCACTTATTAATATTATTAGGGGCAGCGCTGCAGCATCGTGGAGATTAAAGGTAAAGGGGGAGCTAGGATTGTAACGTAGGTGCCTACCTACGTACCTATAGTGCCGAATGCTGGTTGTCGTCTGCGTTGTGACTTGCGCATCAGGTAGGTAACAACAACAATAACATGGAACCCCGTACCCCCTTTACCCAAGTCTATTACTCCCCCTTAACCGTCGCGTACCATCGCACTAGACACACGCGCCTACACCTACGCCTACGCCCACACCCACCATGCATACACACGGCGTACGCACTCATACACACGCATACGCACACACATACATGCGGACAACACATACATACATACACACACACATACATACATACACGCATACATACACATACATACGACTCGTAATATAATCTTATTCCGCCGCCTGCAGCTCATCACACTATCTGCAACGAACTACCACCTCAGCGACCAAAATCACAGGACCGGCCAAGCAGCAGCAGCAGCAGCAGCAGCAGCAGCAGCACGAACCGGCCAGCCAGCCAGCCAATTGCTGCCAAGTAGGTGTCGGGAACCACGGCGTGCATGCGTCTGGGGGCGCGCGAGAGGAGGGAGAGACCTTACGCGGACGCCTCTGGGGCCGACCCGTTCTATTCGCTCCCGTGCCGGCCCACCCCCGTAGCATCGCCGTCCTCACGTAGCATCCTGCAGTGTATGTACATATATAAATATATATATACAATGGATAAGGGTCCCCCTCTCTGCTCGCCCGGCGAAAGCACCTGTCACCTCGTTAAATCATTCTAGATGCGATGCGATCCGATCCTGATGCCACCCTGGCCACCCACCCCGAGAGGACCAACCAACCAACCAACCGGCCAACCACCACGCTATCGCCCGCTGCTACCGTGCCGTGTTGCTATACGCGCACCCCCTCTCTCCTTTCCGCCGTAATCTTCGACGATGCCCGCACCGGCCGCCCGAACCCTACATGCTCTCAGGCGTCCCCCCTACCCCCCACCCCACACACACACGTAGTTGCATTGGTCCGGGGGGGCGAGCTGGTAGGTAGGTAAGCCGCCTTGGAACCGGCGTAGGATAGAGAAGACGGGGAGATCTAGTTGGTCGTTGCCGTAGCGGAGGGGAAGCCGGGAGAAAGAAAAAAAAAAGACCAGGACGAACAAAAAGAAGAGGCAGAGGCCGGAGAGAGAAAGAGGAGAAGAAGAAGGGGAGAAAGAAATCCCCAACTGTCACAACTTCCCCTCGCCGCATACGCTGCGCGAGCCGGCCGCTGCGGGATTATCATCAGCATCGACCTAGGTCGGCCAGCCGGCGAGCCGAGATCGCCCCTCTCCTCCAGCCAGCCCAGCCACCCACACCCGCACATTGGCTATGCACGCCGACCAGGACGCTAGAGGCCCCCCCCCCTCCGCCCGCCAGGCAGCCGGACGGGGGAGACAGACCGCGGCCAATTAACACCTCCCTCCCGGCGCTTGCCTCCGGACCGCCAAGTGGCAGAAGCGTCCCCCCCCCCCCCCCCCCCGGTCTCGCGTTTCGCCTCCACCTTCCACGCCGGCGGAATTGGCTAGCGGGAAGGCGAGGGACGAGAAGAAGAAGCAGCAGCACTGAAACCGAGGAGGAGGGGGGGGATGTGCTTGGTCGCGTGATCTGATCCGTCTGTAAACTCCGGTGTGCGAGCGGGACGCACGTAGTTTTTAGGGCGGGCGGCTCAGGTTGTGTAGGTGCTGAAGGTTGGGCAGGTAGGTAGGTAGGTAGGTGGGTGGTGAGCTGCTTGCCGTACGGCCCCCCACCCCTCGGTAAGGCTGCTATTCGCGGATAGAAATGGGCATTGCTGAATGCTAGCATCCCCAACCAGGCCCCTCGAAACGGCCCGCTGTCCGGAGATAGGAGCCCGTCAATGGCCCGTAGCTGAATAGCCCATCGGGGGTTGGATCGTGACATGGGCATTCTCCCCTGAGTCGTAGCACACGCTGCGTCGTGGCGAGAGAGGAAGAGGCGGCGGCGTCCTACTAGCAACCATCCCAACCGGCGTGGAGCCTACGATTTCACGAGCGGGAAGACGTGGCGCGAGGCTCGTTGTAAACATCGCCATATATAACTTCACATCTCATCAAAGCTATGGTGGCGCTTTCTGATATCCCGCGATTCGTCCCGCCCACACCTGCCCCCTGTCTCGTTCACGCCTGGATCGCTTTTCGATGCCGCCCGTCCCGTGTGGTGATATCATTATAAATAAATAAAACCCCCCCCCTCCCCTTGCCCGGACGCCCGCCAAGCAGAGAAAAAGGAAAGAAAAGAAAAAAAAGGGAGCTGAGAAAAAGAACAGCACCGCCCGCAACGGTTCTGATGATGATTTTCGATAATGCCTGACAAGATACATTGGCTCGCACCGTCCCCGTATCATAGAGTGACCGCCCGCCCGCCCGAAACCCGAACATATTAGAAACAAACGTTAACGTAGTAGATCTCACGTGTCCTCTTCCATACTGCTATTGTATCCGCTGACAGCTCCGCCCGCAGTCGCGGCCGAGCTCCCCGTGGTTATCTTGGACAGTTCCGAGGGCTTCCCGCTGCGGCCCCGCTTGAAGTCGCTAAGGTCGGGCGCCTCGTCGGCGTTCTCGGGCGAGATGCTGCCGCTCGCGTCGTAGCCGTGGACGTCGTCGGAATGCTCGTCCTCCTCGTCGTTCCCGGACAGGTCGATATCCGAGCTCGGGTCGTCTTCCAAGATTGCCCGGCGGCTCATCAAGCTCCCCTCTGACGCGGCCTCGCCGCTCTCCTCCTCTTCGTCCAGGTCCGAATCGCCGCCGGGGAAGTAGAACGTAGCGGGGGGGAGGGGGACGGGGGGCAGCTTACGCATCTGATCGGCGAGGTACTCGATCTTGATGGGATGCGCCTGGATGACGGTCGGGAGGTGCAGCGGCATCGGCGATCCGGTCGTCATCGTGGCTAGCTTGCTGATGATAGAGTCCGTCGTAATCTTGGAATCCGCCGCCGTCTTCGCGCTCGGACGATCGAGAAAGCTCGGTCGCATCGGCAGGGTCTCGTCGCCGTCGGAGCAGCAGCTGTCGTTGTCGTCGTCTTCGCCGTAGCGGGCGTACTTTGGCCGCCGCGTCGACACAACTACGACGAAATGGTCCTCGGGAGAAACGCCGCCCAGCCCGCTGGCCTCGAGCTTCGACAGGGCAGGCTGCTGCTTACCGTCGGACCAGGGGAAGTCGGCGTCGATATCGTCGTCGGTCTCGCCCGCAGTCAGGTCGGGCAGGTCGGGCTCGTCCTGGTCCATGGGGTCGCCGCGGGGGTCGGGGACGCTGCTGAGCGGTCGGAAGGGAATCGACGATCCCGAGGTAGAGCGCTGGATCTGCGGACGTGCGATGCCGAAGCCCAGCGGGCAGCAGGGATCGTGGGACTCGTTCGGGTCGGTGTCGCGCAGGGCCCGCTCGCCCGATGAAGTCATATCGTACGTGTTGGGCGACACCTCGCCCTCTCCAAAGTCGCCCGACAGGTCGGTGCAGAAGGGTGCCCCGCTGTAGTAGATGATTGCGCCGTCGCGTCGGCGCTTACGCTGTGAAACGCCCGACACACCGCTCTGCCCCCACCGCGAATTCATTCCCAGGTTGCTCTCCTCGGGCGGCCCGTACGACGACCCCGTCTCCTCCCCTACCGACGGCAATTCGTCAGACAGCGACGCCTGGTGGTGCACGAACAAGGGCTTGTAGTGGAAGCTCTCCGACGAGTTCGACTCCTGCAGCCCCAACCCGAACTTGGACGGCTTGTGCGCCGTGACGTCATTCTTGCCCGCCGCCTGCGTCTTCTGCTTCTTCCGCTGGTCCTGGCCGTTGGACCCGTCCGTGTCGTCGCTTGATTGGTTGCGCTGCGACGTGCTCGTGCTCTCGCTGCTGAACCTGGTCCCTTCTTCCCCGCCCCGCCAGCGGATCTTCCGCCCGTCCAGCGACAATTGGAACTGCGTGCTCTTCTCCGACACCGCGTTGCGGATAAATGCCGGCGTCACATTGAACATGTGCAGCTGCGCCAGGTTGCAGAGCAGATTGAGGTACACCCAGCCCTCCGCGTCTGGCGACACGTCCCGTGCCGAGTATTGCATCTGAGATTCCGGTGCGACCAACCCCAGGTGGCGTATGTAGCTCATATTCTCCGACGGCACCTGCCGGCGATCAGGGTCCAGGTCGCGTGGCCGCGTCGGGCGTTGTTCTGGCGGCGGCATGGCCCCCCGAGGTGACGTGTTATTGCCGGTCCCGAGGCCGCCGCTGACGTGTCCGCTCCCGCTCCCGCTCCCGCTGCCGTTCCCGTTGTCTCGAGATTCCGTCTGGTCGCCGTTCGAGTGCGAGTTGGAGTGCGAATGCGAGTGCGACGCCGACGCGTTGTCGCGCGAGCTGCTCTCCTTGCGTCGCAGATTCCGCGGTCGGATCTGCGCCTCGCGTATCGCCTCCGTCGGGGGCACCACCTTGTCGTCCGACGCCTCCATCTGCACGTCCTCCGTGATCGGCTCGGGCACCAGGGGCAACGGCACCTTGTCGGCCGGATCGCCCATCTTCCCCGTGAACAGATGTTCGAGCCTCTTGACCACCAGCTTCTTCTTCTCGTTCTCCGTCATCGCTGTCGGCCGGGGCCGTAGGCCCTCGGGAATGTCTCGTAGATAGCTTTCGATCCTCTGATCGGAGCGCTGCCGTGCCGCCTTGGCCTGGCCGGGGAGCGAGGGGACCGACGAACATTGGCCGGTGGACATGGACGCGTACGCCGAATCCACCGGTCGCGAATTCGACCCCGAGGATGAGGACGCGTGCTTAGACATCGACGAGTGCACGTTTTTGGACTTGCCAAGCACCTTTTTCCGGTTCGGGGACGCGCCGGTGCTCGAGCCCTCCAGGTTCGTGGTGAAATCGCGGAGGGCGGCCTCCAACTCGCGCTTCTTCCGGCTCGACAGCCCGTGAACCTTGACTTCGAACAATTTATCCCTCCGCATCGAGTCGGGCCCCATCTGTCGGTATTTTCGAAGCTCCTCTTTCAAGCGCTTGTTTTCGACCGTCAGGTCGTCGATGACGCTGCGGTAGTCGTCGGCGCTGCTGCTATGGGTGACCCCAGGGCGGAGTCCGGGCGTGCGGCTGTGGGCGAACCGGTACGCCGGGCTGCGCGACGACACCCCGTAACCGCCGTACTTTGCGGCCTCTTCGTTTGAGGAATCCGTCTCCTTGGGGTAGAATGGCGGGTCGATGTCCATTGCCGTCGTATCTAGATTGCCCACCGCGTTCTGGTTCGACGAATCGAACCATTTCTTGGGGTCGCTCAGACCGGTCTCGTTGCTGTCCCCCGACGAGTTCCTCCTCGGCGACTTGAGCGCCGAGGCTGGGGGGACGGGGCCGGGCGTCGGGGAGAGGCGCCTGGTGACATCTCTGGCCAGGCGGTGGTGTCGGAGGGTGATGGAGTTGCCTGGGGACGTCCTTCGCGGGTTCTTGTGCTTGGTATTGGGAGATGATGCTGGTGGCGGTAATTGCGAGGGCGGTGGCTCGGAGCTTGCCGGCGTGTTCTTGGGATCCGGCATGGCTGTCTTCTCATCGGACGATACCTTCGTATGTAGATACTAGTAGCTGGTGCCGGAGCGAAGAGAAAAGAAAAAAAATAGCTCTCTCAACGATCATGCATAGGTATGCAGTAAGCAGAGCGGCGACACGGCCATCAATACGGAGGCTCTATTTTTCATGGCAACAGACCTGTTAGCAAACAAGCCTGACGGGAGAGGGTTCGCTACCGAGCCTAAGTATAAAGGTGAGAGGGCATGGGCGGACAAAGTTATGAAGAGAAGAAGGGTGCGGGTGAGGCGTGTGGTAGCAATCTGGCTCAGCGCGGACGACGATCAGGTGCAATGGGTCGATAATGACAGGCAGCGGAGAAGTGCGAGAAGGCAATGGAAACATGGGCTCCGCCTGCGAGATGGCGTTGAGGTGCACAGAGTCGGGGCGCGGTAGCCGAAAGGAGGTTGGACTGGTGGAAAGTCGACAATGCAACGTCATACCTTGGAATAGCTGGGGAGGGACTTGTCGTAGTTCGAAAGGGGGGGGGGGGGAGGGTAGCTCGAACAGGTACGTACGCATGTAGGTATACCTATACGCAAGGTATGCGTAGGCGGGTTGTTCTAGCGACCTGACCTAACCTGACCTGGCCTGATTCGGACTCGAGATCGCACTGGGGACGGATGGAGCAGCGGTGGTGGGGGTGTTGGGTGATTTGGGTACGTGGGATTGGCCGCCTGGCAGAATGGGCGAGCGGACGAATAAGACGCGCCTAGATAGGGTGCGTATGTGTGTATGTGCGTGTGTGTGTGTGCGTGCGTGCGTGCGTGCGTGCGTGTGTGTGTGTGTGTGGTGTGTGCGCGCGTTGTAATGGTATTACGAGCAGTTCGCGGGCGAGGTGGGTGAGAGCGGTGGTAAGAGGGAGAAGCAGAGGAGAAGCAGAAGAAGAGGAGGAGGAGGAGGCGTGGCGGTAGCGACGGCCGGTGAGACTGGTAGTGGCGGTCGTGATCGTGGGTGGTGGTGGTGGTGGTGGTGGTATGGAGCAGCGTCGCAGCTGTGGAAGGTGTCAATTCGAGTTCGGCGAGAAAGATGCAGAGCAGATACAGAGCGTCGTCTCGAAGGCGATCACGATATTAAAACGCAGAAAAAAAGAGATCGAGTCGAGTCGGGGCGATGGCGGACGGGTCCGGGAAAGGCGTCTGGCTGGACTACGTAGTGGTGTAGTAATAGGCTAGCCGAGTCGGCAGAGCGTGGGCCAGCGAGGCTAAGAATAGGGAAGAGAACAGGATGCGATGGCGGTGTATGGTAAATGATGCGGGAAGAATGATGATGATCAATCGCGGGAACGGCCCATCTGCATCGAGATTCCCGATTATCACGTTCCATCCGTTGCTATTTCGAGAGGTGGGAAAAGCGCTGGGGCGCGCGGGCGGGAGGAGAGAAAGAGAGAGGGAGGGAGGGAGGGGGGGGGGAGGAAAATAATTAAGCTAGATCGATCTGGCGAACGGGGACGGGGCCTTCTGCGCTCTGCGCTGGCCAACACCTTCGCGCAGCTTCGCACATCTCGTATGCCGTCCCCGATGGTTAAAAATTTGGCCCTTTTCCTAGGTATTTCGGCACGGCCGCCTGTGTGGGCTGCCCGCCGATTCGCATCCGCCCATCTCGCCCATCCCCCATGCGGCGGTACATCGGGCCAGGCCCGCGGCGCGGTGGCCAGCGAGGTACCACGGCGCAGGCCAGGTGGGACGGGCGCGTGAGCGCTGCGGCACCCAGGTCTGACGGCCTCGTCTTGTCCCGCCTGTGAGAGCGCAGTTACGAGGTGCTACCTGGGCGGCCGCGACGGTTGAGCGGTTCGATCTTTAATCGACATCGGGAACCTTTCCATCGGACCCGCTTTTGTGCCAGGAGAGGCTCTAGGCCCTGCCACGCCCCCCATTGGGCCGCCGGCGGGTGCGTCGTACGACTTGGCCCGGGTACGTACCCGGTACCTCTGGCTCTGCGCGGCGGCCTGCCTGCGCATGGCCACCCCATCGCGTACCCAGGCGTTTTAGCGAGGACCCTGACTCTGCAACCTCGCCCGCCTTACACGCTCACTCCCCTCTCCTGTCACCGCGGCCGCACTCCCCTACCTAACCCACCCACCGCCAGGGCGGCCGCGCTACGTTGCGGTGCCGCCTACGGGGGAGGGTGGCACTCGCACCCATCACCTACATCATCGCCGGGTCAGTGGGTGGGTACGCGGGTACCTGTCCGCTACCGCGACCCCCTCCGCGCTGCCCTCCGCACCCCCCTCCCCTAATTTTGCTAGCAAGAAGCCGATCGCCGATCCAACTGCCGCAATTCGTCGATCCGCTAACTGGCATTCGATCTGTAGCACATCTTTAGTCTACCCGTCAGGACCTATACAAGTCTGCCCTCCCTCTCTGCGACGTCGGCAATGCTTTGTGCCGAGAGAGAGGAAAAACATCTCTCTCTCTTCTCTCGAGCCCTGCCACCCTCCCGATACGTACCCCATACCCGCACCCTCCCTACCTCTTACTCCTCCTCCTCCCTCTGTAGTGCATATGCCTCTCTCCCCACTCGCCTAGCCAGCCAATTCCGTTGGGTACCTAAAGCCGTGTCGCGGCGGGGGGGGGAAGGGATGGGATCGCAAGTGGTGCGTTCCAATTGACAGTCGTGGCTCCACACGTACCTAGACGCTGCTCGTTCCGGTAAGAGGCAGCAGAGCACCCAATGCATACCCAGATGGGTATACTGCGTGTGCGTTGGGTGGCGCGCCCGCCCGGCTGGCTTAGTAGAGGCCCGTCCCCCATCTGCTGTCCCCGTCGGCCGCGCTGCCCTCGTGATTACCTGGCCTGCGATGCTGCTAACACGACGTCGCTCCCATCTTCCGGCGTGGGCCAAAAGCGAGTGGGGAGATCCAGGCTTGTCGGCGGGCCGTTGGTTTTGGTGGCTGCTGGCACGGTCACGTGCCCCACAGGCCCTGCCTGCCCGGGCGGCTGCACCGATGCTGCACCGATACAGATGTTGAGTACCTATATAGATGTATCATGTATCACGTAGCACACGCCATGTCATAGTACCAGGTAGCATTATGTAATGTCGTCCAGCCTACTACTACTTCTGTGCACTCGTAGTCCGCCATGCCATGCCATCCTATCCTGCCTGATCTTGTCTGACCAGTCCCCGAACGTCATCTCCCAATCCTTCCTCGCAGTATGACATCAATTACCAGGAACCAGAGTCAGGGGATCGAAGATGGGAACCCTTGTCCCACCGGCCTAGTGCGGGATGCCTCTTGTGACGTGCGCTCTGGGATACGAAGTTCTTGGCCGGAGGGAATGCCAAAGGCGGATGGCTTCCGGCTGATGGCACCGCGCCAGAGCAGAGTCGGCAGAATGCGATCCCAACCTGGGGACGGGATCAGGCTCTTTTAAGACCCCTTCCTGTCCATCTTCCCCCTCCCCGGCTTGTCGACGCCGGTCCAAGGCAGACGAACATTGCAGAGAAGTGGGTTGCTAGCAGCCCCACCCGGGCCGGTTATGGTCACGACGCGTCGCTGTTCGAGGGACATCTTGCCTGTCTAAATATATCGGTACACACTGCTCCACTATATACACTGCTCCACTACTCATAAACCGGGGTCTATACTAGTGCAGCCTCGAACTCGAACTCTACGGTTGGTAGCGCCTATTTATTCCTAGATCCTCCGCCTACCCAAGACGTTTCCGATGCCGTGGTGTGCCGCATCTAACCTCAATACCACACTCTCGGTCTTCGGTTGTTTCGCTGCCCCAGATGCGATAATGCGAAGTCTTGGAATCCAACAGCTTTGCTTCCCCCTCCTATCCGGCAGCGTCGGTATCTGGATCCGTAGACTGCATCGAGACCGTGTCTCCGCAGGTGTGGGTAAGCGTGATCCACTGTGTGTCTTTCCGGCTCTCTGGCCAATACTCGTATTCGGTCCAGAGTTCGGACACCTCAAGAGCGCGATGCACTCCGGTGCGTGGCGATAACCTCTTGCCGCGGTAACTCGCGCCGGGCCCGTGCCCGTACCATGTTGCCGCTGCGCCGGGCCCTCCCCCCGACCGCCCCGGAGGCCTCTCTATGCTCGGCCCTATGCGTGGCAGCGTCCGCGGCAAGTTCTTCCGTGCAGGTACGTCTCTGACGCGGATCGCGGCGGGCCCCGGGGACGTGAATCTATACGTGATATCTAGATCGATAGACTGGCGAGAGCATCGGCGGGTGAGAGTGCTGCTCCACTCGCACGAACGACGAAGGCGTGGCCGTCGCCCTCAACACCCCACTCGCAGGTGCGGGTGTGGGACTTGGCGGGGTGGAGCGGCTGGCTCCTGTAGTTCTGCTTGTCTTGGGGCGCGTCGTTGTCAGCCGGTGCACGGTAAGCGGTGAATTGTGGTCCTGTGGCCAAGATCTCGGCGCCGTTTTTAATGAAGGAAGACAGCACCCCGTAGCCAGGCCCAAAGGTCCAGGCCGTTCTCGCGGAGGCGATGGTAAGGCGGGTGGGGGGGTCTCGCCCACGGCGAGTTTGGTACGTGAGGGGTAGCGGTTGCAGGGCTAGGTGGATCGATGTGGTTGCTCAGCGCGATCTCGGCAAAAGCAGCTTCGAATCCCTCGAGACAAAGTGGCGGAACGTTGGTAGGATGAGAGTTGCATGACGCATCCTCCCACCAGACTAGCCAGTGGCGACGGGGAGCGCTATGATGGCTGTCTGGCCGGGTCCTACGCCAGCAGGAATCTCGATTCCACCGGCTCGGGAGGTCGACTCGCCTTCCTCTACGATGGTGTAGCTGCGTTCGAGATGAACAGGGGTTACGGTGTCGTAGCGGTTAACGATGGTTGCTTCCCCAGCTGTGCATGACACAGCCCCGACTGGCTCAATCGCCTTTTTGCACTCGATCTGCTCTTGTGCCGGCGTGCGATCGGGGTATGGCAACCTGTTCGTTCATGGTGAAGTTTCCATCTTTCAGTGCATCTGCGATGTCTCCGCCATACACATAAAACTCCTCGCCAGTCTTGTTGTGTATAGCGAGGAGCCCGTGGTTAGACCGCTATCAGACAAACCCACTCTCCACCCGACGGTATGCCATAGAAAGCGTCGATGTATTCTGTGATGTTACTAGGGCCACTCCCCCTTGTGTAGGCACATTCGCATAAGACTAGTAGTTTTGTCTGGGTACTCTCCCTGGCGAAGTCGACGCTGATTTCCACTGACGGATACATCACGGAGTACATATCCGCGGCCTCCGCGTGTCCCGGCTTGGTAGTATATTGGCCTATTCCTGTCGTACGACTCAATTTAATCGTATGTCGCTCGGTGGCTGCGACCGAAGACTGCCTCATTGCCTAGCGACCAGGTGACCACGCTGGGATGCAGCCGGTCACGGTGGACAATCGACTGTGCGCGGTCCACGTAGGCCTCCTCCGAAACAGGATTATCAGTCGTCCATTCGGCAGCTTCGTCTCGCGTTAAGAGTTGACGCCCCCGAAAAGCGAGGGCTCTAATGGTAGGGGAGAGGGCGGCGCCGTCTAAGGTGAGATCGTGTCAGAAACTTTCCAAAATGCGTTTGCGTGGCTGGATCAGCACAAGGTGTACGTGTAGCTTGCAGATCGGTTCGAAGCTATGACACTCAAGGTCTAATACTTTGTTCATGGCCTAGAACTGTGAAAAGCGACAGCGTGAGCACACGTCCGAAGCAGAGCAGAAAATTCCCCAGAGAATATGTACCTACACCTGACTCTTCAACGGGATCGTACAGCCGCATGTCACTTGGCCGGTGGTAGGTACGGGTGGTGTTGACGTTGTGCGCGTTCATTAGCAGGAGATCTCATATCGGCACCTTGGACGACACGGCACGCCCGGTCCGGGGGTCGTGCCCACGACGGTCGACGCTGCGGGAGACGATCGGCTGCCCGTTGACCTTGGTGGGGCCGCCCCTGACGCGCACGAAGCCCAAGCAATGCGAGATGGTGCGGCGTCGGCGTCTCGGCGGTCCACTTCGCGGGGTCGCGCGCCGGGAGGGAGAATTTGACCAATGCCCCCCCTTCTCGGACGGCCTTTATCCCCGATTTTGCGCTTCGGCAGGTCGAGGGGGTCGGCCCGGACCGACCCAGGCCTCGTGATGTCCACGCGCATGCGGAGGATCGCGTCGATATATTGGTCGTCGAGGTTCATCCGTACAAAGAGCTTACCCCCTCGAGGTGTGAAGGCGCTGGGAAGGAGAGGAGGCAGAGGTCGCCCAAGATAGCTTGTCGGGTTAGCTTGGGGGAGCTCTTACGGGGACAAGGCCGGCAGGTGTGGAAATACTTGTGCTCCGCTCATCCTCCTCCATTGGTCCTGTTGACAGGCTGACATCAATATGGCCTGTTCGCGAGCGCACGCTGAGACAACGAATTGTCGCGAAGCTACTGTGCACCGATCGATTGTTCGTGCCAAGTAAGGAGGCGGCACTTTTCGTGGAACACAAGCATACCTGGCCCTTAACATATCCCGTAGTAGTATTGATATACTCGTGCCACGAGGGTGTTGCCAACTCCCGTCTCCGGTAATTAGACCGGTGACATCCAAGTCTGCCGGGTTCCGCGAGCTCTGGTGGTACCCGACCTCCTGCCTGTTGATCCAGATATAGTACGCCTTTACCTACATAGGAGCCGCAGTTGCGGCCGGGACATCTCAGCCGACGTACTCTTCGTCTTGCTCGCCTTGCCCCCGCGGATTCTGTTATCATCATCTGAAGAGGAACAAGGGGGGGGGCCATAAACAAATTTCCTCACGTACGCCCTCGTCTCGTCCACGTCGAGCGGCACGCGCCGTGGGTCCGCCGGAATCGGGAATTTGACGTTCCTGTACCACAGCGCACCACGGCCGTCGGTCTGCGCGGCAACGTTTGCGCATTCCGAGTCGACAAACCCAGTCGGTGCGTCAAGGCGGAGCTTCCAGGTACTCGAGAGGCAGGCAGCGGAGGCATCGGTGCTAGTGTCGATCGCTGCGGTGGCGGTGGCGGTGGCGGAAAGGAGACCATCGTAGGCTAGCTCTTCGCGGGGCGAGCTGCATACGTGGAAGTTGGCGCGTTGCGGGAGCATATTCTCGTGTCGGACGGCGAGGATGGATCAGTCGGGTAAGGACGCAGGCTGGGATCTTGGCAAGATGGACATCTTCCTTCCTCCTTTCTTTCTTTCTTTTTGTCTCCCTCTCCCCTCTCCTTCCTCTTTGGTCTTTTCTTTGCCTCCTCTCCTGTAGGTGTGGATGGTGTCAGGATGTGGGCTGCTAAGGGCCAGGAAGAAGAGGGGTGCCGGGAGATGCGCGAGGTGTGACGAGGGACTGGCGACGGTTCGTGTGTCTATACCATCTTGGGGCCGGCTCGAGAGGAGAAGCGTAGGCAGCTGGAGGGTCCAGGGGCAGCTCGAGCTTACTTAGCTAAACACCAAGCTGATTGACCCCCCAACCTAAGTACGTGCGCATAGATGAGGAGAAGCGTCCACGTTCCGGCCGGACTGTCGGCAGGGGATCCGGGCTCGCCACCGAGGGGGGATGCCCACGGATGTGTGTGTGGTATAGCGAGGCAATGAAACGGCGGAGGGCAGGTATTGCCTATCGAATATGTATCTGCAAAAGATCCACACAAGGGAGGAACGCGCTTTCCGAGATATACCATGAACTGGCGATCCTAACCTAACAGGACGCGTGATGCTACCCCTGAGCGAAGCGCCATCTCAAGGGGGGTCATCCGGTAAGGGTGCGGGGAAGATGTGGCCGCGGAATGGGTCAATCAGACTGGCTGATGGCTCGACGGTGCCATGAGTAAAGGGCCGGTAAGGAGCCTGCGCGCATAGCGTCGAGCTTTGAGTGGTAGGCGGGTACAGGAGGTTGGACAGCATGTAACCTCGTTGACGTCAAGTATGCATTCTTATCATCACGAAGCCTCGTCCATAAATGACAGCTCTCTTTCGGTCACGGTCGGGATTGCGGGAGGATCACGATGACGAGGTGGCAGTAAGTCATGCGGTGAAAACATCAACAACGGCCGGTGTATACATATACACACATTTGTAGATTGAGAAGGGGGTATCTACGTAGATTTCGGAAGGGAAATGATTGGAGGACCCGATACCGTACCCAAAGAATCCCCAGTTCGTGAACCAAATCCGGCCGTCCCATCAGCTTTTGACCGTGTCGTAGTGTACACCCAGAACACACCCAGACACCAGGTTGTTAATACAGGCTTCGAGAGATTGTCGTTTTCTACGTCCCAGAGTAGATTGCCGTCACAAACCGGCCGCATTCTACACGTTGCTCGACGCTGACCTTCCTACCCTTGCCGCCTTCCCCCAGCCTAACCTTGGTCCTGGGTGCGACCTGGAGCCGGGGGCGTTCCCCCTTCCATCCCTTCTCTGCGCCGGCCTCTTCGCCATCTAGGGGCTCGATATACGTGGGCGAGGGGATGTTGTTTCTCTTGCCGGTGCCGAGTTGGTAAAATTCGTTGCCGCCCCAGAATAAGACATCTGCACCAAAATTTGTGTCCTTGGCGGAATCGCGCGCCGAGGCCTTGACGGAGGTTACATTGTCCATCACCGCGGCCGCGTGTGTGCTGCCGGCGCTTAGTCGTGAAAGGCGGATCGGCGTAGCCGAACCCCTCTTCTCGTCCCATTCGTAGAGGCCGGAAAGCAGCTTGATCTTTGATGGGCCGAGCGAAACATGTGTCCACTTGCCAGTTCCCAAGCTACCCGAGATCCCGGATCCACAAGCCCAGGTGTCGGCCGTTACCTGGTCGACGTCTTCTAAATCGTCATCCTCCAGGAAACCCGCAACACGCGTCGCATCCACCGCGAAAAATGATGTTGCACCACCGGCGGCAATGGAGGTGATGCGCGGGTGTCGTTTGGTGCCGCTGTAAATCTTATTAAAAGGGAGTGGAATAGGAGTAGCAATGAATGGAATCTCGGGTTCCACTTCAAATCCGAGCTGGCCGAAGGAATTGTCGCCAAACACAAATACGTATCCCTTATCATCGAGTGCTAGAGAATGATGGTCGCCTGTGGCGATCTGCGTGATCTTAAATCCCTGCAACCCAAGAATTTCATGAGGTGCATCATACGGTCCCTTGGGGCGGGTCGCCCAGGTGAGACCTGGTATACCCATTTGACCCTTTGAGGGAAATTCCGACGTGCTTGAAGCGGCCGAGAAGACTCGGCCTCTAGAGGTGAGAAGCAGGGCGTGCTCTAGACCGCTAGATATATCGACGACATCCTCAAACCACCCCAGGTTCCGTGGTGTTATTTGTCGATAGTTGACAGTATTATCGGGAGTGGACCAAAAGGAGAACCATGACTGGGCAGAGCTATGACTAGAGTATTGGTCTGAGCTAGCGACAGGTACTGAGTATACGGCACCGTCCTTACTGAGGGCGATGATACGGTCTCGTGATATGGCAATCTTGACAATATTCTTGCCTCGTAGAGTCTCCACGGGGGCGGGGTTCGTCTTCGAGAAGGCAGTCCCCCACTGCACAAGATCGCCAGCCTCAGTCACGGCAGCGCCGAACTCGCGGTCGAGTTTGATATCGCGCAATAGCTTTCCATCGAAGTACGGTATCCTCCGCGGCGTTTTGATAACAGCCTCCGAGGAGTCGGGGGCAGCTACGCGGCCCGAGTTAGCGCCCCAGGCATAGACTCCGGGGCTTTCCCAGCTCTTCTTCGCTTGGAGATGTTGGCTGCTGATGATATCGCGATTATCTTCTTTCGACTCGGGTAGGGGCATGGATCTTTCGTTTTCGACAACCGCCTCCTCGCACGGCTTTGCGGCTTTCCCGGTGAGATATGGATATGATATTACCGCACCGCCAGCGGCTAGAGCTACTAGTACGCTCCCCAAAAATTTCCCGGCACCACCACGCTTACGTCTTCTCCCGTCCGTCCCACCTCCGTCTGACGTAACAATACCTCTCGGCCATTGGCGGATCGAGGGATTTGGAAGGTTTACGGCACGATAAAGGAGGGCTGTCCGGCGCAATGCGGCTCGGCGTAGCGCCATTGTTGAAGAGAAAGTGGTTCACACAGTGGTTTACTAGTAGTGCTTGACGAGCGCGATGGGCGGAATTGGCTTGGGGCGGGGGCTTTGCGCCAGAGCAATAGATGGCTCAAATCATGCTTGGCTATTCTTTCCTAGTGAGCTCAGAATACGGTTGTGATTTATATTGATATTGGCGTGTGGAGAGGCGGGATGAAGGGCGAGAAGAGATGAAGAGATGAGATCGAGGGACAGAGGAGGGATCGAAGACGGACGAAAGAGATGGTGAGGTCATCCAATCAAAGCCTCGCTAAAATAATATGCGATAACAAGCGGGACGAGAGCTCCGTCCAGCGCTATGATTGGTCCAGAACCCCGCTTAGCACGATTACATCGCTGTACCTTAGTATCTCGAAGAAAGCGGACACTGTCAAGCTGCTGTAGACGGGCTGACAAATAGATCAACAAAGTTCTACTAGCCGTCGACGGCTGTCAGAACCTCCTTGGAAAGGTTCCTGGTATCGGAGCGCGGGTAAATCTAGGGTCCGGACAGGGACGTGTAGGGAGGGCAAAGTCCACGGTCAATGTCCACTGACGTTATTGGCGATCAGAATAATTCAACAGTCGACTCTCACGTCCCCGATGTGACCTGCGGACGAGCCATGTACGAAGATTCCTGGTACAACTTCGTTCCGGATCATACCCACAAGAGGAATCCCTCTACACAACAGACCTCAGGACATCGGAGGAGGGGATCCCTCCTGCAACAGCCCAATGTCGGTCTTGTCTCTGTCTCGCTCTCTGCTACTTGCAATCTTGCCTCGATCGCAACATCTGGCGGCCGAAGCTGACAGGAAATCTAGGGGGCCAATCAGCCTGACGCCGTCGAACCGCTAGACCGGTTATTTGAAGAGCCGGAAACATCCATCGACCCTCCCGAACCGACCTTGACTCGGAGAGCCAAGTCCTACTCCGACTTCTACCGTGTCGTGCGTGCGCAGCTGTCCAAAGATGCCGTCGCGAAGAAGAGAAGGAGGAAGGCCAAGGAGAGGAGCCTAGATGCGCTGATGATTGGGGGGCCCGAAATTGACGACGCGTCCCAAGCGCTGCCCCGGCTAGCGTCTCTCGACGGTGAATTAATCGAGGCCAGCCAACGCGAATACTTGTATGGCACCCTGTCGTCCGACGGAGCGACGAATTGGCCGCTGACACGGTCGCAGGCTCTACCGAGACCAGCTCGGACTGGCTGAGCGTCATCTGGACACGTTGATAGGCGACGCGAATGGTGCCCTAGATCTGCTCACATCCCTGGCCGATTCGTTTCGTGCTGTCGAGTCACATACGTCTTCGTTCCAGGCCCAGTGCGATGACCTCCTAACGGAGGAGAGAAGGCTACGGAAACTGGCCGACGAAGTCGGAACTGATTGGTATTATTATGACTACCTCGACGGTGTCACGAGGAGGCTCAATGCGCCCGGCGCGAGTCGTCTGGCCAGCCACGAGAGCTTCGGTGAGATCCTCACCAACTTAGACGCTTGTATAGCTTTCATGGTAAAGCACGTAAGTCTCGGGGTGGCCTCTCTCCTACGCTCCCCGTCCCATTTGCTAAGCTTGTTGCCAGCCTGACTATCGGGATGCCGAATCCTACTTAGCAAGATACCAATCTTTGCTCACCAAAGCTCTCCATCTCCTTGAAGTCAGCTTTACGGGCCACCTCGACCGGATCTCGGCCGACATCTCTAAGCAGATTGTCGCTACGCAATCCGACTCCGCAAGGCATGCGCTCGCGTACGGCCGCTTTGAAGAGCTCGTTCTCGAGGCGGATGGTTTGGTTTTTAATGTTCAGCGCGTCGTTCGTAGTTGTTATGAACAGTTGGGAAACCCGATACCTGGGCAGAACTTTGACTACTACTCCAATACTGCCGTCAGTCTGTTCTCGTCCTATTCATCTATTAGAGACCGAGACCTGCGCCCCATGACTCAACAGGACCTTGCCGCTTTTAAAAAGGACGTTAAAGATGTCAATACCGAAACCGCCTGCCGCAACTTCATAAAGCGATGCTACGAGCGATCCTTTAACGAAGCTAGCCTGTTCGCTAAGGTTTTCTCCATAGAGCCTCAATACAACGCAGACGTACAGTCTGTGTATGCAATCCTTAGGCGTCAGCAAAGGGCCCTCGTTGACGCCGCGAATATCGCTCCTATCTCGACCACGCTTCAACCCGTTTTACAGCCAAGCGACTTGCAAACGGTCTGTAACTTACTCGGGTGGATTACGAACGAGTACCTGATACTCGAGGATGACGAGGAGGAGGAGACGCAGTATTCTATCCATTGCCACGATCTTACAGCACGGCTGCTCATCGAACATCTCTGGCCTTTGACTGACAACTCTTTTGATTCCGAAGTCACTAAATCTATATCCAGGGCTTCTATCTCCCCCGATGCCCTCAAGATTTCGCCAGTTGTAAATGGTATAGCTTCTTCCAATGCCTATCCAATCACGAAACGCGCTCTCGAGCTCTTGGCCATGTACGACCAAGCCATGCCGAAGGAACGAAGTGTGAGTGAAGCCTGTACATTCGCGCCTATAGATCCCGGCTAACGCCCATGTCATGTCAGTCGAGTCCTGTTGTCTTCCGGATTATCGATGAGACTATTCTCGCTCTACAGCGCGCCGAGTCCCGCTTGAAGGCTAGCAAGGCTGCTACTCCTGATCCCGACCCCGACTTATTCATGATCAAGAACCTGCTCATTCTTAAAAACGGACTAGTATCGCTCGAGATAGGTGACGTTAGACCTCACCCGGCCGCGATGCAACACTTTAGCCAAATATGGGACACGCTTAGCCCCCAGAACTGGTTGGGCCTATTCCGGGGCATCCTCGGTGGGACTCTCACCCTCAGCCTCTGGTCGTCGGCGGCCAATAGTACAGTGTTACCTGGTAGAAGCCAGGCTCCAGCGGAGCAAGATGCCCACGAGAAGTTGGACGACCTACTACGGCAGAGCATTTACGCGTTTACACAGCGGTGGGGAACGTTGATGAATGCCGCGAGAGGCGGAAAACGCGGTGCTCAGAGCTCGGCCGCGTTGGAGAAAGAGCTTGATGAGAAGCTATTAACTGCATTTGGCGGACAGCCCGAGGTTGTCGCCAAGCTGAAGGAGGCGATCCAGATCAACGCCCAAGCTCAAAAGGAGGTGAAGGCGGAGAAAAGCGTGAAGTAGCACGGAGACGTTTTCTAATGATATGATACACCACGGTCAACATATTCGACCATGAATCTGCGTACTGTCTGATTGTGACCCCAACCTACAGTGTGTTGGGAAATCGACTTTTACGTGAGCCAAGGCAACACAGGCAATTTCCTCAAACTGGGGTCGGACAGCATTGCCGATTTTCTTCGTTGCTGTATGGTGCGCTTACGCCCTCGACCATGATATTAATTCCATTATCCGGTTACCGTCTCGATTTGGTGGGCATTTGATGTCACGCCAATCGCATCACTAGCGACCCGCCCTTACCATATTCGACTCTATGCCACAATATTAGCACAGAGAGTTGCAGAGTCTCATTTGTTTAAACCCCCTATCAAAGAACGTGGAATACGTTTGTCTATATTATCCGGTCGAGTCTTGCTTTGCAGTGCGTATGGGGGACTATTCGGCACAGGACTTCTCTTAATGCCGAGGCTCTAGAGGTTGATAGAGAGCTTAAAGCCTCATCGTTGTCGGTGCCGCCACCACATAGTTATCGCCAACTGCGAATAAAGGTGCGGTATTTTGCTGCTGGACAAAGACCCATCGACTATCTGCGTGTGTGCCGTTCCCAGCAGCAGCTTTGAAGCCAACAGGGGGAGGGTATTGTCAAAGCCCTTTGAGTTGGTGCCGTATTAAGAACCAACACAACCTCAAGTGGCCTCGGAGATCCGTCTGACTTTTTCGTCGTCCTCAATACCCCGGTTTTCGACGATCCCATATCGTCTATAGATCTGTCAACCCGCACACCTAACTGACGCGTTTTCGGAGCAGCTCGTCCTCCTCCGCGGTCGATTGACGGATACGCCCAGCTATGGCCGCGCCCTCGGGATTGCAGACGCGTACGGTGCGGGTGCCGTACCTAAACGCGCGTGTCGGATACGCAACGTCGTACCCTTCGTCTGGCCCGGACCCGTCGAAGCCGACGGTAGTCTTGATTAACTCTCTGTGCACGACGGCAGCGCTGTACGCGCCGCAGCTTAGCAACGCGCGACTCGCCGCCGCCACGAACCTCATTGCGGTCGAGACCCTAGGCCATGGCGAGACGACGGCGTTGGCGTCTTGCCAAGGAGAGCAGGAGGAGGAGGAGGAGGATGTGCACTTCACATACTGGGATAGCGCGCGCGTTGCGCTTCAAGCCCTAGATAAGCTCAACGTCACCAAGGCCTATGTTCTAGGAACCAGCCAGGGCGGATGGATTGCTGTCCGAATGGCACTGCTGGCTCCCGAAAGGGTGAGTTCTTACTGCGTGATACAAGACGGCGGAGGGTTAGAGGTCGAGTTGTGGTGGGCGATGGGAATGCACTAGAGGCGTTAATGCTAATGCGAGGGGGGGCGCTGTTTCAGATCCTTGGTCTCGTCACGCTCGGGACTTCGATGGATTGCGAATCCAGCGAGTCACGCCAGAAGGGTTCCTGGTAAGTCCAACATTGGGTTTATGATTCAGCGTACACTTTGGGCTTTATGAAGAGAGCTTAGTGGACAACACTTCTTACCTCCTCCCCTCGCCTCCTCCACCCCTGTCATGTCTTACCCGCTTCTCCCTCTGGCCATCGGAGTCGGAGTTGGTACCCCTCCCGGGTGTCCAGATGGCTTGCGCCACAAGACACAGCCGAGAGGCGTTGGGGGGGGGGGGGGGGGGGGGAAGCAAGCTTGCTGTAATGGAAGAGACGCTAATGTGTTTGCTGCCGTCCGAAGGGATCCCTCTCCCTTCGTCACACCCTTCCTTGAGAAGTGGAGAGGCGCCACGGCGACACCCGACTTCGTCGTGGACGATAACTGGATCCAACCCGTAATCACGCTGGGATTTGGGTCCGCAGCCACTCCTGCGACCGTCGAGTACTGGACGGACAGTATGCGGCGAATCTACTCGGGTGACAACGGGCGACGCAAGGTCAGACTGTTGACGATATGCCTGGCCGAGAGAGACGGGCTATTGTACCGGCTCGGTGACATTAAGTGCCCCATCCACTGGCTACAGGTGAGTAACTTGGCCATACCCGCACCAGGAAGCGGATCGGGCGGGACCTCGGGCACGGTCCGGTTGATTGCTTAGATTCCGAGAGCTGACAGTGCGGTTTCGCGTACAGGGGTTAGAAGATCCAGTCTTCGGCTCGACTATCCCGCAAGAACATATTAAGCTGTTCACGGCGTCGCCGAGCGCGAAGCTCGACATTATCGACGGAGGCGCGCACCTCTTGACCGCGACGCACCCGGAGGAGGTCGAGGCGGCCATATTGGAGATGGTAGCAAACTCTTGAGGGGCGTCACGATGGGTAGTAGGGGTAGTAGGGGTACCTCGAGTGGCTCTCGTAAAGGGAGGGAGTGATTGATAGGATGTTCATGTTTAATTTGACGTTGGTAACGCCAGTAACTCTCCACCCCATGTCGGAATTGTTGCCGACCGTGGAACCGCCGTGTGCGCACTTGAGCTGCCATATTTCCCCCTCCCCACGCGATGTAGACATCAGCCGGTACTGTGTGATCGTCTTGTGTAATTTACTGCTAGTCTCAGACGCATGCACCACTGTGAGAGGCGTCCCGACATCCCTTCGCAGGCGGCTTGTCTCTCCTCCGTAACCTATGAAATGTTCCAACACCGGTATTCTGTGCCACACTGCACGTATTGGTTGGTTGGAGATGACATGCCCCGAGACCCTATTCTACCACCAACACGCATACAAACCAGATCAACTTGCGTGTACACGCGCTCTCCCTCTCACGCAGCGTTGCAATTCCCTACCGCTCACCTCGTGTCCTGTGCTGTTGGAAGCAAACCTCGGTACAAGTTTGCTCGCCTTCGAAGCTCAAACTGTACACGTAACAACAATTCGATACCCCCGGCGTCGTATATATTCCTGAGGCCGCTACGGGAACTCCTTGTTTGCGCCATCTGTCCCGATCTATCGTTCATGTGCAAAGGAAAACAGATCGACTCGCAGAAGCCAGACAAACAGTCGAAGAAACCCAACTCGGGATCAGCTCGTGCGCACATCCATATACCCAACGACACCCCACATTATCTCTCCGAAGATGAAGTTCACTCCGTTCACCTTCGTCCTCTGCCTCGGGCTCACCACGGCGTCCGCCTTGCCCGAACCAGGAGTCGATAGCCTAGTCAAGGATGTACGTACATCCCCCCTCAATGTCTGCTACTACGCAGCAGTAGACTGACAGGAGCGGGTGGGGTGACATAATCATAGGGTCTCTTGGAAAAGCGATGCTTCTCGACCGGATACGGATGCGGGACTGGCAGCCAATGCTGCTCGGGAGTCTGCATCTGCCCCACCTGTAGGACGGGTGGCTACTGTTCCTAGAAACAGATTATCCGTCTACCTATAATATAAGTATATTTAAAAGAGAGAGAATATGTTCGTGTCGCCGCACTACGCAGAGAACAGCGTTAGCCGACATTTGGTGACTGTCGTGCGACTGGTATCATCACCGCGAGTTCGCGTCGTGGGGGGGAAGAGAAGGATCGGCGGTCAAGTATCGGAAATATTTGGTCTGAAATAGATTAATAAGAAACCGGTTCGAACAGCATCTTGAGAATCCCGGCTGCAAGCCGCGTCCCGTGTCCTCCGCGCCCGTACCTCCCGCTTTCGCAGTAGACAAGATCAACGGCGTCTGCGAGCACTCCCAAGGTTAATACGACGCCCCTACCAGGCCTCAGCCCGTCCCTGAATCGTTATCCTGCCGAATGGCGGCGGCTAGGGATCCGACAAAATATTCGCTGTCATATCCGAATGGAGGCTTCAAAACAAAGTCAGTTGGGTGCTGAATATCCCTATTGGACTCGGGTTGATCGCGTACCATCCACGAAGCTTCCGTATAATCGCGCCTTTTCGCCTTTTTGTTGTGAAGTCGAGTCCCCTTTCGCGAAGAGCTAGATTTCTTCGCGGGCACGCAGAGGGCCGGCTCCTCAGTCTTAGTCGGTGTGGGGTACTCGTCGTCTACAACTTTAGATGCGTCTGTAGGCGGCTCTGGTTCCGACTCCTCCGACGGCGTGAGGGCCATTACGTCAGACCCCGATGTCGACTTGGGAACCTCCACTCCGAGGACGGGGGGTTCCGGCGTAGGCTCGGCTTTGGGCAGCTCGCGAGTCACAAGGAGGCCTTCGCCCACCAGCTCGCGCAGGTGCTTGAATAGTATGTCGCTAACTGTGATGCTCTCGCATTCCTCGCCAGGGAGGAATACGCCGGGGGGAGAGGCTGGCTCCTTTAGGAAAGACGACAGCTTGGTCTTGAGGTAGTTGTTGAGCCAGGCATCGTTGGTACTTGGTTTCGGGTATTCCTTATGTACCAGACCGAACACGCAAGGTGCAGACAGTCCGCTCCCAAGCTTTTCCATTTCAGCTTGGGCAAGCTCCTCTAGCGACGGCAGTTCGTATGTCTTGGCAGCGTTGTAAACATGGACGCTTGTCGTGAACTCGTCCATCCGTCTCTCAATGGATGCCGATTTTTCTTGGGTGTCGAGATATTGGTAGGTATCGGTTACAAGGTAATGGACCAAGATATGGCCTACATCGGGATGGATATCTAGCGGTGTTGAGCATTGACATTGAGAGGATAGCTTCGGGCATTTCCCCGATAGATAACCGGGGATGTAAAGTACAGTCGAATCCCGCAATGTCAACGCGACGCTTTTGGCAGTATAGGGGCTGGATCGTAATGTTAGTAGAAGTAAAAGGGCGGAAAATGAGGACTCACGAATATTTAGGTTGTGGGATGGCTAGGTTGCAGGAAGGGAGCAGCTCTCGATTCTTCTTCTTAAGACCCATATTGAAGGAACAAAGGTGTCGAGGTGTCCGTACGGTAACGAAGCCTACATGAGGCAGAGGAGGAGGGGGGACGGTGTCTAGTTAAATAACACCCAAAGTGCGGGGGCCGACCTACTCCCTCTCACCAGTGGATGCTGACGAGACGGAGCCCAACCAGAATGATTGGCAAAGCACAATTGGCACGCTCTCTGGAAGCGCCACCGTGCAAAGGAGTGAGACCGGCGCATGCTACCTACCACGAGTGTCCCGCGGAGATATTACCTAGCAGACTCGCATAGGTTACGTCGAGCCGATTTAACCCAATTAAGAGGTATAAAACCGCCGAAAAAATAATGAGATAATGGCAACTAATATCAAGTAAGTTATACCCTTTGCAGTTCCTTGATGGGGTGCCACTCCTAAGAGCACGGGTCGGCCCTGGCTACCAGACCAGTTTGCTTGCCTGTATTACAGAGCCCGTTCTTCTCTAGTGAATAGTTATTTGACTAGTTAAGCTGTTGGTACTCGACCGACTACCAACCTTCCTCACTTGATTCTCTTCAGTGTTCTAGCTTCCTTGGACCGAGACGAAATAACTCTGAGAAAAAGGATCGTTAATATCGGCCGGGTATGTCTAGTGGACGGGAAATAAGTAAAAGCCACGAGCGGAAAGGGGAGGGGGGGCAGGGCAGGATAAAATGGGCTGTTGCACCGGGGTATTTCTTATGTCGTGGAGGAAGCTGTATAACCCCAGGTATACAAGCGAGGACATAGAGACACCAGAATTTTCAAGAGGAATTACAGATATGGGGGTTCGTATTGTGTTGACTTGGTTATGGAAGCTATGGCGACCGTTGCCCTATGCTTGACCGTCTCAGTTCATCCCATTAGCAAGCCACTCTGCAGTGAAGTCCGTGACCAGGTCCACAACTTGGTGCTGGGCTTTGGACATTACGAGAGCGTCGTCGTTCTTCCTGGGCTGGCTCAGAACAAATTTGGTCTTTCCTCCGGCCGCCTGCTCGTCGGCTACGTCCTTGATATGAAGAAGCAGCCGGTGGAGATGTTGTAGAGTGCCAGAAACCTCACCAGTCTCCACCCAATACTGCATCTGACTCAGTGTCCGAGTCGAGCCATCTCCCTCTGTTTTGGTTATGGGTCCGTCTGTATCGAGCGTCTTGGTGACCGCCTCAAGCTGGCTTGTCATCTCGCGATTCTGCTCCTGGGGAGGGCGATACTCGAAGACCTGTGCCATCCTAGTTCCCGAGAACCACAGCTGACCCATGATCCTAAAGTTTACGCCAGTATGCTTTTCCTGACAGTAAGCTCCCAAGCTCTCGTTTTCGACGTTTGCAGTGTTGCCGACAAATATGGCGCGCGGCAGGGAAGAGGGTTCCTCCGGGCGGCCAACTTCCTAGTCATGACCGTCCCTGTAGAGGTAATCTTCCCCCAGAGGCTCACAAGCATGTTCCGTCGAACATATGCGATCTCCGTCTTGCACGACGAGCCTAAGTCCTCCCATGGTGTATGTGACGACTTGCTTGTAGGACGTGGGCGGGTTGAGGGTGGGGAGCTCGTGGTTGTTGATCGAAGGACACCACTCTAGCGCGTTTTCCTTCACGAACTGGGTCGCAGACTCGACCGCGATTCCATTCGTCGTGTAGGTGTTGAAAACCTTCATAAAGGTGACGCCGCTTTCCGTATGCAGCAACAGCCGAAGGCCATAATCACGCTTGGCCACCTTCGTTCCTAGATAGGAGTCTATGTCGTGAAGGACGGAAAACAGAGCCCACAGCGATTCCGTGTCTGTCACAATATGGGTGCCACGAAGATCCTCTAGCTTTTCCTGCAGCATAGCCACTCGACACAGGTCTTCGAAGAAGAAGGCCGGACGCTCTGTTCCGGTAACGTATTTAGCGAACTTGAAGGTCGGTGGGCAAGACGGGACGTCGGGGCCGTGGGGAATATGTCCTTATCAGTCTGTTAGCTTTCAAGGCGTTTACTAGTGGCATGGGCACCTACCAGGCACAACAAGGACGCGTAGATGGTCACCGGCCGGCGAACTATCAACCGGACCCCCTTCCTGATTATCACCTGGGCCACCGGATTTCGACAGCACACGTCGCTGTTCATTTTCAAGGGCTTCAGGGCTCGAGGCGAGACTAATCGTGTCCCGAGGGTGGTTGAAAGAGAAAAGGACCACCGGAACGGGTCGGGTGATGCCCTCGCTCTGCAGTGGGAATTTGTCACCCACTTCTGGCAGGAGAGAGATCCGCGAAGCCGGTTCCATTATGTGCAAATGGACTAAGAAAGAGCGACAAAGGGTCTCTACAGGCGGTTGTGTCAAGGCTGACTGGGTAATATCTGCCAGTGTGTGTTATATTCGCGTGGCTTGATTGTCAGCCCTCTGAGGACAAAGAGGCTTTTTCTATTCCATCGTCTCCTGCAGAGGGGTAAAAGAAAATCCTGCAATGGAGGGAACCCTATGAGGAAAGAAGCGGGTCAGGCAGTCATGAGGCTATCACGTCGCCGACTATTTGACAAGGCGCTCACAATACCTATGTATGGGGCCAGATACTGTCAAGTGAAGACATAGACGCCTGGGTTTCATACTGATTTGGGCATGTATCTAGGTGGGCTTATTGGATACATTATAGCCTTGCATAGATGGTATTTTCATGTGAGGTCTATATCTACAGAGAGAATTTCACCCTGGGCGTGCTCATGCCAACGGGCGACCCTGGGGCACCACGGAGCATATCCTTCACCCGTTCAGTCAGTAGGGCCGCCGTAGAGCCCATACTGCACCCGCCAGGGACACTGAATTAGTAGGACGATGTGTAGGAGGAAGGGGTTTCCCCGATTCCTCAGCCCGAATTCCACGGAGAGTTGTGGCAAGGAACAGCCAACGGCCACCAAAGCCGGGGGCCGCGATGCCGCGCCGGCTATGCTCGATCAAGTTGTTCCAACTCCAATACCATTAGCAGAGGAGAGCGAGGAGCAAGGTTATACATTCTGACCTCGGTTACCAAGTAGACCCGCAAAGCGCATGGTGCCCCTCAGCATATCGAGGGAGCGTAGGAAATCATGCCCCTAAGAAGCCCTACGAGGGAAGTATGTTTAAGCTAGGGGGTCTCTCCGTGTTCACGTAACAGCAGGTGGTAGAGATTACCGAATGTTCCCTGCCAGATAGATACCGCACGCTCACTGGCCTACTGAGTCTCTCAAGCGACAGTTTAGTTAGTATGCAAGTGGCACTGGCGCTACCGGATGGAGGGCAATAAGTACTAAATTCCGACAACATCAACGTAATACAACCTTGCATAAACCTCGCCGTCTATCACATTCCACAACGAACATAGAAACATGCGATAGGTTTGAGCCGCCAACTGCTGAAGTCTCATAATAGTCAATTGATGTCTGGCTCTCATTACTTCCCAAAAGCCATGCTCCATGATAGGAATCCCTTGCTCCTTTCCACCCGGATTAAACTTGCTTGGATCTTGATTCAGATTCCGTCTCTATTTTCGCTTCGTGACTCGAGAAACTCAAGCAGCTCAAGGGAGTCATCAACTTCGTCTTTCCCAGCAACAGAAGGGCCGAGTCTGGTGTGGAATGGCGACTCGGAGCGAGCTGGGTTAGGTGCTGCCGCTACTTTCTTACCTTTTACCTTCCATTTTACCCGGTATAGCTCTATAAGGCGAGCGGAGGTGAGACAGTGCGTATTTAATAGGTTAGCGTTATCTACGCGGTACCCTTTATATACGTAGTCGTAATAGTCGTTAAACCATAAGTACTCGTATTATTTAACATAGTTCTCTATCGTGAAAAACTACTAATCCGGATATAGGTCCTTTAAGCCGAGCTTCTTTATTAGCTTACTTCCGATATACTTCTTACTGATTAGTGTTATAACGCCTTCTTAATAACTCCTTAATAGTAATAGCATGGTGGGCTTTACTTATTAGTATTATCGACCGTTTAATATTTGGGGATATCGTTAGATCATAGTATCCTTCCTACGCGTTATAGAATTAGCGTATTTTATATCGCAAGCTATCCGGAGTTAGTAGCTCGTCCTCGTTATTAAGCTTACCTACTATTCCGAGCGCTGTAGTTTCGGCGAAATGCTTCATTACCCGTATCTCCCAGTAATCAGAAGGTCTATGTTTCTTTACGTATCTAAAGCCTGTTAGTTATTTATTTCCGGTTGTTCGTAGATATATTTACTTATAAATCCTATAAATCAAGGTTGAGGGTGTATTATACCTCATTCTTTAACCTGAGCTTCCTATAGACTGCGTGAGGAGTGATCTTTGAGTGATCTTTGAGCGATCTTTAGCGAGCCCTCTCCGTTCGACCCGTTCGATCACGGCATCTCCATGTGTCTGTGCTTTCGTCGAGCTGCATGTCTTTGGTTTTGAGCTCATGTTTGCAGCTCGGTCCCTCCGTTAAGGAAGAAACGTAGATGGTAGGAGTTGTTGAATAATAGCGGGAAAACTTTCGTAGGAGGGTAGGAGGTGAGAAGGTGAGAGTCAAGTCTCCTGCTTAATGAGGTAGAAAGGATCCGAGGGAGGAAAGGGGAGGGAGTAATGAGAGAGATGGTATGCTTAAGTATGCAGCGACCAGAGGGAACCAGGAAGCGAAGACGGCGCGTCCGTAGACGAGGTTATGGTGTGTGCCTTCCTATCGAGCCCGGATAGGGACTCATTTTGGGCCACCTTACGAGGACTGACTTTGGGTCTTATAGGTTAGGGTTGAAGCAATTCTACCTGCTGCTGTACGGTCCTTGCCTAGAATGACGGCTAGGGTGAGCAAAGGTGAGTAGAGCCCGAGCACGCCTGAGTAAAAGTGGCGAGCAGTTACGTGGATGAGACCGGGGGGCAGGCGTCTAGATTCAGCTCATCTAACGAAGACGACAAAATCATTCGGAACCTGATTTGTAACTGGAGTAGGGGGTAATATAACACCCTCCAGCACCCGAACGTACTGTCTCTGCCACCAGCAATTACTACGATTCGGTGGCCAGACCCCTTAGCTCTACCAGTCTTCTGCGGTGCTTTGCTCCCGTTTTACCCGGGGGTTGGTACGGCTTTCTGTATCGAGGATAACGATAAAAGGGGGTGCGCATCCCTTTACAGCTTAAGGCGTATTGGTGCGCCGGTATGGCTGCGGTAATATTATCGTAAAGACATATTATATGGATATTAAGCCTAGTAATTTTATCGCGGGTACGGGTGATAACCTTATTCTCTGCGACTAGGAATAGTACTACGTACTAGCTACAACCCCTATTCCAGAGGCAGATGGGACATAGGACGTTACCGAGGGCCGTTCGACCCTCCAGGCCGAGCGCCTTCGATTACGGTATATAAAAACCTACGGCATACCCTGTTAAAACGTAAACGAGGACGTCCTCGGAGACGCGCCGTGGTTCTAATATGGAACGTATTCCTTATCTAGAGTAATGAATTCCTACGGGCCCTCGAGCTTACAGAAGTCTTTAGTCCGGGTAGAAGTATGTAGATGCTTCTTCGTCGACCAGAGAGTAACTTTAAGGGTATTGAGTATCCTAGCTAGCTCGTTACGGATTAGGACAAGTCTAAGGATATCCCCATTACCTGGAAGCAGATTGTTAATCGATCCGTGTTACGGGGTCTGAATGAGAGGCCTAACTTATCGGAGTTCATTAGGTTTTGGATGAAGGAGTGGAGCGCCTAGGAGGACTCAAACCTGCCCTCAATGTTAACGTATACTTGTAGTATTTAGCTATCTTCTTCGAGTTTAAGAGACGGTGCGTGGCGATGGTAAGTCGCATGATTAAACCAACTTCAGTGTCTATTACCTAGACTCGTTGGTAGCACTTACAACCACATCTTCACTCAGGGTTCAGCTCCAGCTTTTGATGCCGATATTCAGGACTGCTATAATATATTTCCGCCGACGATCGGTTCCGTTCATTCCCTCGCGCATCATCATATCTCAGTTCTTCTCTAGGAGCTCCTCTCATACTCGCTGCGCCTAACGTCTTCACTGGAAATTATCGTGCTTAGCCCTACCTAAATGCCACCCCGATATTTTTTAGGCCCCTCTAGGTCCGGCTTTTGCCGTTCTGTGGCTTTGTCCCTCGAAATCTTTTAGGAGGCCACGTTATGACTCTGGAAAGGCTTTATGCAGCACATTTGATCTTTCGTCGGGGCGGGAGCTGAAAGACCCAGCTTTCCCGTATTCACTGCTGCCACTGGTGGTGGGGGCTTCCGAGGCGTTCTGCACGATGTCGGTGCTGCTGTCGCGCAAGAAGTACAACTCCAGCAGGCTTCTCGCGCTGCGTATTACTTCTCCAGCCTTGAGCGAGATGGAGAAGACCCGTAGCGACGGCAGGTTTACGGCAATAAGCGCTATTCCAGGCTCAAGCATGGTATAGAAGAAGGATTGGGTAATGAGGCCTATGACAAGCACCGAGTCCGAGTCAGTAAGGTCCGCCTGATTAGGTTCCTAATTCACAATCAACAGTAAACTCACGTTCGCGGTCGGTATAGAGCAGATAATCTGGACCTCCCAGCTCGACCTTGATATACTGAACCATTCGGGCAATTGACGCACCGAGACCGCTGAGTGATATGTCAACAGGCAAATTATGCACCGCGTGTTATCGGGATACTTACACCAATGCCAAAAGAAATACGCCTATAATGCCCAGTTTTCTCCGTAAGGTCGTGTGAAGACGCAAGATCTAGGTATATGATATGTCTGTCAGCAGCGCGAAGCCAGACGAGAAAAGGGATTACAAATTGGTATGGACGCACACCGGGGATCGGGAGAGCGAGGATCCAGACATCCAAAAGGAAGTCGGATATGACAAGCCCGTACAAGAACGGGAACGAAATAGTGCAGTACTGGAGATAAGAGCCATCCCAGAGAGCCGAGAAATGCGTGCCGCATTGAAAGCCTGTCAGGAACTGAAAAAACAGAAGCCATAGAATCACTATGGCAATGGTAACCCAAGTTGCTGTACCGAATATGGTCCGCTTCTCGGTGGCGCAGAAGATGCGCCGGTAGAAGAAGAGCGCGCTGAGCTTGACACAGGCAAGTGTGTTGTTGGTCAGTACGTCGAGGGTGATTTCAGACTAGACAGATGTTGGGATCATTAACATTCAAGTTACAGAGAGAGAGAGAGAGAGAGAGACGTAGAAGAGGGGCGCCCAGTGCTCACCACGTTATCCGTTCTACCCATTGCGGCTATCTGCTGGGACGTAAAATCATGGCTAGAATAGCCCAGCACCTCGTTATGTACCACTGCGAGCGAGTGTGTGGTGCTTAGCTGCGCTTCTCGAAACAATTGCTAATAGAAACCTGGCTTGGCGGTGGAAGCACGACTCACTGACGAACACACATATCGACGCTCCAATGTATGAAAGCTAAGCCATCAATGATCCGTCAGTGAGGACGCCTCACAAGTGCCATTCACTTCCACTCCATGCCCTGAGTCACTTACCAGAGCGAGGCCAGCGATCCAATCATCAGCTAAGAAGCGCAATTTCTGTCGCCTACGCGCCCAAAAGCGGAGGCCGACAGCGATGGTTGACAAGCCCATCAGCGAGCCGGAAAGGGCCAATACGCCATTCTTGGATGAATCCGACATGGCTGTCTGAAGAGTTCAAGTTTTCAGCACGAGTACCGCTTACTCTACGAGAAATCGCACCGGCAGGCCTTAATGAACGGAGCAATTCAGGTTGTTTGAATGATGCCGTCTCATTGAAATTGAAGAAAGGGATGGATTACTTGTCACAGAGGGATTCGAGTTCTTGTGTTTCGAGGTTGTAAGCAAGGCTGTTGTACTCAGTGCAGCGGTTAGAATACGATGTGTTGTTGACGTTGCCAGCGGCAGGCTGCATTTCTGTGCCATAATGCTATTCAGTAGGTAAGACATGCAGAGCCTTGTTGCACCAGAGTCCGAGGAGGATTCGGGCCGTTTTTGCTCCCTAATCATACGACAGATCGAGTATGCGAGACGCCTCCCTGCAGTGCCCAAGTGACCGAGAAGGTAGAGATTTGGAGGAGTTCACGATGATTTGTCCTTCACATATTTCGTATTGCGGGGACATGTTACATGTACTGCTTAATATATACGTGAGCACCTACAATTTAGGATGTGAGTCTTATTGGATCGCATACGCGGCTGTTGGGAGGACAGACTTGGGCAACAGGAAAAGATAAGAGTTCTGCATCCCTTTGGTCAGCCCCCAACAAATTAGATGAATGGATAGTAAAATAAGGATGCAGCTGCCAGACGGCTCTATCAACAGGGTGTCCTAGTTTACGAAACTTACTGACATGGAGTTGAATTAATTTAAACCGTTTCTAAAAACACATTTACGCCTACATATTATAAACATTCACATCTTTGGCTTCGTTGAGCTAGTTTGATGCAAGAGTGGGGCGAGTTGAGGACCATCGAAATAGTACTTAATAAGTGAAACTTACCAACTTAACTTCACAGATTTCCTCGGGAGACCTATCACTACCACTGCTACAATCACTGCTGCTGCTACAAACTGCTATTAACATGCAGTTTTACATTTCTATGTTCACCATCCTGGCCTCGCTGGCTGCCGTGACCCACGTCATGCCGGCTCCTGTTCACGACAACGGTTAATCCTCATCCTCATCTTGATATCTATGTACAGATCTAACCCTGTGTATAGCAGGAGGCATGTCTCATGCGAGTCATAACAAGAGGTCATGCAAGGCTGCTTATAACGAAGCTGCGGCTGCAGAGTACAAGCACAGCGAAACCTCAACAGACGATGAGGATGCCTTGGGTGATGATAGTGCAGGGGTTGTCCCTGCCTGCGCGTTCTGATGAGAGTCAAGCTCACCCCCGTGGGGGAGTGATAGGGTAGAATGGCAGGATGGGCTCAGTTGCTCTAACGATCAGGGGCATGCTTGGGTTGAAATGTAAAGATCATAGATAGATATGACCGTTGTTCCAGACTTCCAGTGCCAGTGAAGCCTTTCACCGCGTCTACATATATACACTTGCTAATATGTAAAGATGGTAGGTTGTGGTGAGGTGAATAACTAAACGATCATTCCGCAAAACCCCCGGAACCGCAATTCCAATACAACGCATACTGACACAAGACCTAGCCTCCCACAACTCCCACCTGCTCCCACGGCCTTGTGCCGTCTGGGCAGGTCTTGTAACGATCAACCTCCCTGAAGCCTTCCTCACCCGAATGTACTGGTTTGTAACATGCACTTCGCGAACGAGACCATGCTAGTAACTTGTCCCAATCACGGCACATCTTCACAGTCCCAGTGCCAGCCCGAGGAGACTTTTCGTGAACGTTCTTGTGCAATCGACCGATGTATAGCGGCATGTCATTAGCATTATACATCACAGACTCCCGCAATACGTTTAAGCAGTGCATCAAGTGTAAGTAGCTCCACGTCCGCTCCGCTTTGGGCACTCCATCTTGGTCTTCGTTAACAAGGGTACGAAGCACATGCTGAAAACGCAGAGCGTCAACTTAGGCTTCCCTTGAGGCAGACTTGAGTAGGTAGTTGCAGCACTTACAACGCAGTGGAGTTCATGCGAGCTGGTCATGATGTAGACGCCTTTCGATGAGTCCCACGGCCAACGCTGCGAGTGCGGCAGTCCCTGGAACATGACATAGTACTCATCTAGGGCTAGAAAGCCGTTCCAGGGCTCCAAATCAACATGGCCCCAAGCAGCATCTTGAACTGTCCGGTTCATGCTGTTGAAGCTGCTCTCAGAGAGAATCTCCGTCGGCATATCTCGACGGAGGCCAGCTGGAGGTACAGGTCAGTACTTAATACGAAGTAAAAAGAACAGAGTCATCAGATGCTGTCTTATCCCACCAAACTGGGTAGGCAACTCCTCGAGGAGTTCCCAGGGCCTGCCGAATTGCCTGTGGATGAAAAAGACATTGGCACATATGGAACCCGCAAGGGCAATGCCGAGAATGAGAAAGCCGTACTTCCGCCGCGCTGATTGATAGGCATGTTGGATGGGGAGGAAGGACTCTTTGTCTTCGACATCAGACCCCTCCTGCGATACCGGAACGTAATCAATAGCCATTGTGATGGTTATGTCATGCCAAAGACTCAAAGCACCACCGCTTGGGTGCGAAGGGGTTTGTAAATACAGGGATATTAAAGTGCAAACAACGTGCTAGAGCCGTGAGAGGCATAAACTGCAGCAGTCATAGCCCTAGAACTCTTTGTCTCGGCAATAGTACGGCGCTATGCAAGCCACATGGGTTTCCGTGGCACTATGGCACTCTGCAAGGCACTTATTCATTACACAAGCCTTACGAGGCTTCGTCTCGAAATAGTATTTACTACTGTAGTATAAATCCTAGACGTCCTCGGGTTGCTAGTCCTTTAATAAACCACCCTTGGGCCCCAGCACTGCTAGGTACATCTGTATTGTTCCTCAAGGCACTTTACGGCAGCCCATAAAGGGTAAGTAATACAACTAATAGCGCATGAAGTATGTGTAGCATTTGTCCCTCCGCAGAATCCGGCTCCGCCGGCTGCCCGATAATCTACCTCCCTTTTTAAAGCAACGCAGATCTACGTGACAGGACAACACAAACAAATATTCATATTAAGTAGATTTATATTTTTACTTACCCATTTCACAATAGGTCAGTCAAGTTTTCTCTCGAAAAGCTAACCCTCAATATTTTATTATCGACCCCAAAGCTTACGTACTACATTCATAAGCCTTCCAGCCCCTCAAAGGTGAACGTAGGATATCGTACTGTAAATCGGTAATAGATTGTGCCATCTCTCTCGTTTCCGCCGCCCCCTCACTCCACCACGTCCCCTTCTCCTCGTATTCCCTTCTCACTGTCCCTAGCGCGAAACCATGCACGAAATCCCGGTCCGAGAAGGCAAGGCGCCTTTCAGGATCCCATCAATCGACGAGCCCTGTTTCACTTACTACAAGATCATCGGTGACCTATCTAGCGGCACTCCTCCGGTTATTGTGGCTCATGGCGGACCTGGCGTTGGGCACGAGTACCTCCTCACTTTTGCCGATCTCTGGCAGCAGTATGGCCTCCCCGTCGTCTTCTACGACCAGATAGGCTGCGCCTCCTCCTCGCATCTCCCGCAGAAGGCCGGCGACCGGTCTTTCTGGCAGGAGCAGCTGTTCCAGGACGAGCTGGACAATCTGCTGGACCACCTCGAGCTGCGCCGCGATCCCGGTTTTCATCTCCTCGGCCAGAGCTGGGGCGGCATGCTCGGCTCGGCTTTCGCCGCCCGCCAGCCTCGGGGTCTCCGCCGGCTGGTCCTCGCTAGCGCACTTGCGAGCGCGGAGCTTGGCGGCCGCGGCACTCGTCTGCTGAGAGACCAGATGCCGCCCGACATGCGTCAGGCGCTCGACGAGGCCGAGCAGAAGGGCGAGTACGACAGCCCCGCATACAAACGCGCGCTGGACTTTTACTACAGGAAGCACGTGTGCCGTGCCGACCCGTTTCCACCGGCGGAGCTGGTGCCGGCTTTAAAGCACCTGGGCGAGGACACAACGGTGTACCGCACAATGTAGGTCGCGCCTTTCCCCTCTCCGGAACCTTGGGCGGCGGATGCATATAACATAGAGACGGACGTGTATATCCGGAGGAATTTGAAGGCTTAAGAATACGAGCGCGGAGGATCGGAATGATGAGTTCCCCTCTTGTATTTCTCGGAGGAAACCCTCTTGGCTCCTCACCGCGTCCGTCTTGGCTTGATTTCTAATTCTTCTAGGTACGGCCCCTCGCCTCTCACAAGGGATGGTTCGCTCACTAAATGGTCCGTCATTCCCCGTCTCCCCGAGATCACCGCCCCTACCCTCGTCTACAATGGCGAATACGACACCTCACACGACATCACCCAAGTCCCCTTTTTTGAGCTCATCCCACGAGTTCGCTGGATAACGTTTCCGGGTGGCGGCCACATGTGCCATCTGGAAGGCGGGGGGCTCCGAGAGAGGGTGTTGAAGGTCGTTGGCGAGTTTCTGACACAGAAGGGAATCGCCGATGTGCAATGAGTTTCTTCAAATATTCGCGCGATAGGGGATCCACGAAACAATGGAGCACGCTGCGCAATATGTATACCTTTATGTCTCAGGAAGGACTGCGGGTTAATTAGGTGCCATTTTACAGCTGAAAAGGCAAGGCTTAACTATGCTTAAGTACTGATCATATCGGATGGAACCAAAGAGAAATGTGTTTCGGACTGGATCAACCTCCCTGTGATAGTAGCTTCTTCTCTAGCGCGGGCCGCCGGTAATAAGACCGGGCACCCTAGACCGGGACTGTTACAGCCAACGGACTTTGGGAGGTTGACTGAAATCGTGCAGGCAAAATCTAGGTACTTTCCACAGGGACTAAAAGGACTTCTATAGATGTTTCTCTTCTGCTGTTCTTATTCCCGCCTCTCTTGACAATTATACTCTGATTGATAGAGTAGGGGATCGGGCTAGATTCAGATAGAAATACACGCATCCATAGCAACTAATACCCCAAGTGCCTAATGAAGGGCCCGCGTCACCCTGTTCTAGGGGTTACAATTATGCCGCTTTATGAAAGGGGCGGAATCTTGGCCGCCCATCCTCAATGCGGAATCGTTAACTATACGTGAAGTTGTTATATGGTTATTTGTAGCGGCCGGAATGGTACGATAGGTGTACCCTACATCTTGGGATGGGCGGGGGCTTTGCATAAGTATGAGTATGCATACACTTGCATGCCCGTCCGACTAGAAACAGTCGCTAACTGTATTACAACGCTATCTCTACCAACAGGCAAATGTGAGGCCTGCCCCAGCTCCAGGGGCTCTAGCTAGGCCGTCCCCTTGGGTAGTATTCATCCGTAGCTTGTGTCTCGGCCGATGGGTATCAGGCAGGGATTACGTGGCCGGCCGACAGGAGGTCCCCATCTTACCCGGTTTCCATCCCCTTCGGCTCCTTGAGCCCTTCGGCAAGGGTTGTCCATGGCATTCCCCACAGCTAGGGGCACGTAGCAAATAAACGAAGACTATCTAGCCAAGAGTAGACGGATCAGGTAAGAAATAACAAGCTCGAAGATACCGTTAAGCTCGCGAGGCGCAATGCATGTGGATTTCGACGGGCACATTAAGAGTACCTACCATCAGAAGCGGTCCCTGGCCTCGAGGTTCGGAAAGCATCTTCCGCAGGGCTGGGAACTATGGCGCTATTGCCATACACATATATTACTCGTTAGGTTTTAGTTGGTTTGGTATGAACCAACAGGCGAACCTCAACACCCAATAACCAAGCTAGTCGGCGAGAATCCCGTTAGCAATGTAACCAACAGCTTTTGCTGACGCGGTCCGAGCGCGCAACATCGTGACATCCGCATGTGCGTGGTTATTTTACAGGCGAGCGACGCGCGAAAATTCACGGAGTCTACGGAGCTTGGTCGTTGAATCATAGCTCAGTCACGGCGTCTTTCTGCTGATTGACGCCGGGAGACTGATAATCGATGTAATGAGGAAAAGCGATGAGCCACCGCGGCCGAGATCGCCCTATCATGTGGATGTTGCAGTTCACTACTGCGGAACAATAACAGGCAATACGCAAGAAATTACGCCCATATCGTCTCATTGCCCCCTAACAAACGAAAGTGTGAATACTCTCTATGCACACGGGTCCTAGCCACCCAGGCAAATGCTATCCTACACGCATTGTACAACGGCTTCGCTATAGCCTATCCTCGACCACACGTTCCGGATAATAGTCCTTCTGCTTCTGCCACCCCGAGCTCTCTGCCCTATCCTCGGCACATCTGTCAATGGTGACAATCGTGGTCTTGGTGATACCATTCGGTTTTTGTGATAGAATGCTTTCTTCGCTGATATTGTCCGCTAAATTGTTCGGGACCGACCCTTTTCGCGTACCGACCTCCGTCTTCGTTTGGGAATGCAAGTACTTCGACCCCTTCGACCCCTTCGGACCGGTACCATGACCATAGGAGCGGAGGTGGTACGTGTCCTTCCTTTGCGACGAGCCGTACCGGAGTGAGCTCTTCAGGAGATTCTTAAACATCGGCTTCAAGCAGGGGAGGGAAGCTGCGATTATGCCGGTGTTCGTTTCGGCCCTAGGAACGAGTTAATGCCTAACCTCCATCTTACAGTCGGCCGCAATAGCGGCGGCCGAAGAAACACTTACGCGATCCATATTGTCAAGTTGGCGGAATCCCAAAGGAAGTCACCGGTAATACCATAGCTGGATATGAAGGAGGTTTTGACAATAGAGGCCGCACAAGCGCTGCGTCAGATGTTAGCAACATAATAGAGGGCCGGTAGTGTTAGACAGTCCTCACAATAAACCGAGGCTAAGGATGCAAACGAGTGAGGCCTTTGTGCGGGAGTTGATCTGAACCTTCCAGAGCATGGGTATCGGCAGGACCGCAAAGAACACGTCGGTTGCGATGTTGACGGCTTGAGTCAAGAGTTAGCAGCCTGGCTTTTGGGCGAGGGGAGGGAGGGGATGGGGGTAGTCGGAAAGAAGGGCTTCGGGCTATGACTGACTTGCGTTCGCATAACTTAGGCCCTGGAGCGTTTTCTGTGTCCAGCATGTCGTCACGACGCGGTTGTCCCATATGATCGCGAGGTTTTGGCATTGCAGCAGCAGCGTTATAAAACAGACCATTGTGTAGGCCACGAGAAACACCATGGTCCCTTGCAAGATTCGCCTGTATATCATACTCGGGCTGATACGCAGCAGGAAGAATCCGACCGATATTTTCACCATCGGGATAGCCCAGAGGTAGATAGGCTGTGAGATGAAATTCAACTTAAGACCGAATCTGTTGACCTCGGGGTCCAGGTACGCGGCGTGGCGCCCTGCTCCGTAGTGAACCTGGACGATGACGATGCTCATTCCAACCAAGGAGAGTATCTAATCGCAGGTCAGCTGTGGGTCCCCGATGCTCTCGAACATCTATCGCAGAGACTTGTTCGTACCATGGCGACAAGTATGATGTAGTCCTGTCCTCGATTAGCTTGGTGATCTTGATCGGCATGCTGAAGCGGGGAGCGGCCGTACATCTACCCCAACCATCCGAACCATCCGCATGCGCACGTAGAACCTCGCGCACACGACGACCAGCGCAGCTGAAGTTAACGAAAGCACTGCCCCGAGAATCCGCGGCCCTTGGCTCTCGTCGGGCTGGTCAGCGCCGGGGAGAAACGTGGCCGACATCGTTGGGAATGAGGGTCGAGCTGCCTCCACACGAACCGGCGATCAGCAACTCATGAACAGGGGAATCCCATTAATCGTTTGACAAACAGTCGACATTAGACATATATGTATAGAATTTGAAGAGTTGTGGTGAGGCCAGCCACCACTAGTATTGATCTCTTCGTTCCTTGACGGCACCTAGAGAGTCATATGACGGGTAGGAGTGAATTTGACCAAGGCTGAGAGCACACGATTCCTTCCCGCACGCTGATGGCAGGGACTTAGCCGTATCACGAAAATTATTGTATCGTTGTATGACCTGTTTACGGATAGCGTCACCAAATGCTTCAGTCGGCTCCAGTGTCCTTAGCATATATTAGCATAGCGCCGGCCTCGGACTGTAGACTACGGTGCGAATAACGATAGGCCGACAGGTAACTTAGCTCTGCCAAGAAAAGGTCTTATGCGAAGCGACACTAGAACCTGCTTCGGTCCCGTGCCAGGTAGCAGTATCGCGAACATTCTAGCCCAGTCAGTTCTAGATGTCGAGGTAGGTCGGCGACCTTGAAACTATCCGTTGCCCTGCGACGTCAAGCGCAAAACCCGCCTGGGGTAGCGAAGGCGTCACTGGACGGGAAAGGGGAAGAGGGTTGAGCTACCGGGTGGAGATTCCGGTCTATACCTATCACCTCCAATCTCCAATATGCGTCTGTCAGGGATGAGGACGACCCCTATACATGCTCTCAACCCCTCTCGCTTCCTGTGCATAAACCATCCCAACATTTGCTGCGGTCTCATGCACTTCGAATGTCCCCATGTGTCGTTCCACGTGTAATCCATGGCGCTGGAGTCGAGGATCCTACCCCCTGATGTGACTCTTTCGTCCAATAACTTGACATACCGGCGCGCCTCAGTGGGGCCGATGAACGTCTACAGGTGTAGATTATTACTATGATCTTGGGCACTGCGTTGCGTGGATCCATCTGATTGGGGTTAAGTACTCCATGCATATGCTATAGTGCCGGGGTAGAAAGTCCAATGTGCTTTGCGGTATAGAGCGGTCTTTCGAGAAGCAGTGCCTCTCTTTTGCTTGCATTCTTTTTTTTTCGCACCAATACTGAGCGGGACTTTTAGCTAAGGGGAAACGAAAAGGGAAGGAGATAAGAAGTGTTAGACTCCGTGGATCGACCCCGTCTCGACGTTGCGTAGTATTTTAATCTCCGTACCTATAGGAAGCCATAGCCGGGATCGTCGTCGTGAGCGTTGGCTGACTTTCTTTGGGGGCCAAAGCCATACACCGAACACACCGGCCGACAGACTCCAATGTACTAATTCGTGATGTGGATTCCTGATTCGTTTAAAGAGGAGAGAAAAGCCGCAATCTGGTATTAGAGAGTTTACCTCCCTTCCCCATCGACGCTTACCGGTCACATCGTCGTTCCTTTGCGAGGTTATTCTCTCCTTATTTTTTTTCTAGCCCGCTCGCAATCGTTCTTTTTCAGAGACGTATCTAGTTCCACTATGCATTTCAGCCAGCTCGTTTGTGCCCTGCTCGCCGGAGCGGCGGCGGCGGCTCCTACAGCCCGGGATACGATCTCCGATTCTCAGGCCGAACTACAAAGTATAGTTGACCAGGCTGTATCCACACAGACTGAGCTCTTGGATTCCGGGTCTACGACTCCAAAAAGAGGGCGCCAGAAGTGTACTCCTAGCACCATCAGCGTCCGCCGCGAATGGTGAGCGAGACTATTCACTAGGGGGGGAAGCAGCGGCGCTAAAACCAACTCCAGGGGCACGTTAAGCAAGGCCGAGCGCAAAGCCTACACGGACGCGGTTCTCTGCCTCCAAAGACTACCAGCGAGAACCCCAACGAGCGATGTTCCTGGCGTGAGGTCTCGATTCGACGATTTTGTCGCTATCCACATCCAGAAGACGCCGGTCATCCACTACACGGTAAGTAGCTCGAGGCACCAGCCGCGCACCAAGCTTCCCCTAGCTAAACATAGGCGCGTAGGGCACATTCCTCGCCTGGCACAGATGGTTTACGTACAACTTCGAGCAGGCCCTCCGCAACGAGTGTGGCTACAGGGGAACCCAGCCGTAGGTCTCATCCACTTCCACAAGGTGGAGTCGAGGCTAATCTAACTTGCCTAGATACTGGAACTGGGGTCTCTATGCCTCTGATCCAGCCTCGTCTCCCATCTTCGATGGCAGCGACTACAGCATGTCGGGTAACGGCGAGTTCATCCCCGACAAGGGTCCTATCAGCCTGCTGCTGGGTGACTTCCCCCCCGTCTATCTACCAGCTGGTACGGGCGGTGGGTGCGTCACGTCCGGTCCCTTCAAGAACATGCAAGTCAACCTGGGCCCCGTGAACCTGCCGCTCAACAACGGGTCGGTCCTCGTCGGAACCGGGCTTGATTTCAACCCTCGCTGCTTGAAGAGGGACGTGTCGGCCGGCGTCAACTCCGCGTTCGCCAATTTCACGTCCATCGTCAACCTCATTCGCCAAAACGACAACATAGGGGATTTCCAGATGGTCATGCAAGGAGTGCCCGGCTCGGGATCCATCGGTGTGCACGGTGGAGGCCACTGTGAGTTTCAGAGTCTTCACCCTTTACCCCATGCTCCAGCCGCCCAGGCTCATCGGACGAATCATCGGATGTCCGGGAATAGTACCTAATCGCTAACTCGTTTCAGACACGATCGGTGGAGACCCTGCCGGCGATGTTTTCGTCTCCCCGGGCGACCCAGTCTTCTATCTCCACCGTAAGCACTTCTAAGAACTAGTGGTCCCCCCCCTTCCCCCTTGACCCCTTCCCCCTCCCATGTCACATCATACTATCCTGTATACTGCTTCATTACCTTGCCTCTCTCGCTGTTCCAACACCGTGATTAAATGTTCATATTTGCTGATTCTCACGGCTGGACAGACGGCATGATCGATCTCGTCTGGTCATCGTGGCAATTCCTGGACTTCAAGAACCGCCGTGATGCGCTCTCCGGCACGGGCACTTTCCTCAACGCTCCGCCGTCGCCCGACACCACCCTCGACGATATCATCGATCTCGGGTACGCTGGTGGCGGACCGGTCACGGTCAGGGAGCTTACGAGCATTATTGACGGCCCGTTCTGCTACACCTACAGGTAGTCGCCTCGACGCTTCGCGGATGCTGCTCCGGCTTCCTGCAACTGCACCAGCGAGAGAACTCCTCCTCACGCTATCCTGAAGGTTACGCAATTTACGACGTCAATTTCCGCTCGCGCCTCGTTCTGGAAGTGCTGGAAGTGCTAAATCTTAGCGGTTTTCTCTAAGCTATGCCATGTCGGGAGGGTCGGGATGGTCTATTCTCCCGGGTCTTTGTTCCAGGGTGTGCGAAGGTCTCCCCGACTGCTCTGGCCCTATACCCAATAGAAATACCATGTCTTCGACCCTGGGAGAATTGCAATCTTTCACCCCCTCCCTTCTCAAATAGCTATCCCGCTTTCCGGAGCTTGGCCGTTACGATTGTTCCCACGATAGATCTAGACTATTTAATGCTAATTGTGCCAACGCCTAGATAGAAAATTTATGCTATTATAGACTCAACCCCTGTCTTCTGGTGAAGTGATTGGAATGGTGTGATGAGTAATTTCGGAGTCTGGGGTGACGAGAGAACCGGGCGACGTAGTGAAGATGCCTTGGCGTCACGCGAGCTGTAAGACAATACCAGAAATTGTGTTGCATGTGAAAGCTGCCCTGCCTCTTAGGAGCTCTGGAGGTGGAGAGAGAGACTCGGATTCCTCATTGCAACGTGGGAGTAGTTGGCTACGCGGTCTCGATATTTGCTGCTTAACCCCGTCGTTCCAGGTCACACCGAGTTGCAATCAACTAGCTCCTTCAACCTCCTCACGAAACGCTGTGGGTTATCGGTGGGCCTCGGCAGGGTTATATGAAGGAGAAGGAGAGTGGAAACGAAGGCCCACCGTCGGTCCCGTTGGGGGCCATCTCGAATCACTTAGCAGCTGGGCTAAGATGCGCACGAGCGGGAGAATGTCTCCTCCTCAATCTAGCTAAACTGGGCTGAGGAGGCCTTTCTGGCGATGTTGGAACAGGCGTGTGTCGTTCTCCTTCCTTTACGAGGATAAGTACTAAGTCGCAGGCAGGGGTAAACAAGACGGGGCATAGACTCTCGAAGTTTATCCCACCGACAGTTATATCATGGGTTCCAGCTTTTCGTCGCTATTAGTTTCAGCCGTCGACTGAGAGGTATCGTGCAAGTTGTGCGAGTTGTGCATCGTGAAGAGAAAAAAACAAGCATGTATCTCTTCGCGTGTGGACCCTAAAGCGGTAGGTACTCTGGCAGGTTGCCGTCTCCCCCACGCGGTTTTTATGCTTATCTATGCAGATCCTGTCTCACCCACCAACCATCCACCCAAAACGCGCAGCAGAACCGGGAGATCGCGTACCAAAAAGAAATTTAGAGGGATGCGGGGAGAGAGAGAGAGAGAAAGAGAAAGAGAGAGAGAGAGAAAGAGAAAGAGAGAGCAAGGGGGAGAGTCGCCATGGCATACATTGTTTTTCGAGATTCCGACAGCGCGGGTGGCGGGGAAAAGCCGCGCAGCAGAATCCCGACGGCATTCCTGCTCTTTGCCAATATTTATGAATCCGGTGGCGTGGACTCACCAACGGTGGCGCGTTGGTGCCGTTGGCAAGTTGTGTGCTAACTGTGCCGTAAGTAATCTCCCCCATGGGGAGATTTTATGTTGATGCATCCTTGTATCCCGAACTCGGCCTGTCTTAGGTACAATACCACGCGCTACATGCATACCTATCTTCCTACCGAGGTACCTGAGAGGTGTGTCCACACATTCAATCAGAGGGGGAAGCACTAGATCGCATATTTCACCCTACCCGGGGATTTCTCTCCGGAGTCCATGCCACCATCAGAAGCTTCGCTGGAAACACAGGCTGGATGGGGGCTAATTTCGCACTCTGCCAAGAGGTTCGGGGCTGAAGGCGTCGGTGGAAGCGCCTATTCTGGATCTGGTATGGGCTCTGTTGATGTTCACCTGTCGTCGACCTAGCTAGTCTTCTGAACAACGTAGCTGATTGATCTGCAGAGCCGTTCTCTACTCTACCCGACATTACCCCCAGGAATATCTACACCGCCCTCGGCTGGGCACATGCCACCGCAATCAAAACCAAGCCGCCGAACCACCCTCCGACTAGACTGCCTTCGGCTCGTGCTGGTCGTTACCGTCGTCCCCGTCTGACGACCGCGCCGAAGCTCCGTGGTGTCTCCGTCGCAAGCGGCCCGCCTCGTCGTGCTCCTCGTCCCATTTCCCCAGCTCTTGCAGCGGCACCTTGACGAGCCTGTGGGTATTGGCGCCTTCGTTTTCGACGTTGAGAATCTCCTGCCGGATCTCGTACCCTTTCCACTTCGGCAACAGATGCATCCAGAAGACATAGTACAGCGCGCATACGATGATGATGGCGATGCCGACCACGCAGTACGTCGCGTACCAGAACGAGACCTCGCCAGCGTAGGGGCCGCCCTTCGGAGGTATCCATGGTGTCGCTAGGACGTAGACCTGGATCAGGATGTAGAAGATCACGACGATGTGCCACGCCCTGAACTCGGGAGCCGATCGTCCGAGGCGTTTGTGACGGTGCCGGACCAAGTACACCCCGAACGCGAGGAAGAGGTTGAATATTCCATCTGGGTATGCTCTTAAACTGATAACTGTTGGTCCGCTCCGTTAGCACCTCCATTTGCGCTGAGAAAAGTGTCATATACTCACTGAACTGAAACGCGTCGCCTGCGGGAGGAGCAAGAATCATGACCAAGGTCATCGCCCACTTCAAAATATACGGGCCGATCGGGGTCCCGAAAGGCTTCGTCGACACCCAGAATTTGGTGAAGGGGAGTGTGCCTTGTCTACATGGACGTCAGAATCGGTACACGCGCATAGAACTGTCCGCCTTACCGTCCGATCTCACGGATCACTCGCGACTGGCCGATTAGTACGGCAAGGAGGTTCCCGAACGCGCTCAACAAGACCAAAACGTTCAGGGCTTTCTCGGCACCGCCCCGACCGAAGACCGAAACGAAGAAGACCGCCGCCGCGATCTCCCGGGAACTGGCAAACTCTTCCTTCGGCACTGCGCAAACGGCTCGGTTAGCTTTCCCGTGCGGAACGGGTGGGTCATTGGTCGTGCGGCATACCAGCGGCGAAGTACGCAATATTGCAGAGCATGTACAGCAGGCTGACGATGGAGATCGATATGGCGCCGTGTATCTTGAGAGTTCGGATCGGGTTCTTGATCTCGTTGACGAGGTTGAAGGCGTTGGTGTAGCCGGCGTACGAGAAGAGGATGTTCACCAAAGCCACCGCGAGATCGTTACCGTTCGTCGTGGTGCCCTCGAAGGCATTGCGGAAATTAGCACCCGGGTCCGGGATGTGGCTTAAATTCCCGCCCAAAACCACGAGGCCGGTAATGCTTGTGCTGTATTCGCGGACCCAGGTCGTTAGAGCGTTGGGCACACCGAAGGAGGTATATCATACATACAAGATCAAGGTGATGATTTTCAGGACGCCGAGGAAGTTCATTAACCAGAGCGAGTATTTATTGTGAAGTATCACACCTAGACATGTGCATCAGTACTGTCGCGAGCTTCTCACGGTCCAAGAAAAAGGCAACGAACACAAGCTTGCCAACGTGTAGGCCGCCACCGCGACGCCTTTGAGCTGCCAGTCGGTCGGCGTCTGGCCGGCTGCTCGGAACAGATATCGAGCCAGGACTAGGAATCGTCAATACTTGGACCGCACCGGGTCGACACGACAATTACACACCGATGGCGTTGCTGCTGCTAAACGACAGCAGCACGTTGAACACGGCGAAAGTGATCGGGAAGAAATGCTTCGGCCGCGGGTATTCCTGCTCGAGGTACACGACTTCGGAGCCCGACCGATTCGGGAAGTAGCTAGCGAGCTCGAGGTACACGCTGAAGCCAGCGATAGCTAGTAGGACACCGATCGTCCAGTATATCAGGGCGAGGCCGATGGAGCCCGTCCTGTTCAAAATAGTCCCGGCTGAGAGAGCGGAACCCCGGTGTCAGCAAGGTATCGAGCGTGGTTGGGGAATTCCGGGATGCCGGACGGGGGGGAGGTCTTACGAGTTGAGAAGATACCGGTGCCAATCATCTGGTTGACGTTGAGAAAGATCACGGTCAGCCACCCGACGTGGTACCCCAGCGGTGACCTGGACTCGACAGGCGCGCCGGTAACCTCCTGGTAGGACGGCTTCGACCCATTGCCCGCCTTCTCAACCGTGTAGGCGAGGTTGCCGTCGTGGAGGACAGAGACATCGGTGCTGGATACGTTGGCGTCGGCGCCTGCTGGGACCTCAGACACGGTCGGCCGCGACCAGAAGTTAGGGAGCCCCATGGTTAGACGAAAACAGCCTTCCAATTCCGCGCTTTCGTCTCAGCTAGGATCAGCTCAGCTCGAATGGATGGAACCTGGAGGAGAGGTTGGATTGGGGGATGTCGGGCAAGATATATATGTCTCGACTGCCGGGGGGGGGGGGGGGGGGGAGGGAGGGGACGCGCTGTCGCGCACGACGCACGTGGCGAGCAGAAGGGTAGGAGGAACCGCCCAGGATCGTGCCATGCATGGCACAACGGCAAATCGCGAGATGCAATATTTCGAACGGAGAAGCACCGAGCTGGCAGGAAGCTTGACAACATCCGCGGGATTGATGGCACAATTGATCCTCTCTCGTCCCTACCTGACCTTCCACGCAGGCTTCTAGTGTGTCTATTCGGTGACCGGGAGGGGGGTGACCCTCACGGGCTGACGAGCCGAGCCTTGGTAGGCAGATCTAGGCGGGCAGAATATGGCCCTTTTCGGGCGGTCGTGCGCATTCCCGGGGGCCGGGGATAGACGGCTAGACGCGCGCGCGCTCGCCGACCTTCCTAGGTGAGGAGGGCCGAGAATCACGCAATGCTTGATAGCGATGACAACCATGCAGATAATGTAGCCACGATACGACGGGACGATCCAATCCTCTGGGTGGACGAGCAATTGGCCCAAGACCATTCGCGGGTTGGTTGGGCCACCGCAGAGATCCTGGCTGCGTCGTGGGCCCCCCTCCCTCCCCCATCCCGCATCGCATTTCGTCCTATCCCATTTCTCGTCGCGCAGGCCTCTCTCGCGGTAATATCGTGATACTACCCGCTTATCCACGCCCGCCGACGGCTATCCTATCAGGTTTCCGGTCCTAATACACATTTGGCTGATTTGCGCATTTCCTTTTATTCATCCACGCGGAATCGCCTACAATCCACGATAACAACGGCTGAGCTGCATATTTACATCATTTCGTCGCGCAGGAATCTATATAAGCCTACATCCCTGAACCAACTTGTGGGGCAATCTGCATAGGCAATATTCCCACGAAGGATGCTCAGACAGCACGACGGGTGAGTGAAAGGGTTATCGGGATGGCTATATGAAGTGATATAGCGAAATCCCCTCTAACCACGTGCCGTTGCTTCGAATACATTTTTATTTGAGCGCTTTTCCCGAACCTTCTTCTATCAATTCGTTCTATAGGAAGCAGTAGGTTTCTTTTTATTCATGGGCCTGTTAGCGCAACTCCGATCCCTTACCACGCTGCTCCTTGTTGCTCGCACTTCGAATGTACGGCTCGAGGGGGAGGACTTGGGACTCGGGAGTCACGCCGCCATAAATCGCCGCCCATTTGCCCTCTAACGGCTCAGGTGTCGGCCATGCATTAGCCGGATCACGCAGCCATAGGCGGAGGAGATGACGCCTTCGATGCATTTTAGCTCCTCGATACTCGACTGCTCGCTTGTGAGAGGTGTCCGGACGAATTACTTACTGCTTAAGCCCCGCGTTTGTGAACCCGTCCCGGGCGTGGAACAAGGCGAAGTTATTCACGTACTGGATGTCGCCTTTCTGGAAGTGCGTGTTGACGCAGAACTTCTCCCCGAGGAAGTGCAAGGTATCCAGCGCTTCGGCCTGGGCCTCGGTGATGGGCGGGATATCGGGGCTTCGGGGCAGGGCGCCGAATCCGACGAACGACCGGCGGGCGTACTGCAGGGCGATGCGCTCCGGCGTCGAGTCCGTAGCCGGGTGGTAGTACATCAGAGGTCGCGACGTGAACCGCACGGTAGCGTTGGCAAAACTAAAAAGAGAAAGACTGTTAACACGCTGTTAACGGCGTCGAGGCTCCACGGGCGCGGCTTCTGGGCGAGGGGCTAACTTTTCTACATCCCAGTTGGAGGTCAACGTGTGGATGAGGTCCGGACGCGTACGCGCAATCTCGTTGTACACCCTCCACGTGCTAGCGAGCTTGCTAGCGCCGCCCTCGGCAGCCGTTTCGAGGGCGAAGAGGGAGACGATGTCTCCCGAGTCCGTATGGAACACCTGCTTGTCGGTGGTATAAGCTGGGCTGCCGATGATGTCGTCGCGGCCGGTGCCCCTCAGATCCTTGATGTGAGCTAGCGTGACAGAGGCGGGCTTGCCCTCGAACAAGCCATCCTGGCTACCTCTCACGGTGGCGATGTGCGACGACAACCCGACATATAGGATGACGTTGTCCTCGCGCGAGTGCTCGTCGACGCGGAGGCCCCGGACCACGAAGAATCCATGTCCATTGTGGAGCTCGTCAGACAGCCGTCGTAGCTCTGAGTGCAGCTTCGGGAGCGGAAATGTCTCCTGATTGATATAGCCTAGGGGTAGGCCGAGGGCTAGGGGAGAGAGAGAGGACCTGGTCAGCGAAGCGCCTACGGATTGCTGGACGGAACAGCGTGCACTCACATTTGAAATGTTTCAAGGCAAGCTCTAGCTCGTCTAGCTGGCTCTGGTCTAGCACGTAGGTCCAGTTGTACGTCTCCGCGAGCGTCTCGCCCTCCCATACGAGTTTTCCCGTGAGCTCCCGCGGAAGCCCAGGGGGAAGCTGCTGTTGCAGGGCTTCAGACTTGACGCGCTGGTCCCTACGGGCCTCGTACTTCCTATAGTCTGGCGCATACGAGATATCGGGTTGGCCCGGGGGAGCCACGGCGGCGGGGGTGACGTACGCGACGGCGGTCATGATTTCTGGTGCTCTTATTATTGCCTTGGCCCTCTCTCTCTGTCTCTCTTTAGGGATGCGCAATGACCACGCCCACGAGGGCCTCATTTGTATTCTCGTAACTTGGCCAGGATCGTTTCATCGACCCGAATGGCGTCATTTGGAGAGGCGATCACCCATCTCCCGCCGAGCATGGGTGTGTGGCCAATCGCACATTGGAGCTATTCGCATCTCTCTTCCTTTCGGCCTGCATTGCCGCATGACCGGCTAATTCTCGTCGAAATGATACGATACAGCGTCGATGGCATCTGAGGAAATGCTGCGCACCCCGCACACGTTACACCGGATACGTACGCATGTTGTTGGCGCACATCTTCTCTTTGTCCGGGTTGCAGTTGGCGATGGCGTCAGGTGGCTGCGGCGTGGTTTCGACTCCGCAGAGGAAAAAGACGAGAGGAAAAGCACAGCAGAATTTTACATGATGCGTAGCTGCTGGATCACGAAAGTTTAGCTGAGAGACGGAAATTATTCAGTTCTCGCATTCTATTTTTACACTTCCAGGATGGATGTTCGATATGCCATCCACCGATACCCATGGTAGACCCCACGGATAAGGGATCTGCAGCAAGGTATAGAAATGAATTCATTCAATGCAACCCCGATGGAGTTACGTAAACTCGGCGACCCATGAGACCTACATGGGAAAAGATGGGGGTTTAAGGCATCGTTACATTAGCTAGGTACCGCGAATAGCAACGACCATAGCGACTAAATATGACAACAAGACGTGGGACTGGACACGCAGTTGGGCATAAAGACAGGATGAGGCGGATATTCACCCGGTAGTTCACTATTAGAGACAGGGCAAGTCGTTAGGAAATTGGGGGGGCAAAGAAGCGGTGGGGCTTGGCAGAACAGCGGTTTGCAATACGAAGAACTGTGTTACGGACCGCGCTAGAGACTTGTGGAATAGCAGGTTTATTAGGTCTGTTTTTGCTAAAGCTGGCCCATCTCACGAAGAGAGGAAGGATACCAGGCGCAAACCTGACGCATGGGATATCAGGAGTCTACTGAGGGAATGCTCGTGAAATACTAACAACGCTGCAAAGGCGACCCTCCCCTATTTTCTGCCCGTCACGGCCCTGTTTCCCTGGGGCACGTGACTACCTTCTACCTTTGTCATTTATCCCGTCCCGTTCGCAGCACCCCTGGAGGGGGAGGGAGTGTCGCATGCGCTGTGGCCTGCGGGCCGGGGGGGGGTAGGGGGTGGGCAGACCTGGCCGGCCCCGGTCTCGGCGGTTCGCTGGTGGGCGGGGGCGGGGGGGCCGAGGCGGACCCAGCTGAACTCCTGGTCGGCGGCGCGGAGGAGCTCGTCGTCGCAGGCGCGGACGGCGCGGAGGGCGCGGGCGACGTCGGTGGCCTGGCCGGTGGCGCGCCAGCGGCGCATGGCCGCGGCGTGGACGCGGTCGCGCAGGCAGTCGGGCACGTTGGGCCAGGTCAGCACGGCGAGGTGCATGGCGTCGAGGGCGGCGGAGCCGGCGCGGTCCGGCCGCGCCGCCCGCGCCGCCGCGTGCCGCGCCCGCATCGCCGCCTCCCACGACTCGTGCCGCCAGCAGTCGTTGCAGAACCCCGCGTCGAACCCCAGCCGCGCCCGCGGGCAGAACGCGTCCTCCTCCACCCGCACCGCGTCGCACGCGCCCCCCGCCGGCGCCCGCGCGCACCGCGCCGTCGTCATGTGCGACACCGTGTGCCCGCACCGCGCCTGGTACTTGGTCCAGCGCACGCACATGGTCTTGGTGGTTTTTTTTTTTGTCTAGTTTTGTTTCTGAGGTGTGTGGGTTTGGTTACGTGGTTCTGTGCGTGGGAGAGAGCGAGAGAGAGCGCGCCACGAGGTGATGTGGTATGGAGTGGTGGTGCTCTCTCTCTCTCGACGATGTGGGCACGGCTTTTATATGAAGGAGGTAGCTAGATTTTCGACGCCCCAGGTGGAAACCGCGCAGAGACTGTGTTAATGAGGCTCAAGCTGGAAGGCATTGACTTACAGTAGTTGCCACACGCCGTATGCTCGTGACAGGCCGGGCCAGCTACTACTCATGGTGAATTGAACTCAAGCGAGGGGGAAAGTGAGTGGGAGAGGGGTCGGTTTGATTGCTAATCGAGTGGACAAGTTTCAGCAGCTCTGGGGTCCGTGTCGACGGCGGTGACAGCCTCAGAGGACAAACATGAGTATGGCCATCCACCTGGAGTGGTTCCCGGTAACAGTAGGTATGATCGGTCACTTCCGAAGAGGAATAAAGAACCTTGTACGCGGCGAGCGTTCGCAATAGGGGGCAAGGGGATGAATGGCCGGTGAGATATCCTATGGACAGCAAACTGGCCCTTGACCAAATTTCGTCTCGGCCCATAAGTTGAGGACCAAAAGCAGATTACTCTCGACCCTTGGTGGATATCTTGTTTGTTACTTGGGATGATGCACGGGAGTATGGTGGCCGGGACCTCCCTAAGGGTTGGGAATGGGAATAGGTTCGATACGGGGCGAAGGCAGGCCATTTATCGCGGCCCTATATATGTAGTCACCCGAGAGACCCGGCTCGGAACAATAGGCAGCATGACTGAATAAGGGTGGTGTATAGGTACAGACCATCTTATGTAAGTGACAATAGGATCAAAGAAATTGACTAGATGATGGGTATAACAATATCCTAAAATATGGGGATATCCGTTCATAGGTATAAATACATGTGCATCAAAGGGGGGGGATCGATCAGTCGCTGTTGGCATACTTGTAAAGGCCCTCGTCGGCTACGCGGGGCGTTGTGTACGTACCTAGATATATCCACATTGACTGGACCACGTAAATAAACCTACCTACCTACCTACACTTAGCCACCACGGCAAGACGAGTTGTTGAGGTGATGGCTTCATCTAAACTGTACGTGGACACGAGTTCAATTCAACTATTATATGTTTGAGGTTATACTTGGTATATAGCTAAGCGCCTTTTCCCATTCCTTTCCGACACTAGGCCAGCGCCCAGTTTGGCGTCCAGTCGATCTAGGTGCGCGTTAGCCTGCTTTTCGACCTCGCGGCTGTCATTCCGAGGCTGCCTCGCGGCGCACCGCGCCATACGAGCCGAAGCCAGGAGAAGGGGAGGGGGAGGGGGAAACGACTTACGATGTTGGGGTCGATGTTGTGAAGGTCGGCGATGCCGGCGTTGGCGGCGTCGATGGCGACCTCGCGCTTGAGGAGGGCGATGGCGCGCTCGACGCCGGCGGTGCCGTACACGTTGGCGAACATGAAGGGCCGGCCGAGCCCGACGGCGCGCACGCCGAGCGCCAGCAGCTTGACCACGTCGGCGCCGTACCGCACCCCGCCGTCCGCCCACACCTCCAGCGCGTCGAACACCTCGGGCGCCTCGCGCCGCAGCTCGATCGCCACCTCCAGCGCCGACCGCACCCCGTCCAGCTGCCGCCCCCCGTGGTTCGACAGGTAGATCGCCGGCACCCCGTGTTCCACCGCCAGCCGCGCCTCCTCCACCGTCTGGATCCCCTTCAGCACGATCGGCAGGTCCGTCAGCGTGCGCAGGTGATCGTACAGGTCCCACTGCGAGAGAGAGAGAGAGGAGGGGGTGTTAGCTTGCTTCCTTCGTACATTTCAGGCGCCGAACGGGGCGATGTTCTTTATGCTATCCGGGAGGTGATAATATTTCGGGGAGCTTACGGTGATCAGCGTGTACGAGCTATCTCTATTGGGAGTGTCAGAATCAGGCCACCGAGAGCAAGAGATCTGGAAGCCTGCGAACTTACGCGGAGCCGACGCCGTAGCGGGCCGCGCGATGGCGGTTCCCGTCGGCGGCGGAGTCGACGGTGAAGACGAAGGCCTTGGTCCCCGCCTTCTCGGCGTCGCTCAGGATTTGCCGCGTCAGGGTGTCGTTCGAGTCGAGATACACCTGCTGGAAGGTGACCTGGTCCTCCTTCCTGAACGCCGCGATCTGCTCCTGGTTGAGGGTCGAAAGCATCGAGGGCTAGATCCCGGTTCCCAAACCACGTTAGCGTGTTCCTGCGCGTGTGACCTGGCATCGCGTCTTAGATAAGCCGCAGGTGAGATCAATCATACGATGTATAGGATATCCCCAGTCGCCGCGCCCTCGACCAAGCCCTTCTCCCCCTCGGCATTGCCGTACCCTCCACGGGCGCAGGGTGCGATGAAAAACGGTGCGGAGAAATTGTGCCCCAGGATCGTGGTCCTGCCTTGTTAGCAGGAAGGCGGGGAGGGTGGAAAGAGAGGGTGGCAAGCGTACGGGAGTGTCGACTCGATGTTCACGACATCTATCATGGTCCTAGGGCGGAGTGCGTAGCGGTTGAAAACCTCGAGATTGTTCCGGTACGACCACTCCGCCGCGGCGCCGTTGCGGTAATAAGTGTAGTTCCTGGTGGCGAGATACCGACGCGCAGCCGCGTCGAAGTCTGGCAGCCCTACCAGCTGTTCGAGAGGCGGCAGTTTTCCAGGCTCTAAGTCTGCAAAAAACGCATCGAAGCTTGCCTCCGGTTAGCACGCTCTAGTGTTTTTACACCTTGGCAGTTGGGAGGTATATCGCTTACCCAGTGTCCGGCTCGTTGAGGAACGGGCGGGCGGCAAGAGCCCCGCCAAGGAAGCAGAGCGGGAGGAGGGTTGAACGCATCGTGGTTGGACTGTCTGGCCTCGAAGGAGCGGCAAGCGATGGGATGTCTCGCAGGTGAGGACGCTATCGAACCGGAAGTTGGAGACCTGATCGTCGGTGGCGGCCATCCTAGCGTCTTATATCATAACCGCTCACGGCTGCCGCGTCTAGAGCCGTCCTCTTTCCCCTTCATCGTCATGGCTTAGCGCAACCTGACTCATCCGCGGGCGCAGGGGCACGGGAAGACGCCAGATCCGTGTTCTGCGATAGTCTAATCCATAGTAGCCTTTCCACTACCGCCGTCGCTGCTGATTTTCCCCTGCCCTAGTGAAGCCTCTATAGTTAGATAGGTAGGTAGGTAAGCACTGGCTAAAGCGACAGCTCTCTAGTCGTACGGATCTAGCAAGGTCCACCAGGTAGATGTAGCATTACCCTAGCAAATTCTTGCCGTGTACACAGGATAACCCACCAACGATGTCGAACACCTCTGCACTGCCTTACCATTACGAGACCCATCGCCGTAGATTCGGACCCTTAGCGTGCTTCAGTTGCCTGCTACTCTCTAGCTTCGCCCACCTATGCCATCGTTAGGACGAACCCCCCCCGTAACCCAACGGCGGGTTCCTGACCCGCCGACGCAAGGGTAAGTGAAGTTAGGGTTACATTCTACCCGGGGCGGCGTGAGAAGCCGAGTCGGGCTGGAGAAACCAACGCTTCATTGTCGCAATGCAACTATTTTTTGCTTAGCAAGACGCTTACACATAGTATAAAACCACGATGTCCGTCCTTGTGGCCCCTAAGCTATACATCGTCATAACGGGTCCGGGGAAATACATCGATAGGTGCACATTTCCATCTCAGCTCTGTGATAGACAACGAAGTAAAATGTGAGAGCCCTCGATTTGTAAATATAGCAATGAATCTGCGAATCTTGGACCCAAGAGAAGGTTACAGGGAAATTTTCCCATTCCATCCGCGTTTCTAGCTGCATTAAGTGCAATAGCCGTCTACGGATTTATTGCTTCTAACCTTCCTAGGCTGGTTTAAGCTTGGAGGGGTGAGATTACGGCCACTTTCCGCCTGTCAAAACCCGTTGCTTTAGGCGTCTCCTTCATACACCCTTGTTGCCCTATCTAGTTAAGCCGGACTAGGATCGCTCAGGAAATACCGCCCATAGGTTCATCTAGCAAATGCTGCAGTCAAGGGCATCAATATCTCACGCACGCTCCTTAGGCCTTTCTTAATCTTACCTACTTTGGGTGCTGCCGAGGAGTAGGGCCACGCTACGGCCATGCCGATGATGATGATGTACTCCACCCTCCCAGCACATTAGTGGCGGAATATACAATATCAAACCTCAAGGCGTATTTCGCGCGGATGGAGGGAATGCCATTTTTCCCTTGTATAGCACACGGGGCATATACGTGGTGCCTCCGAATTCGGCAAGAGAGGGAATGTGGGTTTTACGCGACAGTGGGAGCTTCGTTCGTGATGGCTGGCTCGACCTGATGACCGGAGTCTTGACACGGCTGCGTGGGTATAAGGCCTACCCCCCGTCCTCCTAACATATGCATGCTGAGGAACAGACGCGAGTCAGCGTATCGGCGGCCAAGGAGGGCGTCCGTTTGTAGTGGCAGGATCTAGGAACCAATCCTCCCACGGACTAAGAAGCTCGGCGTAAGAGGATCCTGAATCTGGGGATAGAGAACCGAATCGAATCGATGTCCTTCATTATCTTCGCCATTATGCCGCATATCCAGAAATCTAACCATCACAATGACAATCACCACGCGAAGCTTTCATTGTGCCACCAAACGTCTCTGCCCTTCTCCACCCAGGCTCCGACGAAGCCCCTCAACTCACGCGCCATCGCCTCCGGCCCGCATACCAATACAGCGACGCGATCCTCGAGTCCTTGCCTGAAAAAGTCGTCGACGACCTTTTCCAGATCAGGCCGCTTTCTATTAAAGGTATCCTGGTCGAGGTTATCGTGAACGCTTCTGGTCAACTCTATACCTTCATCGTCTTCATCGTCTGGGACTGTGGTTTCGTCAGCGGTTGCGAAGACGTCGCCGGTCAGGAAGATATTGAGGTTCTCGTCATCCAGGATGCTTCCTGCGGTGCCCGATACCGGCCATGTAGCATCGCCAGCTTTGCGTACGGCCCATACCATCTGCACTCGTGCTGCCGGATTTTCGTTGGAGATTAATCCTGTAAAACGTCAGCAGCCTATCAAGGCGCAAAGATATTTTCTAAAATGGTTGGGAATGTAGAGAGGCATCATTTTCGGGGGGCGATGGGCACAAGAAGTAAAGGTCGGACGGATGCTTACTAAATGTCAGTTAGTATGTGCGCGAATGGAATCAAGCATGGAAGATACCGACGGCTTGGATCGGGGACGGGATACGTACCGGTACAGCGGCAGAATGAAGGTAGCGCCGACTCCACCGGCTACCAGGAGAATTCGCTGGAACTCTGCGCCGGTCAAGTTCGGGAATTGGGTTGCGCATCCGTAGGGGCCTTCGATGGAGAGGGGTATCTTGGCACCGCCGGCATCGTTTCCCACAAGCCGGGCCAGCGTCTTGGTCATGAGTCCCTTCTGACGCCGCGCAACTAGCGTCAGATCACCCGACTCCTCGTCGAGGGATGCGATGGTAAACGGATTGAACGAAAATTCCAGGAGAGCAAAGTTGGCTACGGAGACGCCGGAGCTGCGGCGGGAGGCGTATGGGATGCTCAGGTAGACGTGCATTCCAGGGTACTTCCGGAAGCGGCTGAGCTTTGGGGAGGGGATATTGACTACGATCTTCATCAGGCTCGTGCCGGGAATAAACTCGAGGGTCGCAGGCACAGTGACGGTGTCAATCTTGCGCTTGACGAGGTCGGCGGTAAGGACGAGGAGAGCCTCCACCACATACTGCCGGCCTCCGTGGTGGGAATGGAAGAAGATCATCGGCGGGAGCATGAACGCTACCAAGATGTGTGTGATGAAAAAGATTCGGTAGGAGTATTGCCGGAGTGCACGGAGAGCTGTGGTGTTCATCAGAGTCATGCCGATGATCGAAGTGAGGCCGAGGGCCGGGATGAGACGAGTGAGCCGCTCGATTACGACGCCATATTGGACGTAAAAGTTCAGATAAAAGCTCGCGTGCAACAGGAGCAGGAAGTATATGACCCAGCCGAGGACACGGTGCCACCGATTGACCTGCTCGTGAGAGGACCTGAAAGCGAGCGCTATCGGGTTGATGCTCTTGAGAGCCAACAAATACTGGAGCGGGAACTGCGAGAGGGCGACTATCCCGAACCGCTTCGTCAAGTGCATGTAGTCTGTTTAGATCGGATTAGCCATCTAGTCGCGGTGACGTCCGTAATTCTCGGAATTAATTCGAGATTGGACCGCAGTCGGCGCGCCGCCGGCGCTACGTCGTGTCGGATGGCCTCAGACTCACCATCGCCAGTCCCGATGACGCACAGGAAAAGAAGCCAGGCGGCCCAGCAGATTCCAACGATGATCTGGTCCCGCTGACCCCACCTCGTGCCCAGGAATACGACGTCGTCGCCGAGCCACCAAGCGACTCTCCGCGACGCTCCGGCCAGAGAGCCGAGGCACGATTGTCGTCGGCGCTTCAGTGCCGGCGAGTGCGGGACGACCGCGTAGTCCCCGCCACCTTCCGTGAGGGCCAATCCGACGAGCCAGGAGCCGAAGCGGTAAAGCAGAAAAACGGCAATGGGGACCAGGGCGGAGAGCTGGGCGCAAGCAGCGTATCGGTCGAGGGCCTGGCGGCGCGCATGCTTCTGCTCCGCGTCCAAATCGAGGAAGTGGTACGGCCAGCCCATTTTCTGTTCCCTTTGGAGGAGGGGTTCGTGCGCCCCCTTCGACCACGGCTCAACTACCTACGTAATTGAAAAGCTGTCAGACCGTATACGGGGCTTCGTCTGCGACACGACAGTCTGGTTACGGTTAGGTATCCCGAACGCGCACAATCCTCTCGAGTTCCGAGATATCCGAAGCGCTGAGGAACTCCGAGGCGGATCTGAGTATCCCAAAGGCGGGCAGAAAGCGGGGTGCGTTTGAGGACGGCGGACTAGGCGTCGATCACCTGGTGCGAGGTTGTCGCCGTCGTGGGGCGTGTTTGGTGTCACCGAAGATGCCAGCGACGGCGTTGATGACAGAGAAGACGAGGAGATACGGGCGTCAGCCACAGCTGTGCGACGGAGGGGCGCCACATAGCCGAATGCTGCTCTCTGCTTGTTCTCTCCGTTTAGACTTGGCTGCGCCCTGTCAAGGGATCCGGACTGCCAAGCCAGTCCGAGAGTCAATGCGGGCCAGAACGTCGACGCTGTGGTGAAAGCCTTAGTGATCACCAGGCATTGTTTCTCAAGCGCCACGAGGGCCCAGATAAGCCTACGCGATCCGGACAAAACGCCGTCTTGACGATGTAGCTAAGACGCGGTGCAGCAATTGACAAGGCGGGAGGGAAGGGAAACGAACATGGCCTGAGCCCGTTAACGGTTGATATGCATAAAAAATCCCTAGCACTTAGCATAATGTTATGCTCTTGCATAAGGCTCATCAGAAACGTTCCCTGGTCACAACCCCTGCATAGCCCCAGGAGCAATACACCAATTCCCACAATTAGGTCTTGGACATGAGCAATTCTGACTAGAGTTATAATGGAAAATAGAGAGTCGAATTCTCACTAATCCACAGCGCAGCTTGTGCCATGGAATGGTTTGGTGGTCTAGTGGTATGATTCTCGCTTAGGGAAAACCTATGCAAATATGCGAGAGGTCCCGGGTTCAATCCCCGGCCAAACCCCATCCTTTTGCCAATTTGGCGGCCGGGTCGACTAAAATTTTCCCTTCAACTTGTTCGCGACTTGTTTTTTCCCCCTTCCTTGACGCGGTCGCTACAGGGCGCTACACGGGCCCGATCCCGCTTCAGCACGGCGATCAACAAAACACGGGCAAAAATTGAAACCGCCAGGGATTAATAATGCAAATGATAGAGGGGAAAATAAAATGAAAAAGCTTCACAACGAAATGCGTTGCATTAGCCGTGAGTCGAACGCGGGGCCCATCGATGGCAACGATGGATTTTACCACTCTGTGGACTTTGGGTTAGTCGTCGGTAATGGGGAATTGTCAAGCGACGATTCCACTCACAAACCACGTTGTCGATTTGGAGACACCCCGGAAACCGATCGATAGGATGCGAGCCGAATATTCCCATCTTATCTCACACTGCCCAAGCCCGTGTGCTCGCAGGCAGATTCGGCACTTGTCGGAGATGCTACGCCGAGTCCTAACAAGTGCAACACGCGACGAGACGTGGCCATTCCGCCCCCAGTGTAGACGCTTCTCTCATAACAGCAAGTAGGTATCGGTTTCCTGCCCCTATATATTCACTGCGTACACATTACCTACATGCTGCTGAGACGATCATGCCTGTGCACGTAGTCGCCGTGCCGCCCTTGTGGGAATCTAAGCAACCCCATCTAGACTGGGCATGGACAGTCGCGAGTTCTCTACACCTGTAAATATAATGAGAATGAGTATCTGCCACGACGGAGAGTCGTTATGAACCGGAGAACTCGCCTTCATCTTCCCATTTCTTCCACTTTACGTAGGCTAATTGTTCCTGCGCCACTCGAAGTTGGGCCCATGTATCATGAAGTACTTGCCCACACACAGAGTCACCATACGGGAAAATAGCCGGCGAGGATACTGAAGAGCCAGTAGGTGACGTATAGAATTCCGAGGGTGCAATTACGCGTCCTCGTTACCCAGCTAGGGGGCTAGTATCAAGACCTCAACCTGAATGCCTACGTAAAGCATGACCCCAGCGGACGCAGGCGGGCCGCGTTCTCAACGAGCCAGGTAAATGATTATCCCAAACAGCTAGAGATCTCGATATAGTCGATGACAACAGGCGGGCAACACGTCTATAGGAGCTGTGCTAACCAGAATGAAGCTGGGCTGGCGGTACTAAGTCCGTTAACCCGGTCCAACGTCGACAAGGATTGGGAGATCAAATAGGAAATGCCAGCAGCAACACGACCAATTGGGGGTTGGGTGATGGAGATAGACCTTTACGTCCGCCCAGTTCGGCCTAAGTATCGCATTAACCCGTTTTGCGCCGATTCAACGCTGAAGTAGTTAAAGATTCTCCAACCGGGAGGTACCTCTCAGAGTATAAGTCAATGAGAGATAGGCATATACCTACCTACCTACCTACCTTCGAGATCTTCGACACGTCTTTGCCACGCCTGTATTCGTTTTTCCTACCCCGAGACAATACCGCATGTTACCCTCCTGTCTCTCAAGAAACGACGCGATTCCACCGGCTAGAACATGGCAGCCAAGGACCGGGCCAAGCCGGCCCTGACCTGGCTCATCACGGGCTGCTCGTCCGGCTTCGGCCTCGCCGTAGCGCGCCTGGCCCAGGCCAACGGGCACAGGGTCATCGCGACGTCTCGCGACCCTCGCCGGACGCCGGAGCTCGCCGAGGAAGTCGTGGCGAAGGGGGGCGAGTGGCTCCGGCTGGACCAGGACGAGCAGGACTGCGGCCGCGTGGTCGACGAGGTCGAGGCGCGGGGGCTCGCCATCGACGTCCTGGTCAACTGCGCGGCCGTCGGCACCGCCGGCCCCGTCGAGTCCTTCAGCGAGGCCGAGGTCCGCAGGGTTATGGAGACCAACTTCTTCGGGCCGTACCGCCTCCTGCGCGCGGCGGCCCCCTACATGCGGCGGCGGCGCTCCGGCGTGATCGTCAACTTGAGCAGCGGCGCCGGGATGGAAGCTCGCCCTTCCCTGGGCGTCTACGGCGCTTCCAAGTCGGCGCTCGACGGTAAGCCATCCCCCCGCGACAGCGCGATCGCGCGCTGACGTCCCCCCCCCCGGCTGACGGCCCTGCTCCCTAGGCCTGACGAAGGTGCTCCATAAGGAACTGCAAGAATTCAACGTGCGCGTTCTGCTCGTCTACCTCGGCGCGTTCGACACCCCCATGGCCAAAAACGTCGGCTCCGTCGCGCAGCCCATCGACCCGGACTACCGCGGCACGGTGACGGAGAAGCTCTTCAAGATCCTGAGCACGGGGGACTTCGAGATCCGCGGCGACCACCTCAAGGCCGTTCGAGCGATATACGACGTGGTGGTGGGCGAGGGCGTGGGCGCCGGTCGCGAAAGCGAGATCATGCCCCCCCTGGGCACGGATATGGCGGCAAGGATCGAGGAGACTCAGCGCCGCCTCACCCATGCTATGGAAGTATTCGGCGATATATGTGTGAACGTCAACGTCGACGATAGTGCCCCCTTGAGAGATTAGGCAGATAATCGTTATGCGAAGGAACAGCTGTAGATAGGTATATCATCGGCGAATTTTCTACGAGGGGCCTAGCTGATTACCCCTCCATGCTGCGCTTGGTCTGCCTATCGCGATGGACGCCCAGTTTTGCTGCTCGGTTACAGGTTGTGGTTCTATTCGCTAGTGTCGTCACTGTTACCCCAATATACTGTAGAGTAGGCAACCCTGTACGCCCCGGCGAGACGGCACATCTGCCCCCAATGTGATGCTGCGTCGTCATATCTCTGGGGTGTTCCATCCGGGCGCCCCCCCTCTCCGGGTAATTCAGAGGATGCATGCTGATTCCTGGACGGGAAATCTTTAACTGCCGACGTTGATCGCGGGAAAACGCAAACCAAGATACGAACAACGACCCTGAGGCAGCAGGACCAAACACCGCACCATCAGCAGACGTCTAGACATCGATCATGGCGACGCCCGCACCTGAGCAGCCGCCACCGGGCCAGGAGGCGAAGAAGCTACATTTCGTGATAGTAGGCGCGGACGCAAGATCTGGGGGAGGGTGGGCGCTGACGGTGCGGGCTAGGTTGGCGGGTCGCTGGGCGGGCTGGCGGCGGGGATCGCGCTGACGGCGCTGGGGCACGACGCGACGATCCTGGAGCGCAACGCGGCGCCGGTGCTGCAGGACCAGGGGGCGGGCATCGTGGCGGGCGGCGACACGCTGGCCTTCTTCGCGCGGTACGACCGGACCGGGCGGCCGCTCGCGGTGCGCTCCGCGCGGCGCCAGTACCTCGACCGCCGCGGCGCCGTCGTCCACGCCGTCGACGTCGCGCAGAGCATGACCTCCTGGGACCTCGCGTACCACCTGCTGCGCGCCAACTTCGACGGGCTCGCCAGCGCGTACTGCCCGGCGCCGCCGGCGCCCGCCCCCCCCGGCCGCGGCCGCGCCACGCACCTGCACGACCGCCGCGTCACGCGCTTCGAGGAGGAGGCCGGCGGCGGCGTGCGCGCGTTCTGGCGCACCGCCGCGGGCGCCGAGGGCAGCACCCTCGGCGACGTGCTCGTCGGCGCCGACGGGCCGAGCTCGACCGTGCGCGCCCTCCTCGAGCCCGCCGTCGCGCGCACCTACGCCGGGTACTGCGCGCTGCGCGGCACGCTGCCCGAGGCCGCGGCCAGCGCGGCGACGCGCGCCGCGCTGTGCGAGCGCTTCACCTTCTTCCACGGCCCCGGCGTCCAGTGCCTCGCGTACCTGATCCCGGGGCGCGCCGGCGCGGTCGAGCCGGGCCGCCGCCTCATCAACTTCGTGTGCTACGCCAACTTCCCCGCGGGGTCGCCCGAGCTCGCGCGCGTGCTGACCGGCCGCGACGGCCGCCGGCGCCAGGTCACGATGCCGCCGGGGATGACGGACCCGGGGGCGTGGGAGGAGCAGCGGGCGTGGGCGCGCGCGGCGCTCCCGCCGCCGCTCGCCGAGGTGGTCTGCGGCGCCGAGCGCCCGTTCGTCCAGGCCGTGACGGACGTGCTGAGCCCCCGCAACGAGTACCTCGGCGGCAAGGTGGTGCTGCTGGGCGACGCGCTGGCCGGGTTCCGCCCGCACACGGTCGCGTCGACTTCCCAGGCCGCCTTCGACGCCATGCTCTACGCCGACTACGTCGCCGGCCGCGTCTCTCGCGACGAGTGGATCCGCCAGACCCTCGGCTTCGCCCGCTACATCCAGCGCCGTGGCGTCGACATGGGCGAGCGCAGCCAGCACCAGGACCTCCCGCTCGAGGAGTACATCCGCGACCGCGACGTCGCTTCCACACCGCGCGAGCAAGAGGTCTTTCCCGATTGGGCGACGGCGATATGAGGAAAGGAGGGGAAGGAAAGCTTTGTCTGGGACATATATATGCTGTTGAAATGGCTATCGCGTGTGCTAAGATGTTTTCACGATTTGATATTTCAATTCAAGGTTGATCTTAAGGAGATCTAAACCACGTCCCTGAAACAAACTGATGCCCCATTTCTATCTATTGAGTAGATTCTCGTACTGCCTGCCTGGTTTCAACGCTGCCTTCTCCGAGGGATGGAATATCCCCTTGTTGCTCCCTCACCATTGGATAGTCGGCCTGCCCGCGACGTTGTCGTGGCCGATTCCGCGCTGGCAGATCTCGTAGTCGCCCATGCGGAACTGACCCCAGGCGTTTCGCTGGGTCGAGTCGCAGCGCTCCCACACAAGACCGAAGGTGGCCGTCAGGGCCGGCCCGGAGCCGTCGGTGCGCCCGAGTACGGCGCTCCCGGTCTGCGAGCTGCCCTCCTTCGTTAGGTAGGACTGGAACTGGAACTGCAGCTGCATCTTGTCGTCGTAGGAGTACTCCCAGCCCGTGAAGCACGGCGACCACGCCGGGTCCCCGTTCTCGATGCGCACCGAGAAGTCTGCGTCGTAATCGGCCCCGCCCCCAAAGTCGACCGCCTTGTCAGGTACGTTCATCTGGCGACGGTTAGGGGGATTCGCCCGTAGACGAAGAGGCAAATGCGAACCAGATCGCGCGCGGGGGACTTACTAGATACGAGCCCGACACATTTTTGACAACGGGCAAGTCGATCTGGGGGCCGATCTTGAGGTGCTCCCACTGAAAGTAAGCCTGGACGGCGAAGCTCTGCAGGCGGGCGCCGCCGGCGAGCGTTGCGTGGCCGGTATAGGTGACGTCGCGGAGGGCGAAGTGCCAGCCGGCGGGAAAAGCACCCAGCTCCAGCGTCACGATGCAGATAGCGGCGGAGCTGTCGAACGGGTCAGCCGGCGCGACGCTTGCGCGCATGTCGGTTAAGTTCACTCGTAGGCTCTCCGCCGCCAGCGTGAGCCCCACGCTCGTCGCCGCGAAGCACCCCGCCGAGTTCGCGCCCCGTACTCCGAGGATCGTCGGCACGAACTCGGGCGCCGGCGATGGCTGCGACTGCGACTGCGCGGGCACGAGTGCCGCGCCTAAGGTTAGGGCAGTGAAAATCTGTAGAGTCCTCATGGTGGCGTTGTCGTCTAATTCTGAGCTCTACAGCTTCGGGTGGCTGCTAGTGGTTCGCGTCTGAGTCGTGCTGCGCGATGGGAGTTGCATGCGATGTCATAGCCGTCGACAGCGTAGGGTCGGAATGATGGGAGACATGTTAGGACCAACGAGAGCCGGCAGGATATATATCAGCGTAATGACTACCTACCATCCTCGAGTATCGGTCATGCAAGCACGCGTAACTGATCGTCGTACATTTTCCCATCTGCCGGTTATTTTCCAGCCGGTCCCGGTTTCACTCATGTGCTCCTAGGCATAATTATCCTATCACGAGTGGAGGCCGGTGGTTCGGTTCCCAATTATCTGGATGCTGCCGGCTCTACAGCGTCGGGTAAAGTGTCGTGTGCTAATTCTGATTCAACCTGGACCATGCTAGTATGTATATGACCTTTCCCTTCACTCGAATTCAACGCCATGCGATAATGATACTATGCCATCTCTTGCTTGGTCGAGCATTCTTCGAAATCTGCTACTTATTTTCAAGATGGTCGGATCAGGAGACTCGCCTAACCTATTTCTATTTCACCCCTTTACCTTATTTCTTCACGAGCGGTCTCGTTCTGATAGATGCACATTCTACATATTGTCAGTTATAATATCTGTGAGCGCTTTTCTCCTTCGAAATAAAACGGGCCAGGTTGAAACTCACGACCACCAAGACAGGAGCCGTACGAAGGAGCTAGAAGGAAGGGTGCACAGCCTAGAATATGAACTGGGCGTGGGCAGCGGTTGTATGCGCATATCCCCAACGTCTACTGAAGATGTCGACAAAAGAGGGTAGCTGGCGTATGTCTGCGAGTCTCTTCCTGGGGGATCTTATCACGGACCATTGCTAAGATGCCGAGAGGGACCTCTCGACGGAATAGGGGTAGGGGAATCCACCACCCGCGCTCTTAAGGTTAACACGCTATGACGGAATCGCGTACGATATCTACCACAGGATCGTCGGCACAACAGGGCTCCCACTGGCCCAAGTGGAGAACGACCGTGAATAGACCTACCTCCCGCCCGAGTATAACACGCAGACCTCAGTAGGCATGCTCGGACGTATACGGTGGTAGGCGACCCGGCTCTGATCAGCTTCGGCTTTGTACTTATTACTGCTGTTACCAAGGCTGATAGCAGTAGCAGTGTCCGATGGATCACCCACACACCAAACAAGGGACCCGGCACTGCGAGGCCCTAATTAGTGCTTGGCTCCCGCTCTTTAGTCTTAGTGGGGGATGACAGGGGAAAGAGGAGGATGGGTATTTGTAGGGATGCAGAGGACTCCTCGGCGTAGATCCTAAAGCCTAAAAATAGCAATTATATCGTATTTGTTACCTCCGTAGTGCTAGGGGGTTAGATCGATGGCAGCTAGGCATTCTAAGCTGATGGTGTATGCCCATGCGTGTGTACACCGAACCCAAGATGACCCAAGATGCGTGTCTTTTGGGATATCATCTCATCGCTTCTGCTGGGAGTAGTCGCCTCCCCCGACACCGATATGTTATTATGCTACCCGAGCCCGGACGCCTCGGCGCTCGAGCAAATCTTGGTAAATAACCGGGGGCTTGGGCGCTAGCGTCGGGCCTGAGGCGCACCGTGAGTGGGGCTCGAGCACCGCGTTTGACGATAGCTTCACTTTCTGGCCGCCTTTTGTGAGTTGGGTTTGCGTCTAGGAAACCGGGTGCCCAATTCTATAACATCTCCAGCGTATTATCCAACACGTAGTCCTAGAGCTTGATGCTAAAACAAATTGGCGAAAGTGGCCGACCTCGTGGGTGTGGGTACGATGATATAAGTGCAGCTGTGAAGGGGGAAATACATCCCCCGTCGGTACGGTAGTATCGAAGCAACGGGAGCTAATCCCAAGATCGGCGTCCCCGAACCCAAGATGAGTGTGGTGTCACTCGGCTAGTTTAACCAGGCCTGCTTCGGTCAGAAAGATGCCATTGGTTTTAAGTGCTTATGGCCACACGATAGGATTAATAGTGTCTCCGCATTGCTGTTTGAGAAGGCGATCGAGACGGCGTCTCGGGGTACTCCCCCGGCGCGTAGTATCTACCTAATGGAAATGTCTCGGTTAGGTCGTACCAGCAGTTATAGGATCTTGTGTCGATTCCTTACCCTGGCTACCCTGGCTTTCCCTGACAGTGTCGCTTCGTCGTGAGAGGTGGCATTCTAAGTCACATTGGCCAGATTGACCAGCGCAGGGACAACGGCCTCCCGAAGTTGCGCTCTGGATGGCACAGCGTGGAGCATGCGTCCTGGTAAGTTGACGCATGTATCCCGGGGACCATTCCCCTATGCATACAGCTCCAGCATGGCCCGGTTTCCGTCGCTCTCGTGCAACCGAAGATCTGATCTCTGCTGCTCTCGTTGTAGTTAGCACCCAACGGGCCACCACACCTCTAGCCCCCGTTCCGTCTACGTATTCATTCATAACGACTGAGTTGGAGGCATCCCGAGTCAAATCAACGTTCACGGCGCCGTTTACATTATCTGGCGCGGTTTCTGACTCCTCGACACCTTGATGAAACCCGCTAATATAAAAATGCGAACATGGGCGAATTATCCATGGTTCAGGCTCTTGAAGCCACGTCGGCAAGTCTCGAAAACAACAGTCGGGTGGCCTTCAACTTACCGACCCTCGAGTACCTAGGAACCTCTGCCTTCGAACTGACAAATGGCCGAGCAGACACCGCAACGCAATATTTTTCCCCTTCTCGACGCCGCGTTGCAGGTTATTGGGGGTGCCGTCGTTTACTACGCTCACAACAAGCCTGGACGCACGGGTATTCCCGACCTAAGCACGCGGCCTTTATCGTACCTAGCCTGTCTTACGTCGTAGATGGCACCGCATCAATTACGGTAGCAGCAAGGAATGACCGGTCCTCATCCGACCTAACCAACTTGCCGATCAGCGTCGCAGCCCCCGTTGCGCAACCGGTCACGCTAGCAGCGAAGATCGTACGAGTTGGTGTAGACCTTGTCGAAGAACAAGGCCCCGTTGGGCGCGATGAGGTACTAGTCCAGCCGGATCTGTTGCCGTTGGGACGCCTACTGGGGCCGTGAGTGTGACACTATTCTCGGGCGAGAATGTGAGGGACAACTTTTACTTGATGCTGGGGTCGCATGGTGGTGAAGTCCGGCCGCTTATCCCGGCCAGGAAGCCGTCTTGTATTACAAATATCTGCGTATAATTGATGCGTGAATCCCCGTCAACATCGAGAAGTCGGGGGGGTTGAGAAATCTAAGTGGTGACAAGCGGAAAAGCGACAGGCCCGGCTGAACCCGGTCAAATTTGGTGTCAGATGAGGACGACTGGGCGGGAGGATGAGAGCCGGCATCTGAGGCGCTTTGTCTCTCTCTCTACTAGGGAGACTGTAGTCGACTCCTGCACGATCCGCCGTCGGTAGGTAGGGCGGGCGGGCTACCCAGCCGCCTGGGACCGTGGCTTGCGGCTGTGAGATACCTCCAAGTTCTTGCGCAAGCCCTGGAAAAGCCGGACTCGGGACGTATCCGACGAGAAATTCAGGGCTGATATCGTTCAACCAGCTGGCCCGATAGTGGATGTAATCCCGGACGGGATGGGAAGGGCTCTTCATGGGAGAAGGAGGATCGCGGACGGAAGAACCCATCCTGTAATATTTTCCACGTTCCCGGCTAGGTGTAGGCGGATGACCCGGGGGTTTGGTTAGGCGCGATAGTTGAAGAGACGAGGACAGGGAGGAATGGAATGGGAGGGTTGCGGAGAGGAAATAGGCGCTCAGCGGGTACGTACAGGTAGGTTAGGCTTCTAGAGAACAGCCCGGGCGCTTACGTGTAGGATCGACGATAAGAGGTAAGTACCTAGGTACCTTTCCTCCTTCCACGTGCAATTACGTACCTAGCAATGGATCCTCTGCCTAGGGCAATATCTGATACCAAGCGTAGGTACTCCGTATCTAGGTATTATTTGCTGACCTACCAGCTAACAGCCATATTTTCCAAAGCGAGACGGAACCCGGCACACATTGTTGAATCCCGGTATGTATTGTTGTGTACGGAACTTATCTTACGTCGCTTGACTCGTTTTACTCGCATCCCCCTCTCAGCGTCCCCCCTGGCTGATAGAGACCGAGACAGGAGCGCGTTGTCAGGGTGTCGTCTAGTCAATTGCCCGAACGTCGCACGTCGATACCTACTCAGGTATTGCTACCCGGGCATGCTACCCAGGTATGCTACGCGGTGCCTCAGATACCTACGTGGTGGTGTCCGGGTTGACCTTGGCCAGACATATACTGCCCTTTCTGGCTAGGCCTCTGACGTACTGCTGGGTGATGAATAAAGTAGAAGCGCTAGGCAACACAGCTTGTTGGGTACCGACACACATTCAAGTTTTGCCCTAGAGCCGTTCGATGGGAAAATGCGTGCAGGTGTGGGGGAGTGGCAAAGCCGGTGGCAGCTGGTGGCAGGGTTGAGGGCCGGGCGATGGGTCAGTGTGGCTTGGTGGCGGTCTGCCGCCTGCTGGCAGCCCCTAGAACCTACGAAGTACCTAAAAATGAAACCAGAAAAGAGGGAAGACCAAGCTAAAAATACCCATAGGTAGGTAAAATGGTAAGAAAAAAAAAAATAAAGATTGGTACTGGCATCAGCACCGCCGTGCCTAACCTAAATCATATCAACGGCATGACTCGCTTTTCTCTCTCTTCTCTCTCTACCTTTTCTTTCACCTCTTCTTTCGTTTCCTTTCTTTCTTCCCCCCCAGCCCATTCCCCAGCTCCGTTCGTCACGGCCACGTCCACCCACCGCCTCCCGTCAATCCTCTCTGGGTGACCTGCCAAGCTCCCTTCTATTCTTCTCGCCGTTTTCTTGCATTTGATTCTCCGCCTCTCCCCGTGTGCGCATCCCCGGTCCCTGTTCCTCCGCTTGTGGTTGTCGCCTCTCTCGCGAGACAAGACGCTCCCCAGATCCCTCATCGCCAGGAGTGAACGCGGCGTACCAGTAGCAGCAACGGCACCATCATTATCTCTTTTTGGGTTTCTGCAGACTTTCTCCCATCCCCCGCCCCCTTCTCCGTGCAGTTTTCCCCCACGCGGACAGCACCGGGTATCTGGGCGCGAGGCTCTGTCCCCACGAGGCGACCAACTGCTCATCGTATTCCTACCCTATCCGACCGATATATTCCTTAGGAATTCCTTAGGAATATCCTTGCCGAAACCCGAGAACTCGCTCGAATTGCTGCCACGCCAACCCCCCCTAATCCGCCGAACCGGGCCGACCGAGCGAAGCTTTTGACAAATTCCCTCTGTCGCCTCAGTACGCCTGCCTACCGCTTCTCTCCCACCCCCGAGTTGCGGACCCGAGAATCTTTTGTGAACGAACGACGAGAACGATACCCGGAAACCATCCTGTAACTACGTTTTCTGTGACTTTGACTAGTCATGGCGAGCCCGTTGCAGTTTGCCTACCGAACCCAGAAGGCCATCGGCGTCACCGATGCTGACCCCGTCTACGAGCCTCTCCCTGGGTTCGTGAGGCCCGAAGGGACCCTGCGGTGCTGCGTCTATTCGCCCTGCGGCCGGTATCTCGCCTGGGCGTCTACCGAACGTGTTACCGTGGTCGACGCATCCGTCGGCCATATCGTGACTACCATCCAAATCTTCAACGTCTTCGAGGTCGCCTTCTCCCCCCGAGGGTCATTCCTCAGCACTTGGGAGCGTCCTGCCAAGGACGACAAAGGCGATGCGACGAAGAACTTCAAGATCTGGCGGACGGTGGAAGATATCCCCGAAGGCGCCGAGAAGCAGCCTATCGGAAGCTTCGTCCAGAAGTTGCAGACCGGCTGGAACCTCCAGTATACGTCTGACGAGCAGTTCTGTGCCCGTCTCGTTACTAATGAGGTACAATTTTATAACAGCGACGACCTGGGCACCGTCTGGAACAAGCTGCGGGTCGAAGGTGTGACCGATTTTGCCATCGCCCCGGGCCAAAATCACAACGTGGCCGTTTTTATCCCCGAACGAAAGGTTGGTTTGCTCTAAAAAATTTTTTTCCATGTCCGCGTGTCGCGGCCTGCTGACAGCTTCTCGATGTAGGGACAACCGGCTGCCGTCAAGGTCTTCAACGTGCCTCAGTTCACGACCCCCATTTCTCAGAAGACCTTTTTCAAGGGCGACAAGGTCCAGCTCAAGTGGAACAGCCTGGGGACGAGCCTGGTCGTGCTGGCACAGACGGACGTCGACAAGTCGAATAAGAGTTACTACGGCGAGACGAACCTCTACCTCCTGAGCGCTAACGGCTCTCTCGACGCCCGCATCGCTCTCGATAAGGAAGGGCCGATTCACGATGTCTCGTGGTCTCCGAACGGCAAGGAGTTCGGCGTCATCTACGGTTATATGCCTGCGAAGACGACTATCTTCAACCAGCGTGCCGTCGCGACTTACTCTTTTCCCATTGGGCCACGTAACACCATCATCTTCTCGCCCACCGGTCGCTTCGCCCTGGTTGCTGGGTTTGGGAACTTGACTGGCCAAATCGACGTCTACGACCTCGAGAAGGACTTTCGCAAGGTCTGTACCATCGAAAGCGGCAATCCTAGCGTGTGCCAATGGAGTCCCGACAGTCGTTATATCATGACCGCCACCACATCTCCTCGCCTTCGCGTCGACAACGGTGTGAAGCTCTGGCATGTCGGAGGAGGTATCATGTACCACGAGGACATGGTAGAGCTCTACAGCGTGATTTGGAGGCCGGTTCTCCCTGAAAACCTGGTGCAGAGCGATCCTCTGCACCCGGTTCCCACTCCGCATTCGTCGGCTATTGCGTATCTTGGGACAGTTAAGACCCCATCGAAACCGGTCGGCGCTTATCGCCCTCCGGGCGCGCGAGGAACGTCCACGCCGCTCCACTTTAGGCGCGAGGACGAAGGTGGCGCTGCGCACGTGATGAGTAATGGCAGTTCTAGCAACGGCCTGAACGGCTTTGGGCGGTCCCGTCGTCAGGTTCCCGGCGCAGAATTCCTCGAGGCTGGCTCGCGCTCCGTCCTTGGTGCTGCCTCGGCCGATGCTCCTGCCGGGAACGGTGACGAGAACTTGTCAAAGGCAGCGCTGAAGAACAAGAAGAAGCGGAACAACAAAAAAGCCAAGGAAACGGAGAACGACGGCGAGAGAAGGGATACTAATGGCCTGGCTCCTCCCACTTACGACCGAGGTGCGGGTTCCGGAAACGAGGGGCGCAGCCCTGAGCGTCGCGGGCACCACCTCAATCAGCAAAGCCATAGCCGAAGTCGCTCACGACCCAACTTCCAAGGGGGTAACAACCCGGGACGTAATCGGAGCAACACTCAGCAAAATGGACAGGGACCCCCCGCCGCTCTCCAGGCGCAGCCTTCGCAGCCGCCGACCTCGGATGGTCCGCAGTCGCCTGGCAAGAATAATCCTTCCAAGAAGCTGCGGAGCCTCCAGAAGAAGATCCGGGCTATCGAGGACCTGGAGATGCGCCACGCCGGCGGCGAAAAGCTCGAGGATACTCAGGTGCGCAAGATCGCCACCAAGGCGGCGGTGATCAAGGAGCTGGAGACGCTGGAGAAGGAAATTGGCGGGCAGGCGTGAAAAAAAAAAAACGGACGAGTGCGCGGGGAAACTGCTCGTGCTCCGGCGCGATTTGAGTATTCTCGAGGGTCGACTCTGGGTAGTCCGAGGCGAAAGGCGGGTGTTGCCTGCGGTGAAGCACGGTTCGTCGGGACTGGGAGGACGGGATGTTCCTGTTGCTATACCATAAGGCTGCGTGCGGACCGACCGACCGACAAGCCGACTGACGAACCGACTGGGACCGACTGGGTAGGGCTTGAGGGGTGGCGAAGTAGTGTGTACCGCGAAGGAGATTAGCAGCAGTCGGATTATCGAAAACAGAAAACATTTATAGGACAACTCATACCTCAGCTACGTGGCCTAGGTTTATTATTTAAGAAAGAGAAACCCCTCCGCCAAGGCATTCGTTACGTGCCCGAACCCTAGTGGGCGCGGGGGCTTCACGTATAAATTAATCTTCACAGGTCGCTGCGTGTCGAGTACGACACCTTCCGAGTGGGCTTTCTTTTCTACCGCGTTGCTGTGCCGCCCGTTAAGTAGAAAGCATCGATGCTCGGGATATTCTTAGGAGGAATACGTATTGCGTTACATCAATCCGGGACATAACCAACTTGACTACATGAATAAGTAGAAGATTGCCGCACGTGTACAGGTGCACGGAAGAATTAACAAGAAAAAAAAGATAATTAAACGCCTTCCTCCTTTCGAACGCTCCCGTGCCACACACCGTTTTCCCTTCTTATACCCGTGACAAAAAAGCCCGGCCTCGGCTCGGTAGAACATATAGACTGACGTAGAGGTATATATATATATATATAGGTACATATATGTAAGCGCGTTGCGTGTTATTCACTCCCGCCGTGTTGGCGCCAGCTCGCCTCACCGGCCCGCGTCCTTCGACTCGCGGCTCAGCTCGGCGAGGAAGAGCACGAGCTCGACCTCGGCGCCCTTGTCGCGCGCGAACGCCTCGCGGAACCAGGCTGCGAGCTCCGAGAGCCGGCACTTGCATACGGGGATGCCGCCGCCGCCGCCGCTGGCCGCCCCCCACGTCGGTACGCCGAGCCCATGGTCGCGCCACCGCTGGAGCACGGGGTCGTCCTCGTCGTTGGTATTGAATAGGTCGACAGTATGGGTTTCGAGGCCGGGGCTGGGGCCCTGGGGCGCACAGTCATCGCACGACGGCGTGTAGAAGGCGAAAGAGCAGGTCACGACGGCGCTCATTAGGATGCCGGGAATGAGCAGCGGGTTGAGCAGCAGGCGCGCGCGGCGGGACGGCGAGGAGGCGCCGCCGGAGCCGGATGCGGGCGCCGACGGGTCGCCCGACTCGATCGTGTAGATGCGGCACACCTGCGCCGCGTTCCACAGCGCCGTGCGCGGGCACCCCGAGGTGATCCAGCCGCGCAGGTGGGCGCGCGGCTTGCGCGTCGGGATGGCGGCGCCCGGGCGCGACTTGTAGTAATATCCACGGACGCTGAGCGTATTGAGGGGCGCGTGCAGCTTGAGCGTCGACACGTGCATAAGGGTGAAGGTGAGCGGGGCCAGCAGGTGCTGGTGGCGGTGGTGCTGACCGCCGATGCCCCCGCCGTCGCCGATCGACGGCAGGGTGCCCGAGAAGTACGCGGACCGGACCTCGCAGGCCTGCCTCTGCTTGCCGCGCCAGAGTGAGATCTGCGGCTGCGCGAGCCAGACCGAGATGGACGGGTCGGTCTCGTCGACGAGCTCGTCCGACATGCTACTGTGCGCCTCGCGCGCTGCCACCCACAGGTCCGGCTGCGTCGCGCACGTGCCTAAGTGGTAGTCGATGTCGGTGAGGCTGTACGGTAGCTGCTCATTGCGGCTAGGGTCGAGCAGGTCGCGTATGAGGAACGAGAAGAGCGCCTTCTCGCGTCCCGCGGGCTCGTCCCACTGCAGCCGCCGTCGGTCCTCATCGCTCGCGGCCGCCCACAGGCGGTGCGACTTTGGGAGCGGGATCCAGAGTTCCTGGTACCGCACCGAAGGTGGATGGTCCAGCAAGACGCTGAGATACGCGTCGACGCGGAGTATGGAGAATGCGAGCCTAGAAATACAGCGTTGAGCTATTAGCTGCGAGATCATATCGAGGGTGCGTGCGTGCGTGCGGCGGCGAGTACCTGTTCAGTTGTTCCTGTGCCCTCCAGGAGACGAATGGGCAGTCGAGTATCTCGTCTTCCACTTCTGGGTCTGTGTATTGGCCGTTGAAGATCCCTAGATATCGACACGCGGCGACAAGTAGACTCGTGAGGCTCAGCGCTCGCGGTACCATTCCCTCCACAGTCTAGTTGTATGACGTGAATGTCAGTTACGTACAAGCCAAATATCGCCCAGCATTGGCGGCGAACTGCAAACATACCAGAGAGCAGAGTGTGTAAACGATGGAGAACAGAGTAGCCTGTAGTAGATGTAAGGGTGGGCTGAGGTTCTAAGTGGTATCAGTCAGCCATCTGTTACAATCAAGTCTGGCGTTAGGATCTAGGTGCGCGCACTATCTGGATCCGAGCCACTTCCTCGAGGACTAGGGGGGCGATTCTCTGATGTTCGGGGCCGCCCTCAAGCCAGCTCGCCAACATGATCATGGACGCCAACAATACGGTGGGGGCGTTCTCCCAGACGAACGTGGGGGCATGCAAAATAGGCCAATATGGGTGTATCTCGTTGAAGAATACTTTTATGAGTCTTTTAGTCGTGAGGGAACCCCTATCAACGATCGCATGTTTATCTGGCATGGTTCCCGCCTCCGGCGAGCTGTATAGACTGTGATGTTGCGAGGTGGGCGGTGATATAGTCCGCGAATGTCTCGAGGCGCTATTCGATGAACCGTAGGACAAATTCTCGACACGGCCAATATTCACACTTAACGAGGTGCTAGAGCTATCGTCTATCGTGATACTTGATAAGCTTGGAGGAACATAGCTCATGGGATCCGTGGTGCCCTGAAGTCGATATCCAGGATGAAAGCTGGTTGGCTCCGGACACGGTCGTGAGCCCCAGGCATCTTGGTCGGGAGAGAACCACGCCGCTTGGCCGTGGTCGGGAGGCAGTAAAACGGATGTCCGATCTGTCACGGCGGCGCCAATCTCATCAGGCATGCCGAAGCCATTCTCGTTCACTACATTGACTCCAGCGTCGCGGGACTCTCGGTCGGTCCAATCACAGTCTACCGAATTCTGGATACAAGAGCGACAAGGAGAGTTGCCGTCACACTCGGAGTTCCTGTCACGGCATGGCGTGCAAGTTCTTGGGCCCGGAGTCAACGATCAACAGCATAGTGGCAGTGGGGATTGTGGTTAATACACGTACATATTGTTATTGTTATTCGGTGCTTGCTGTGGAGCTTGATGGTGATGCTTCACATGCCTCCGGAGAACGTCGCTGCACTCGTGTTAGTTTGATAGTGATCCTGCTGTTCACGGGGACGGCTTGTATATAGATGTGCGTGTATGTATGCATATAGATGTACGTGTGTATGTGTGGAAGGGCGTGTGTTATCCTCTGGCTCCCTCTTCGGTTGGGATATGAGCTGGCGGAGCGGCGAGGAGCGAGGAAGGACGAGAGAAAGAAAGTGCATACCTCCGGGCATAACGCCGGCCGCATAGAAGGCACTTGTATTGAAGTTGGGGGTCGTGGGATTTGGTATGCCGGTTTAAGTGTTCCTTTCTATTAAAGGCCTTGTCGCAGCCGGGAAATGTGCATTGGAATCCCTTCGGCGTCGACGACATATCGGGGCATTCTTACAGGAACAACCTCCCCTAGCGCCCCGAGCACGGGGAAGCGATATCAGATTATCTCGTACCACTCCGTAGACCACTCCAGAGAGGGTATGGGCCGGTCAGCCCGGCAGCACGGAAGGAATCGTAGTCTAGCAGGTCGAGGCAAACGTCCCCAAAGACTCGGGCTGGGCTGAGAAGGACGACCCCACAGCAGGCGGCGGGCAGATCGGGGACGCGAATACAACGCGGAGTATCAAGGTGGCCAAGCAGGTGGGAGGAGTGTGGATGGATTGTAGAGCAACACAGGATAAGGTGGTATGTCGAGCGACGAGTATGTGGGAGGTTGAGGATGGATCGGCCGGGTTGGGATACGGGGGTGAAGGGGTAATGCCGGGGGTATCGGTGCAACCATATACGGTAGTCCGATATATCCGCCGGCGGAACCATTAGTCAAGCATGTGGGATGTGGGATGTGGGATGGGCTAGTCTAGCCATTCGCACGGGCGCCATGTGGGATGCATGCCTTGCCCAGGTACATATAGATAATCCGGGAGGTACGCCAGCGGAAGTATCCGGGGGATACCCAGCGCGAGGCCTGATACACGATACGGGGTAGGCAGGCATGTACCGAACCTACTAATCATGCCCCTTGCGTCAAGGACAATGCCTGTACTCATCTTGATCAATCAATTGATCTACGGAGGGGGAGGTGGGATGCAGGCAGATCCCACCGTCGCTACGACTTGCCTGCCTCCTCTACCTGTAGTATATCGTATACACCTACACATCACTACCCACCTCCGTGTGCGCTGAATGCATCCCATCCCATCCCACCCCATCAAACCCATCATCGCCAGGCCGATGACACCTTCTATCGCACCCAGCCTCTTTGAATGGCTGATTCCTGCTCTCCCCTCACCTTAAGCACGTCGTGGCATGTGGACTTTGGTGGGATTCGGCCTGATCGCAGCCCTGCCTTACGAAACCTCGACACGCCCCTATTCCGACATCGTTAGTGCCCCTGGCGCCACCGCATCTCGTCATGACAACCCGCCATGACAACCTGCCGTGCTGCGGGGTTTGGCGAGCGATTGCGTTATGGAAGCTAGGAGTGAGAGAATGAGAATAAAGAATAAAGGTATAAAAGAGCCAGCTTCGTCACCCAGGATATTTCCTTCCGGATGTGTCCCATCCCATTCTTATCATCATCATCATCATAATCGTCGTCTGCGTCATCATTATCATTCTCGTCGTCATTCACGTCGAGCTATAGCTATCTTTAAAGTCCTCACCATCGGAGTCCGAGCTGTCCACAGCTATAACCATTTACACATTAACCTAACCCGTTAACATGGCTAGCATTACGAAGGTCGCTCTAGTAGGAGTACGTAAAAGACGAAGTGGCTCCAGTCCCCATTCGATCATGCCCAACTAACCTCGCGCAGGCTAAAGGAAACCTCGGAGAGGCGGTGTTGGATCGTCTGTTGAGCACTGGTTTCGAGGTTACAGTCCTCTCTCGCCCAGAAAGCACTCAGGTTTTCCCGGCGGCTGTCAGCGTCAAGAAAGTTGATTATGATTCTCTCGACTCCCTGACGGATGCTCTCCGCGGCCAAGATGCTGTTGTCTCCACGATCGCATCCGCGGCGTTGGGCAAGCAGCTTCTCCTGATCGACGCGGCGGCTAAGGCGGGTGTCAAGCGTTTTATCCCGTCCGAATTCGGTGCCGACACAACCCACGAGAAGACATCGCCCCTACCCGGCTTCAAGACCAAATTGGATGTCCAGGAAGCCCTCAAAAAGGCCGCTGCCGAAGATCGCCTGACCTACACCATCATCCTCAACGGGCCATTTTTGGATTGGGGAATTAGAGTCGGCTTCCTAGCCAACGTTAAAGAGCGGACAATCGATCTAGCGGACGGAGGTAACCGCAAAGCCTCGGCATCGACTCTGGCGACCGTCGCGAAGGCTGTCGAGGGCGTGCTGAAGAACCCGGAGCAGACAAAGAATCGCGCAGTCTACGTCCAAGACACCGCCATCAGTCAGAAGGAGTTGGAGGAGCGGCTCAAGAAAGCCACCGGAACAACGGAGTGGACCGAGACCGTGTCTTCGGTCGAGGAGGGCGTCAAGCAGGGCTGGGAGGAGGCCAAGAAGGCGCAGCCAGATCCGTGGGTGCTCTTTGGCACGACTGTCAAGGCGGCAATCTGGGGTGACGGATACGGAGGCCATTTCCAGAAGCTCGACAATGACCTGTTCGGCATTAAAGAGTTGACCGAGGCCGAGCTCCAGGCTGTCATAGAGAAGAGCCTGCCCAACTAAGGGGGATAGGCAGATGGCTCAGTTATCTGCTCCCCAGGGACAAGGTTGGCGGATCAAAGTAGATGGGACGGCACCAAGAAGTGCAACGTGGATCATTATGGCGATGGGTCTCTGTTGGTAAAACTCGTCACCCGAAGTTCCCCCAGTGCATTCCACCCTGCACCACAGGTGGGAGCGCCTCCTGCTGGAAATCGTGAGATGGGTCCCTCAGACTGGCCTCTGTTAGCTATCAGTTCGTCTTCGGCGATATTTTGAAGAAAAAAAATGAATCCAGTACGAAATCACTTGTGCAATGTGACATGTCGGAGAAGGCTTTGGTGCTGCGACGATTGATTAATCGTCAAGGCAGTCTTCTTCATTCGACGCTGACATGTACTAGTCGGGCTCTCCTTGCCCCATCCTGTCGCCCAACGCAGGTAGATATATTGTGAGGCGCTCGGATTACTTGCAGGCAGAATTCACCCGTGTGAGATCTACTCATGACCCTTGCACTCGCACCCTTGGTTGATACATCTCAGCTAGGTATCTGCTCAGCTCTCACTCTCTGAGGCTATCGACCAACAAGTCATCGCCCCACCATACCTACATATCGCGCCAATCCGGGACACGATGCCGATGGTTTCTCGCAAAGAATGAATTCCGCCTTCCACGTCGCGCCGTTGTGCCGGCCTATTTTCAGGTTTTTGGACATCTTGGTACTATCTCAGGCTGTCGAATGGGGGTCTAGACTGGCCGCAATGGGAACCCCGGGTTCGTACTAAAGAGGAATTGCTTATTTATTCCACGTCTTCGGGTTCCCAACGGGGCTCAACGGCCATTACGGGTCAGGCTGAGGTTGTAGTCTATATAGTGGTTGATGACCGCCCCCTGCTAGTCAACGAAGAAGCCTTCCGAAAAAAGTTCCGGATACACAATTTCCGCCGGTTCGTACTCGGAGCATCCCATGATACCCCTTAACCCGCTGCAATATGCAGCATTACTTTGGAATGCTCGCTGTCCCGCCTCCGTGTGGAGCTGCCGCGTACCTGGCAATTGGAGGGAACGTAAATTCGCCGGACAATATTCTACCGTGGCTCTGCAGTGCATAGAACAGCCCTGAATTCCCGTCAGCATTCCGAGAAGGGCACGGATGCCGCTACCATGGATTTATATACCTACAGAATCCCCACCCAGATTCCCGATTCCAACTTGACAGGCTGGCGTAGACGATCACTTCACCTTGGTTTGTCGGGGCCCGAATACACTTTTCCCTAACTACTTAGAAGGATGAGGTTCTCTTTAGCAGCCACCCTCGCGGGCGCCAGCTTGGCGGCCGGACACACCATCTTCGTCCAACTCGAAGCCAACGGTGTGACAACACCAGTCTCCCACGGTATCAGGACTCCTAGCTACGATGGTCCCATTACCGACGTGACGTCCAATGATGTCGCCTGCAATGGCGGCCCCAACCCGACCATGCCCTCGGACAAGATTATCGAAGTCAAGGCCGGCTCTACCGTATGCGTTGGATTATCACCAGTAAATCCCCTCAACTAACTAACTACGTTCCAGGTCAATGCCATCTGGAGGCATACCTTAACTTCGGGGCCGAATGACGTTATGGATGCCAGCCATCTGGGGCCTACGCTAGCATATCTGAAAAAGGCGAATGATGCAACAACCGACAAGGGATATGGCGGTGGATGGTAAGCTACACACCCCTCGCCCAAGTACGGTCCGGAGCGCAATGCTGATTTCGTGGCTCCCAGGTTCAAGATTCAGCAGGACGGCTACAGCAACGGCGTCTGGGGCACCAGCAAGGTCATCAATAACCAGGGAAAGCACCCGATCCAGATCCCGGACTGCCTCCCGGACGGGCAATACCTCCTGCGCGCTGAGATGATTGCCCTTCACGGCGCCGGCTCGAACCAGGGAGCGCAGCTCTACGTACGTCTTATTCCGGCATCCTATCCCGAACCTTTACTAGGACTGACGGGAAGTCTGCCTAGATGGAATGCGCGCAAATCAATATCTCTGGAGGTTCCGCAACCAAGACGCCGACGACGTACAGTCTCCCAGGGATATACAAGGTAACGTCTCGCCTCGCCCACGACTGCCAGTATATTCGCTTGCTCGACGCTAACACATGTGTCGTCCCACAGGCGACAGACCCGGGTATCCTAATCAACATCCACTCCATGAGCAAGGATAGCCAGTACATCATCCCGGGTACGTATCCGTATCCCCTAGTCTGGGATTGCACATTAGGGATGCTAACAGGCGGTTGCGCTGGCTAGGCCCCGACCCCTTCTCCTGCTCCGCGAACTCCGGCGGCGGCAGCTCCTCGACGACCCTGTCGACGGCGACCAGGACGGCTACGACCCCGGCCGCGACCCCGACGGCCCCCAGCTGCTCTGTCGCCCAGTGGGGCCAGTGCGGCGGCGTCGGATACAGCGGGTGCACGACCTGCGTGACCGGCCGCACATGCAGTAAACAGGTAAGGCTCCCTCCCGCCTCCTTTACCCCACGGTGTGGAAAGAAGATGTGCTAACTCTTGCGCCCTCAGAACGACTATTACTCGCAGTGTACATAAAGCCACTATAGCTTAGGGGCGGCACGGTTGGATGTAGGAATTGAATTGCGTTCATGTAGAGCGATCTCTGCGGTGTATGTCTACGCGGCTGTGTGATATTGTGAGCCGGAGTTGGTGATATTGTAACCCCGGTGTGGTAGCTGGGCACCCGTAGCCGTGGGCGTAAGGGACGAGTTTCTTCGTCCTACGCGTCACTCTACCATCTCGACCTACGGCCCACACACCTTGAAGAAGAGTTATCTCGCGGTTGGTGGTTGCGAAGCTCGATCGAGAGTTGTGTCCGGGTATACTCCGCCATGGGAGAACAAACTAAGACTTGGGAGACCTTGTAAACAAATACAATTCTCTCCTTTCTCGTGTATATGGTGGAGATTAGATCGATTGACTTGTTTCCCTGCTGCTATGCTTGCTCCTCGTAGACCCCAGTACCGTCGCCCGCCCCTTTACGCCCCTTTCCTGAGTCCAACCCCCTGCCGTGTAAGTGTGTGTCAGGACCTCCGCTTAGCGGCTGACCGGTATCCACATAATGAGAGTGATCTTCAACCAGAGTAACTACTGTCAGTAACTACAGATCTAGAGACTATAGAGCCGAAGAAGGGGGGAGATGGTGTATTGGGTTAGGGCAATGCTTACCATGAATCCGATCATATACATCGTGTATAGGGCATATGTGGGAAGACCTACAGTGGTGCGGCGCTGCCGACCACTGCTGCTGCCCGTGCCAACAGGTCGGGGTGCTGGGTGAGGGACACTCGCTGTGGTGTCGTAGCCGCTGCGGCCTTGGTCGCTAGAGATTTGAGCAGGCATGTCGTCCAGGGAATAAAAGAGAGTTGCTGGATATTGTTTCGACAGTCTAGGAGCTCCTGGTCCCAGTGTGTGTCGTGGATACCGCGTTGAGTTGATCCTATGCTTCGAGCTGTGCTTAAACTGTGAGGACGGATTTGCTGAAGAGTAAAGGAGAAGATGAGCAAAGTTACGGGCCCTGTAACGTTTTTATAGAGGAGGGTAATGGCTGGACAGTTTGGCCGTTTTAGTTACCGGGGAACGGAGGCAGAAATCAGTCATTGACAGGAGTTACAGTATGCGTGCTTGCGCCGAAGCTTGAGCAAGCCTACGGCATAGTATGAAGCACGGCTTCTTACCTAAAAGTAAAGGGCAGAATACCAATACATGCGTTACACATGATGCTTGTCTCTTGTCGCATTCAGCTGATAAACTACTGTGATGTAACTTCCTTGAACCACTAGGTCAGCACAAGCTAGAGCAACAGCAACGATGGAGTCAAGAACAGCCATTCGTTACTCGCAGCTGTGACCTAAGTAATGCCTGGGATATATCATACAGGTAAACAAAGAGCACCAGAGCTGAGTATATGATTATCATGTTTGTGGGGTTGCTGTGCTGCTCTCGCCTTTGTCAGTTCAACAGGCAACTGAACGTGTCAGCTGGCACTGTGCATGAAGAGTAGTTTAATATAACCTGTAAGTATTCTGGCTTATAGCACTCTTGGCTTCTCCATGCTCTTCTATGCATACTAGGCAGCTTGTTAAGGGCCTTTCAGTATCAGGTGTGAGTCGAATTAATCAATGAATAGACACTGCTAGGCCCTTGCATGATTCTGTCCAACATCAATATAGGAAAATGAAATTGTATAAACTGAATGATAACGCATCTATATGTGCCCAACAAGATGGCGAATATAACTGGGAAACTCTCATGGACACTCTAGTTGCTAAATTGATATTTCTTACAGACTACACATTTTCAGGGGGGGGATATCCTCATTAGTGGGGAAAGGCGAGGTCACCTTATGATAGTTATGGCATCTAGGATATATGCATATAATCGCTATATGAGGACTTAGACATATCATATAGACAAATACGCAGGTAATATTTGTGTTTTAACTCCTCTCCAGTGGTTATAGGTATGTGATCACCTCCCGCTTTACGTCTTAGGGCACGTTTTCGTAGCTTGTGGAGAGTGATTTGAAATACGGGGCTATTTTTCACGGCAGATTCTTACATGACACCCCGTCTCGGTTGTGTGGCACCCATCAGTACCGGCGCCGAGCCCTAGAGCCACTGCCTGTTGCCAAACTGGGAAACGAAAGATCCCCCATCCCCACGCTCGACGCTGGCATTATTAATAACCTTCAGAACGAGGTTAACTGACTCCTCTGTCGTAATCCCCCCCTTGAAGTTCGGGGCGTAGGTCGCAAACTTGGCCGCCATCGCGCCGAAACTCTGGCGCTGCTCGTCCGTCACTGCTCACCCTGTTAGAAGGAACGATCACACCAGGGAGGAATTCGAAGCCAAGAGTAAGAGCGCAGCTTACTCTGTGTAACATCGTTGTGACTTGTGTTCACTAGCCCAGGCGAGATGCTCATGAAGAGGATGCCCTCGCTCCGGAACTCGGCGCTATATTTGGCGACGACGAGGTTCAGCCCGACCTTGCTCAAAGCATAAGGGGCAGCGGTAGCGATATCAAACTTGGTGACGAGGTCGACATCAGCCATCCCCGTCGATATAGCGATGACCTTCTTGACGGAACCGCGCCGGATGAGCGGGATGAATAGGTTGAACAGATGGATGTTGGCGACAACGTTAGTATCGTAGAAAAGGCGAAGGTCGTCCTCGAGAGCCTTGGGATTATCGCCCCTAAGCATAAGTCAGTTAGACCTATCACGCCCGAGGTTGGATGGACAGAAGACAGCAGTTGGGTGACCTACAATTTAAAGAGTGTGCTATGGGTTGAGAGATTCGAGGAGACCACGGCGCCGTTGGCGATGAGATAATCGAGGCTTCCGCCGGTTATCTTCGATGTGTCTTCGGCTGCTTTCTACGAAACGGTCAGTTTGCCGTTTTCATAACGGCGGGGAAGGGAGGAAGGGTTGGCAAACCTTGAGGGATGCGTAGTTGATTAAGTCACCTTGGAGGATGTGGATGTTGGAGCGTCCGCCGAGCTCGGATGCTACTTTCTTCACGGTCGACGCCTTATCGCGGACCAGCCCGATGACGATCGAAGACGGGTCCTCGGACAGCTGGCGGAGGAACTCGAACTAATAGTCCGGCGATCGACGGGGCTTCGGTTAGTTCTACCTGCTCGGCTGGGCACCCGTGGGGAAGCAAAGAATGCACTTACGCCGATCCCCCTGGATGCACCGGTAATCAGATAGGAGGGCATCTTGACACGAGGAATTGACTATCCTGGGCAAGTAAATAGGTGGATTTTCCCTGCTAGGTCGGTTGACGTGGGTGACGGGTCTGAATTGGTGAGAGGTAGGTGTTGAGGGCATTGCCGTCGATGAGATGGACATCTATCTCGACTTATATACCCAAATATCGACATCTCGGACCTTCGTCGCGGTCTACGTAGCCATCTAACGTGTTGGCGAGGATTCGTCCGTTAATCGTCCGTACGCACATTACAAATCTGGCGTTTGTAAGCTCTCTAATCACTAACGATAAGTCGCCCGAAAAGGCATCTTCGCTCGCATCCTCTTGCTTATCCCGCTCTCACGCATTTGCCAGGCGAGTCTGTTCTCTCATGCCACGAATCGCCAAATAATGCCACTCCTTAACCCGATAGCCATCTCTCCGTGCATGGACTGGTTTCGCGACCCGACGCCGAAGATGGCCTTGGCGAGAGGCGGTTTGAGAATACCCAGCCAGGACTCGCGCCTAGAAACGGTCTAAGGATATATCGGCGCCTAAGTACATATTGATGCAATGGGTCAATCTGACCGTCGAGAGGACAGGAGACTAATCGATCAGTTCAGGGGTAATACTACTCGTATTCAAGCCTGGTAAATAAAAACTGTTGAAACTGCTCGATACACTGTTTATTCTGTGACTTGTGGGTGCCAGGGGTCGCTCACTATTACCACCAATCAACGCCGAAAATATCGTTCCGAGTACATGTGATTATCTCCCATCGCGTCCATCCATCCTACCTCTAGGGTCCCATGGAAGTAATGTCAAGCCAGGCAAAAAATGTAAGAAAAAGATGAATGCATAGCGCTCTCGATCGGGGAATCGAACCCCGGCCACCTGCGCACTTGTCCGATGACAAGCAGGTATCCTGACCACTAGACCAATCGAGACATGGACCGATCTATGAACGGTGATTGGATTTGGATGTCGGCTGGAGCCTAAAGACGCTACATGTAGGCCTGCCTAAGAGACACCTGGTCCGCTGCTAGTGGCTAATATCACCAACAGAATCAGGTAGGTAACTATTGGTACCTACGTCAGGGGGCCAGGTGATGACAACTGAATACCAGCTGACTTGAAAACTTGCCAGCTGGCTTAGATGCGTGCCGGACTGGCAGTTGCCGGCATGCTATTTCTACGGTTCACCGTCTATTGACGACCGAGTTCGTCGTGTAGCCGCACCCAGTACCTTACAAAACCGAGACCAATTCCATTATCGCGACACGAACACATTGGGGGCACGACTCCTGGACCATCCAAGTATCCAGCATCGATATCCCTCACCAAGGGCAGCGCGGTGCTCATCGTCGTCCTATCCTATCCTTGAGCCTCGCCTACAATCGTTTACCCGCACCACGGGCTTGGGATGCCTACCCACTTAACGAGGTAGCCGGTAATAGCCGTCAGCCAACATGGGCGAATCTCCATCGTCGGGCTGGTCAACGCGCGAGGCTCAGGTCGTCTCAGAACACCTCCCGCCTGGATTCTCGGCCGCGTTTGATGGCGAACCCTCCGTTCCCGCCCCTCTACCGCCATCCAGCCCAGACCCTTCGGATTCGGGGACTGGCCATTCGTCTCTGAAGCTCCAAGGTGGCGATGTGCATCGGGACCTTTTCAAGACGGCTGCCAGGGCCCGGAGGCATAGACGAGCGGCGACATTCCATCATCATCCGCCGGAACCCCCCGGGGATTACGACGGGCATGATGGCTTGACCGTTGGTGACCACTTGGCTCCCGGAGGATTTCGGCGGGCATTCCTACAGCAAAGGCAGGGGCGCGACCCTCGGCACGAGTCATGGGCCGCTAGAGTCCCCATCACCCGCAATTTCGTAGAATTTCTCGAGCTGTACGGCCACTTTGCCGGAGAGAACCTCGAGGACTCCGACGACGAAGCGGTGCAATCCGCCGGCCAGGATGAGGAGCACGAAGCAGATGCGAGGGACGTAGAGGAAGAGGGAGAGACCAGACCGCTTCTGGGGGATCGCGGGGCTCAGGCAGCGCAGCGTTCGGCCACGGCCGGCACTAAGCAGACTTTTTTCACCTTGCTGAAGGCATTTGTCGGGACCGGCATCATGTTTCTGCCTAAGGCGTTTAATAACGGTGGCATCTTGTTCTCCGCTATCACGATGCTAGTCGTCTCGCTGGTCACCATGCTGGCATTCCATCTGCTTCTCGCCTGCAAAGCGAAATTCAACGGCGGATACGGCGACATCGGCCAGGAGGTTGCAGGTAGCAAGATGCGCACGCTGATCCTAGGGTCTGTAGCTCTGTCGCAGCTAGGCTTCGTCTGCACCGGCATTGTCTTCACGGCGCAAAACGTCATGTCCTTCCTCCAAGCTGTAGCGCATGGCAGCCGTCTACCATCTTCTACGGCGCTGATCCTTACGCAGCTCGTCGTTCTAATACCCCTTGCCTTCATCCGGAATATTGCTAAACTGGGGCCGGTCGCGCTCGTCGCGGATGCTTGCATCTTGCTGGGGGTGGCTTACATCTACTACTACGACTTTGCCCACCTCCTGTCCGACGGCATACATGAGAGTGTCGTGCTCTTCAACCCTGCAAAGTACACCCTGACCATCGGGTCGGCTATCTTTACATTTGAAGGCATCGGGCTAATTTTACCAATCCAATCCTCGATGACGCAGCCGGAGCGGTTCGAGTGGCTCCTCGGCGTCGTGATGATCATCATTACGGTCCTGTACACCGCGGTCGGCGCTCTCTGCTACGCCACCTTTGGCGAGAACACTTCGATCGAGATCATCAACAACTTCCCGCAGGATAGCAAGTTCGTCAATGCCGTGCAATTCCTCTACTCGCTCGCCGTCCTCGCCGGGACTCCGGTCCAGCTGTTCCCCGCCGTACGCATTCTGGAAGGGAAAATTTTCGGCTCGCACTCGGGTAGAAAGAATCCCCGAACGAAGTGGATCAAGAACGCCTTCAGATCTCTTGTCATCCTCGCGTGCGGCGCCATCTCTATCATGGGCGCCTCAAACCTAGACCGGTTCGTTGCCCTCATAGGCTCAGTGGCCTGCGTCCCATTGGTCTATATCTACCCGCCGTACCTGCATTACAAGGGGGTTGCAACTTCGCGGGCTGCCAAAACGGGAGACATCATATTCATGGTGGTCGGAGCAGTCGCCATGGTGTACACGACAACCGTCACCATCATCAACAGCTTCTTAAGCTAGCTAGATAGATACTACCACCTTAGGTCTTTTAGAAGGGAGCTCTCGCTCCTAGAATTCTTGGGCATGGGACGACGCAGCGGGGAGGAGGACGATGGTTGCGGCCTCCAACTGCCGGGGTTAACACATAGATGAGGAGTTTGGGTTTGGGTTCTCGGCAACAACTGGTCTACTCTGGCGACTTAGAACACCTCTTCTCATCTGTCTCGGGGGCGGCTAAACATGGGTATCGGCATGCTGAAAGAATGCGGAGCGAAGAATGTTATTGTGTAGCGACTCTCTGGTTGCTCGTTTGCATTGGCATCGAAGCACTGGGTTCTTATGTAGGTGGTGCAGTATGTCTACACAGTTTACAGCCTACGGCACTGTTTACCACTCCTCTTTCTACACTGAATGTGAGCCAGAGTGGCGGCGGTCGCGCCTGTGTCGACGTGGTTCTTTTTACTTCGTCTACCACAAGTGCTAGAGGACGCTGTAAGTGGTGACCAAACAACCCATGTTGATACAGCGATGCCCACCCACTTGAGGGAGATGAGCACGTATGCCTATAAACAAGCAGCAAACGTGGCGCGGAAGAGCTATCCAAAAAATCACAAACATTACCGCGTCCAGCTAGCAAGCCACCAGCTCACCTTCTCCATAGATAACGGGAAACAACCAGACGTCGTGACGGTAACGCGTTACGGTAGCGTGGATATAACGTGGCAGCACTAAGAAACCTACTACTTTACGGTGTCTCTATTGCTTTTGATCGTTACACCCGGTTATTCAACCCAAATCACTCAGGATCGCTACTCCACAACGTCACTCTTGAATAACCGCCCGACACGGTTACTCAACACTATTATTAAATGTCACGGGAGTGACGAGACTTCTACTCTTGGGGTATATTAAGCCCCCCAATCCCAGTCTCCGTCCTCTTTCCTCTCCACCTAGATACAGGTCACCATGCCTTTTACACATACGATATCGGCTGTCTAATACCTTTAGATGCCATTACTTCAATGGCGTCTCTTTTGTCACGGTCGAGGCTGACCGCCCGACCACTCCTACCGACCTTGCCAACGTTACATCTATCGTAACGGTAGCTAGTCTCGACGGCATCTCGTCACTGCTACTGCCGAAACGAGCTACGGATATGCCAACGCAGCGAACACGTTCCTCCGACCAGGTAATGCCCTAGCTTGGATGCGCTTGACAGGAAACTAAATCTCCAAGACAGAGAAAGCACGTAAGGAATCTGTCGCCTCTGGCGTTATGGTTCCCGCCGAGACAACGGCTCAACCAACATCTTCCCAAGACACAGCCGACAGACACAGCCGGCAGACACAGCTGGTGAGGAGCATGCTTCCCCTTTCCATAACACATGGCTCCATCCCCGGAGCACGAAGAAGCCGGTGTGGATCCTTAGGCATCCAGAATGGAGGCCTGCGATTGATCGGATTGAAGAAAAACGCACAACAGCTAACTGTTCGTAAAGCGCTGTATTTCAGCCTTTTTAGTAGTTTAGTTTTTACACCTTCAATTGATCAACTAGGTTCACCTTTCAACACGCTTTGCATGCCTGATATATAAGGCAGCGGAGCCACGAAAGGAACCAGCCAAAACGCACACCGGTACCAGATGACGGATACCAGCCCCTACTTTCGCGAAACCCTCCACCGGGGAAGCATCGAAGCCTGGCATAAAGAGGCGTATGACGACTATAGGTCCCGCTGGTGGACCTTACCAATTCAATAGTGGATTAGATCACAGTTGACCGTACGATCCCGGGCAATGACTACCAACCGGCGAAAGGAGCAATCCCCAATGGCCAAGTTCTTACGAAATTGGGACTTCTTAGATAGAATACTTCTGTTCAGCGTGTCGTGACGCGGGTTGACGTAGGTATCCATACGTTTATCTATCTAGGCATACTAACCCTCACACGTATAGGGTCTAACAATACATCTCACCCACAACATCGAGCTCCGCGTAAAGACTCGACCTATCTCGTAGTACGGGAAATCAATTCTGCTCTCTGAACGATACTATCACCCGATCGCGAGGGCCTTCGTCTCTATGATCGCCCGGGTCGACGACGGGGCCGCCCCTGCTAACACCGTCTGTACCGCGGACGGGCAGGACATGCGCACCTATGAGCGCAGATCTAGGGACCTCGCCGACTTCCGTCGGTACGCCAACGCAGTGGGCGGCAGCCCCGGCGAGATCCTCCAAAGGAACGAGACACCCAACGAGGTCGCCCGGGCCTAAGGAGAACACCCCCGCATCGAGCATCACTTCGCTTGATGGAAATAGACGAGGAAGAGTGGGGTCCTGGAGGTAGGAGTTGGGCCTACGAGAGTAGCTATGGCACCCTATTTCAAGCGGTTTCGAAGCCTCGTGAACTTCGGTCTACTGGCTAGGCCTCAGTTCCTGCGCTTATCGGTTAGGTATCATTGATAAGGAGGTCCGGCCCTTGCCGGAGCCACCGATGAGACAACGCGGCTTTCACCGCCGAGAAGGGACCGGCAACGACGACGATAACGGCGACGACGAGGGGTGAGGGGTGAGTCTATTGGTAGGGGAGATATTGTGCAGGGACGGGGCAGTGGCTACGGTAGCTTTCTGTCACGTAGGCATACACCTCCGGCGGTTAGCAGGCTGCCCGGAACTAGCCATGTGACGCTCTCCTATAGGTATTTCTTAATGCGGTGGTCTGTGAAGTGGTGGCCTGTTGAGGTGCAAGTTAGCTTATCCGCCCGGGGAACCTGACTTGTGGCTCGCCTACGAAGCCCCCAGGTTATTCCCTACTCAAGCACTCCGACGCATCGGACAAAGTGCCGATCCTCCTGCTACTGGCCACTCGTCATGTCGCAGATAAGGCCAAGACGAGAGCCGGTCTACGACAGGCATCAGGAGATCGCCGTGGAGCGTATCAGTCGCGAGAGGCAGGCGCTCAGCAGCCCCAGGAGGCTCCGTTCCCTCAACCCCAATCCCAGGAATGCCACCCATTGCCGTGCCAGATATAACCATTTGTGGACGATACAACAGCTGTGAGGCGGTCTCGAGATGGCTGATTCGTCTAATTTGGGCGTTTACCCGCGTCGGGTACCAGGTGCCACCTCCCTCAGAAGTTCTAAAGGCTATCGATGTTCTCTGTGGTTGGGACGCCCTCAGATTCATAGACAACGATCTACAAATACGACAAGCATTGGGTCAAGCCAATCATGGATTAACCACCCAAAACGACTAAAAAATTGTCGAACAGCTCCTCAGGGATCGATTCCCGTTGAAGCCAGCTGACGCAGGCCCCGTAGGCAATAATTACGCACAAAAGCCCTCTGAACTGGCCCGAAACTCGCGCTAACCCTGGCGAGATCCCCCGGCGCCCTCCACGGCATCCATCGGTTATCCCATGCCCGTCAAACCACACCCTGCTTACCTCTCTGTCCGGTACCTCGCGCCGGCGCCCGCGGCCCCTCCACCCGCACTACCGAGCGACCGCACACTCGCCATTCAGGGTCCCGGATCCTGTCATCGGCCTGCCGGTTGCCGTCTGCGGCGGCGCTAACACGACCGCGCGATCGCGGCGCTCTAGTCCCGTCCCTAGTCCCGTTCCGTGGGCCCCCCTGGGCGCGGATCGCGAGTACGCGTAGCTTGCGGCGGCGGACGGGCACGTGCACATATATACATACACATTACTGACATGGCGGCGGGAGCAGAGCGCTTAAGAACGCGACAAAACAGCATACAGCACAGGCGCGCCGGGGCGTGTGCCGCGCGGGAGCGCGATTGCGCGTCGTCGGCCTGCGCCGTCGGTAAACCGTCTGGGCGCCCCACCGGCTAGCTTGCCATCGACGTAGCAGCCGGGGGAGGGGCCATACCGTACGGTGGAGGGCCAGGGGCTCGGCGAGCCGGGGGGGGGTTTCTGAGCTGAGCTGAGACACATACACGTACCTAGGTAATACTTAGCTCTTGGTTGGCGACGATCGATCGGCCCGGTGGCGGGAAAAATGTTGGCAAGGTATTCTCTTCGCAGCGCTTGGCGGCCGCACAGTGTCTGAACTGTGTGCGCGGTTCGGGGGCGGGCGAGGAAGAGCCGAAAATCACCGGCTGGGCGGACAATCGTAATGTTCCCCGCCTGGAGGAGTCGAAGAGACAGAAAAAAAAAAACAGAAAAGGAAAATGCGGAATGGACCAGGAATGGGGATCATCCTTTTGGTTTGGAACGCGGACTTTATTCAACTATGCTCTAAGTGTGTACCTAGATGGATGTCTGGTGCGAGTCGTTTTCGTCTTGATAAACCAAAAAAAAAAAAAAAACACACACCGGGCTGCTTGAATCGACATCAATATTATTAAAGATGCGGTACGACTTAGCACAGCGAGGTATAAGTCGTCTGAATGCCAATGTCATCAATCAGCACTCAGCACTCAGTTTGGGTCCTCGCCCAGGTAATTCTGCTGCTTTTTCTTCCCTCTTATCATAGCCAAAAGATCGTCGCGGAGCCGAGTGGGCTGGTCAATGAGCCCCGCCTCGTAGGCGTCGATCGCTGGTTTCTCCCAAACCAGGTCAGCCTGGGCCGCCGGCACGAACTGGGTGCGTCGGAAGAGTTTCCAGCCCCAGTAGGTGCAGAAGGCAACCAGCGCCATGGTGTAGAAGGCGAAAAAGTTACCGACATTCCAGTTGCCCGGCAGGAAGACCGAGTAGCCAAACGTAGCCTCAATGAGGATCATCCACACCATGGCGATGTAGCCGCAGTAAGGCTGCAAGTAGCCATAGTACGGCAACGTGCGGCGGTCAATTCCCTGCGCTTGCGTGGCGTTGTAAAAGAAGATGTACGTCAGGCTCACGACGATGTAGTTGATCATCTGCGAGCCCTGGGTGAGGGTGGCGAGCCACGTCACGACTTGCGCCGTGTTGTTCGACACTTGCAGGAACGACAGGAAGGGGAACACCATGACGAGACAGAAGGCATACACGGGGATGCCGTTCTTGAGCGTCTTCTGGAAGATCCGCGGCGCTTGCCCGTCACACGCGAGGCCGTACAGAGACCGCATCGCGCAATAGGTGTAAGCGTTACCAGCGCTAAAAATACTTGTAATCATAAGGGCGTTGACAATGTGCGGGAGCACACCGACACCGAGGTTCTGCATCGCGATAACGTAGGGCGAGCCGTTGGCAGTGCCCGTGTCGGCATTCCGCAGCGTCATATCATCGTACGGCAGGACGATGCCGACGCAGAGCGCGCCGCCGATGAAGAAGACGGCGAAGCGCCAGTATACCGTCTTGAAACCGTCCTTGAGGTACTTGCGCGGATGTTCGGCCTCTCCGGCGACCATGGCAAGATACTCGGGGCCGACGACAGTGAAACCAGCGGAATAGATGGCGGCGAGGAACCCTTCGAACCGACCCAGAGCGCCCTCATGGAGGTACTCGGCGAAAGATCCTGGACTCGACCAGTACCGGAATCCGTAGGCGTCATGCTGAGGATTGCCTCCACACATCGTGACCAGGGTGAACATGTATAGGATACAAATAAGTATGATTTTCCCACTTGCCAGCCAAAACTCGGCCTCACTAGAGCACGCATTAGCAGAACGAATCAGGAACTACGCCGAGTGCTGGATCGACGCGAAGGCGTTGTCGCGTAACAGGCAGGTCCACAACGACGGATCCGAGGCGACAGGAAGTTCGAGAATTCGTGCACGTACCCGAAATACTGGACGGCCACAATATTGATGAGACTGTCACACACGTTAACTACTCTGCTGCGGACCCCAGGAAGGCCGAGGGCCGGTATCCGAGGAAGACATACGCGTAGAGGATGATGCAGGCGAAGCAGATGGCTATCGGGGGGATGTCGTCCCGCCAGAAGCCAAGCACCAGGTTGATGGCGGAGATCTCAAAGGGGATAAGGCAGGCCTCGTAGAGGAAGAAATTCCACCCGGCCATGAAACCAAGCGCCTCGTCGACCCAGCGGCCAGCCATGCGGATGAAGGAGCCGGAAACGGGCATGTAGGTGACCATCTCGGCCATGCAGTTGTTGACGAGGCCGACCATGACGGCGTAGATGGTGTAGCCGAGGAGGAGGTTCCCGGGGCCGCCCCTGGCCAGACCGCCGCCGATACTGACAAACAGGGCGGTGCCGATGCTGCCACCGATGGCGATCAGCTGGATCTGGCGATTGCCGAGGTGGCGGTGGAGCTGGTTCTTTGTCGAGGCCTCGACCAAGGTCTCGTGCATGTCGACGCTCGAGGCGACCTCGTTCTTCTCCCCCTTGCCGCCCTCACGAGAGGGGGGAGCGGGGGCGGGCTCGGGCTTGTCGTGTGCTGCCGCCATACTGAGAGCCCGACAGGGAACTCCGCTGGGCGAGCGGGACGGTGGAATCGACGTAAGAAGTCTGTGGGAAGCACCGTGACTCTAGTACCATCATACCACGCACGCGATGGCGTTTCTGATCCTGTCTTTGCACGGAAAAGGGGGGAGGGAGGGAAAGAGAAATAGGTAGAAATGCTACGAGGGACACACACTCCCCAGACTAAAGAGATAGGTTAAAGGGGAGAAGTTCCGAGGAATGGAATGGGTGCGATCGGGTGAGCCGTAGAGCTCAGTTATGTAGTGCCGCCAGGGACCTGCCAGCGCCTGGCTGCGAAGTAGGTACCTACTTGCAAGTTGCAACGAGTTGGTAAGCCCATGCCATCATCGGCAGGGGGGCACAGCAGCAGGGATGGGGCACTACGTTGTGGCATGTACTTACGTAGTAGGTGCCTAGGATGTACCTACAGATAGGCCAGGTTGGGGCCAGGTTTAGGAAGATTAGGGCAATTAGGTACCCCCTAGAGGTGTACAGGTAGCTCTCTAGGGGTGCCTGGGTACCTACCTAGGTATGTGTGAGGTAGGTAGGTTAGGTACCTAAGGCGGCAGACGTTGGGCGAGGTGGGGAGTGGGCGAGCCGCTATTATCAGGGCTCCCTGGTCTCGAAACACTCCTAGCGGCTTAGGTACATGCCCACGGTATGTCCGTTATTGTCAACCCGGGCCTAGGAATGTCCTCCTATTTACCACCGTGATCAGGCAGTACCCACATCCCACGCTCATCCTAAGGATGCGCCGGTTGCGAGGAATCCATATAGGTAGGTAGGTATGTACGTACGACGTAGGCCGCATCTTCTAGCGGTAGGTTGGGTGCGCAGAACTCGGGTGGGAGTAGGGTAGGCGGGCGAGCCGTGGGAAGTGAGGTGCCTCGGTGCTGCTAGCAGCGAAGGCTTACTTCCGCTTACCTGCCTCACCAGGCACGTCGCCCACGGCCGCGCCGCTTCTCGGTACAGAGGGGGGCATATCGCTGTTCGCCGTGTTTGTGTGATGTTTGCTCGGCTTATGGCCTTTCGCAGCAGACGGCTGGACGGCCAGTAGGTTTACAGCCCACAGACAGCCTGCAGACAAGTCGCCATCAGCATCAGGTAAGCGGCATGAGGCCTACGAAGGTTGGGTAACATGTGGGTGATGGCGGTTGAGTAGTATGGGGTTCCGCGTAATCAGCAACCGTTGTCGAATCCAGGACAGGGATGAGTCGTGAGGGAAGAAAAGGCAATACATTCTAGGTAGGTATGCACACCTACATGATGCTATGCCTCTCTGTTACGCTATCGGCTCAGGTAGGGAATCCAGGCAGGCAGGCAGGCAAACTGAAAAGTCTGACGAGAGAGACGGCATCTGATTTGCCATCTGGCCACCGAACCGAATCGGGTAATAACCGTCGATTCGACGTGCGCCCTTTACCAACCTACCTACTACGAGTACGCAGCAGACGATGAGGGAGCTGGAGGAGAGGTAACCAACTACCTACCTCCCAGGTCACATACCTAACCACGGGGAAAAGCAGAGGCGACGCCACGTAGACGGCGAGCGAGCAGCCGAGCCGGCAACCGGACGAGCGAGAGAGGAAGAGAGAGAGGAAGGCAGGAAGAACAGAAGGAAGGAAAGCCAACGAACGCGAGGGGGGGATTAAGGTGGAAAAAATTAGCAAATGCGCCGCCTCGGTGACAACATCGAAGAGACCTTGGCCCTGCGAGCCAAGAAGACCAAGTTCGCCTATTGCCGCAGCACACGGAAAATCTTATGATGTTCATGGATCTGCGAAGGTACATCCATCCTAGGGGCGAGGGACTCTGCGCGGACGGCCAACCGATCCCTCTCGCCCAGTACTTCGGCGCAACCTACTCGACCTATCTCCCTGGTGTAGGTAAGCGTTCGCTCCAATCGCTACCAGAGTTCGTACGGGCACGACGCCGGGTGGCGACCGTCTACCGCCTGCGCGGCCGGAGCAGAACCAACACCTGGGGTACACACCCCGTTAGCGACCGCCTCTCGCGATTAGGGCTGCGTAGCGACGGATGGCAGGCTGGCCCGTACCCTTCGCTCGCCAGCTGCAAGGCGCTGGATGTGTGTAGGCCCCGGCCCACTACCGTATAATACCGTGGGCACGAGGACCCCGGCGCAACCCTGGCGTGCCACGCAGGGAGCCAGATGCACAATGTCGTAATGGCATCTAGGATTGGGCCGGGGTGTGAGCCGGGGGTATGAGCCAGGGGGGCAGGTCAGTTCAGTACGTATGAGTTAGGGGAGGCTGGAGGACCTAGCCTGACCTGACCCGACCTGCCTTTTCGGGTTTGTCTGGGGCTGTCTGGGGCAGCCGGGCAGGGTGGGGCTAAAAAACAGAGTAGGCCGCCATCCGTTATCTGAGTAGGGACCTAAAAGGGCATGGGACGTGGGTGTGGGCGTGGGCATGCGTAGGTACGGAGGGGGCTCGTATCTCTATCGGAAAAAAAAAAGAAGGGAAGAGGTTGATGCTACGACGATAACCAGACCGTTCCCCAGCTTCGACATTCTAGATTCCAGATTCCGGGATGCTGCCGCCCACTCACGGCCTCGCGATTAGCATCGCGTGGTGTCGTGGGGTGGTATGCCTTATCTAGCATCGAAGCCTCGCCGCTGAGGATTTCTCGGCGTCCTTCTCAGCCAGCCCCTCGTCCACCACCTTACCGACGACGCGTCCCCTACTCCATCTCGTGAGCACACCGTCCCGACGTTTCCCTCCTTTCCCCATCTCTCCCCCCAGTCACCCGTCCGACGGCTGGGCTCGTGCGACACCGAAGCGTGCCGGAGATCACTAAAGCGATGCCGATGACTGCGCGTAGGACGTGCAAAGACGGGAGGAGCGCGGACGACGTATCGGTGACATACTCATAGAAATAAGGGGGGATTGGCCGTGTGGTAGTAGGCGGTCGCCTGGAATAGTCACCGACAAATCCCACCGAGGGATGCAACATCGCCCCAGCGAACCACTTCCTTGCGCTCGCTACCCGAAGAGGACGGAGTACGTAATACTTGGACGAACACCTTCGGCGGTACGTAGGATGATGGAGGTTGGAGTTGAGATTGGAGCAATTAATAGAGAGCACCCCCATGCAGAGAAGGAAGAGAGGCCGTCCTGGACTCGAATCATACACCTACCTAACATCAAACATATTATACAGAGGTACCTAGGTAATAAGTAATAGGTAATAGGATGCCTGCCTGCCTACATCGACATATGTGCCTAGGTGTGTAATACATAAACCACATGCGGTACACAGCTGCAGCGTCAATCCCATGGGCCGAATGCTTCCTACCTACCTCCTCGGTACCTAAGCTACTTGCGCTACAACCTTGGAATAGCAATGTTCAAGACCTCTACCCCCCCCTCCCCCGAATACCTCCTCGTATAATACTCAGCCGGGCCGCGACGTAATCGTGAGAAGCTATAGGTACGTAATGGCGCGTCCACGTTGAACGGGCCGGCATTTGGCAGTTAGCTAGGCGAGCCAATTCTGAACCTGAAGCTAGGGGGAGCATTCTACAGCTATCTGCGAACTGGAATGTCGCGGTAGGTTGGGTGGGTACACAGGTACCTGCCAACAGGCACTACCGAGGTAAACCCTGCCATCTCCACACACACACCCATATTGCCCCCATTGGCCAATGAAAAGTGCCAATAGCCTACCCTCCCTCCCCGCGGCCAGCCGTTGTTGTACCCTTCCACACGCGCGCCGTCGCACGCGAGCAGACGCTCACACGGGGACGAGCCGTCGGTGTGGCCACACGGCAGTGGGCAAGCTTAGCTGAGAGGTTCGCACGGCGCTTTCTTGCCGTAGACCGGCAGCAGCTTGCGGCCCCTCTTACGCAGACTAGGTACCTAGGTAGGTAGGTAGGCAGCTGTGCGGTTCGTAGTCTGGAGGGAGAGGGAGGACGATGAGACGGCGACGACGGAGGGCGCTATGCCGCTGCCGGTGCCGAGCGAGATCGAGCGTGGAAAGGAATCCGGTTTCTAGGGTATACCTACGGGAACCGAAATGGCTAGGAGAGGGATCGGTAGGGAATCCTGTCGTCGTAGCTCTTGGTTAAAACGTACCTAGATAACGATTGTCTTAGTTAGGTACTTACCTAGGTATACCTATCCATAATAGATACGAGAAAATGCCCTCGCTTCGCTAACTCCTGTGCTAGGTATATCTGCTAGGCAGTTCCGCACCCCGGTACCGAGGGTCGCTGATAGAAAGAGAGACTGCCTTTTACATCACTATACACCACCCCCGTACGCAGGCTTCACTGGAGAAGGCCTCGCAATCTCGTGCGGCACCTAGGACTGACCGCCTACGCCTTCTCTCGATGCTGGCCCCCGCCCGTCGCTGCTACGGCACGGCAATTCGGAGATCGTCACCAGGGTTTTGCCCCGCCGAGCTGTCTAACCGCCGCCCTTTCTTCATTAGGGACTTGTCGTGTAGCAGGTTGAGCCTCGGGTCGCTCCCGCAGCAAAGCCACGTAGGTGCTAGGGATCTGCTGGCTGACCTAAGCAGACAACCCACCACGATTAGGTGTAGAGGTGGGTATAGCTGAGAGCGGAGGCTTCATTCGCAACACCTCCCTTCTAGTTGCTCGACCAACTTACGATACTGCTGCCGCCGTTCATCTGCTCGATCCATTATCAAGCCACCCGTCCCTCCGAAGCTTCGAACGTGACCGGCGAACCATGGGACACACAGTCCCCTCGAGACTTAGCTTGCCTTGTGGCACCTGAGGCATCCAGGCATCCACGAAAAACGCACAACTGTCAATTGACCTTAAAAACGCTGTATTTAAGCTGGTTCCAGTAGCTAGCTATTCCTTCAATTCAACAACAACAGGTTCAGCTTTCAACACGTCTTGTATGCCTTACAATTAAGGCAGCGAGGCTCCGAAAGTGAACCGCCAATACGCACACGACAGCCTGAGGAATATGCAGTAATTGGAGCTACGCCGTTCGCTTATTAGCATAGCCCCTCTTCCTAGAGAGGTGCTATGCCCAATTCCGTCTCCCGACGCGCCGACGCGCCGGCCGGGTGCCTGATCCGCGCCAAGTCCCCTATTACATCTCAAGGACAGATAAATCTTATGGAAAAAGGCTTAATGATGAAGCTATCTCTCTACCTAAAGTTAAAGCTTAAGCTAATTTCTTAAGGCTTATATAAGCTTCCGTAATCGGTATCGGAGGATACCGTAAATGCCGTAATATGCCCTCCCTTTTAATAAGAAACGGCTTCAGCCGGTTAAGGGCTAAGTTACTCGGTATCTATCGAAGGCTTGAACTAAATGGGG